CCAAAAAAAAAAAAAAAAAAAAAAAATAGAGAAAAGGTCTGGTAAATCGCGCATGAAGTCTATTCCTCCTTTTTAAACAAAAATTTCATCATGGGTAACGTAATTATAATGCACTATGAGATGTTTAGATGGGAAGACGAGACGATTTTTCTTTATTTTGGGGAGCATATGGATGGATGGGTACCCTTTCCCGCATAGTGGGGAGATAATTATCAACAACACATACGCACACTACATTCTTTCCAACATTTTAATTTTCCAATGGAACAATGCTCATGTTTCTATACACACACCCCAACAATTGAACAATTCCATTCTACATGACAACCACTTCCCATCGACACTCAGTCATATATTAAAAAAAGCAAATGGCTAAACCCTTGTTTATTTAGGTAAGGGACAACCTAGAGGTTTAAACGCAGCTCGTAAGCTCCGTATCCATCGTCGTGACCAACGTTGGGCCGATAAGCAATACAAGAAGAGAGCTCTCGGTACTGCTTTCCGTTCTTCTCCCTTCGGTGGTTCTTCTCACGCCAAGGGTATCGTCCTTGAAAAGATTGGTGTTGAAGCCAAACAACCTAACTCTGCTATTCGTAAGTGTGTTCGTGTCCAACTCATCAAGAACGGTAAGAAAGTCACTGCTTTCGTTCCCAATGATGGTTGTTTAAACTATGTTGACGAGAACGACGAGGTCTTGATTGCCGGTTTCGGTCGTAAGGGTCGCGCTATTGGTGATATTCCTGGTGTCCGTTTCAAGGTCGTCAAGGTCGCTGGTGTCTCTCTTCTTGCCTTGTACAAGGAAAAGAAGGAGAAGCCCAGATCATAAATTATTTTATCTTCAAATAAACCCACTCACAAAGCACACCCACACACACACACCAACAAAAATCAACAACAACAATGCTATTCCAATATGATTATTCATGTCCTTTTTTTATTTATTTATCTATTTACAAATGTGCGTGTATATATATTATATGAGAGGGGTGGGGTATCATCATCACTTGCCCATGATGATTTTTCCCCGAGAAAACAAACTGAACGAAAACTTGTCGGATATATTCTTTATAGAGCTTTCAATCTCAGGCTCAGCCTTTAATAGATATGGGCGCAACACATACGCATAAACGGTTTCTGCACCCTAAACAAAAACAATCGACTTAATTAGGGAACACGAATTTATATTTTTTTTTCTCTCTCTTACTTTAAATTGAGGTAAAACAAGCCAAAGAATTACAAGCGTCTTGCATGTGTAATATACAGAGGACCAAGAGAGAAATATGTCCAGAAAATAAATACCAAGACGCACAAACCCAATGACCGTCCAATAAATGAGCCATTGCGTATCATCGTCAGTTGAAGGAGATTCAATCGCTAAAAACGATGCATAGGCTTTTCTTTCCTTTATGAGTTTCATACACAAATAATAGTAACCCTATACATATAGACTTACCGGGATAAGCCCACGAAATAACATTGGTCAGGATATGCCCACCGAATTGAAGAAATACCATCAAGGCGAGAAATGTACCGATAGCAACAGGCGGTTTGGATAGTTTGGCTAGCTGATCGGTGACCTGGTATTGCTCTAATTGATGTTTGCATGTTTCTTGTACTGAGCTGATAAATTGTGTCCATAAAGTAGTGTCATGTTGAGGTTTAGGAGCCTCTTCGCAGATAAGAGATTGAAGCATCTTTTTTTTTAATAGGAAAGAAAAAGGGTAATACACCCAAACAACCTTTATTTATATGTGTAAAAAAGCTATTTTTAAACATCCGCAAAGCCTTCCTTTTCTTGGCTTTTTGTTATTGTTTCTTTTTTAGATATCCTACAACGTGCAAAAAAAAAGGGTATTTTTTTTTATTACTATTATTATGAACAGGGTGGTATTTACAGTAGTGATATATAATTTCGTCTCTTATTTTCTCTTAGATAATCCTTCCTTCGGGCGTTGAAAAGTTATTTCGTTGCTCTAATCGATCTGCTTGTTCAGCCGCAATCGCTTGCATTTCATACACATAGCTTAAAAGACAACTCTGCTGTTCCTGCGAATGTACTGGGGCTTGGGAAAAATGCGCATGCTCAAGAATATCCTGAATTGTAGGTCGGTTTTTTCGAGCTGTGGTGAGTAACCACGCAATCATGTCCTGCATCTCAATTGACAGTTTTGACAGCGCTGTCTTTTGTTTGGAGAAATCGCCCGTTCTGAGCATTTCCCAGGATTCGCCCGTACCAGGTAACACGATACCTGTCGCTAGCTCAAGTAAAATTAATCCGAGACTATACACGTAAAATAGGTTAGACTAAAACAAGTGCCCTCTTTCAGGTACATACCTAAATATGTCGGCAGGCTTGTCAAACTCTTCTCTTAATAAATCAGGGGCCATATATCTTCTATCTCCTTCACCTTTTACCCAGCGCACATCCTTTTATATAAAAGCGTCAGCAAAGAGAGAAAGATGTTTGTTTTACAGATATTCACTTACCACTGGCGTATGGACAGAAATTCCAAAGTCGCCGATTTTGATATAGCCTTCATCATCAATTAAAATATTGGATGGTTTTAAATCCAAATGAACCACATCTGCTTGGTGAATATCTCTAACACCAAGTACAATTTCATGGAATATTTTCCAAACGATATCTTGTGGTATTTTTCTTTGTTTAAATTCAATAAACTTGTCCAGACTAGATACCCACGTTATTTTAGCATTTAAGCATTAAAAAAAAAGATATTATTGTTTCCCCATTACCTTCCGCTTGAACAGAGTTCCAGTTGTATATACAAATAACCTCTTTCTTCCCATGCATTCAACATATTTACACAATATTTACTACTCCGGACACATCGTAAATGCTCCACCTCAATTAACTGTTGCCATCGATCGTCCCAACCAGTAAAAGGCAGTTTCGATTTCTTGACTGCATTAATCGCTCCAGATCCCAACTCCAGCACTTTCCACACCTCCGCATACTCACCACACCCCATATTCTTTAATATTGAAAACTTCGCATCAAAATAAGGTGTGATTGAAATCTGCATCAATTTCTCTTCCTCTTCCACTGCAGACACAACCCTTCGATCATCCGCTCCAAACTGTTGGAAATATTCGGTCGTCAAGAAATGGGGCCATTCCGTGATATATTTAGGTGGGCTTTTATGCTGCTGGAGTAAGCTCATCTTTAAGGACGATGATAACACAAACTCTGGTTCGTCCGCTGGTGGGTTATAGCTGGAAAAAAATGCATCCACTTCATCGTCGTACGGTGCGGATTTAGGAATATAGGGTCGACTTAATGGCATCGTTGTCTTTTCATCCTCTTCATCTTCCTCCTCTTCTTCTTCTTGCCCAGCACCAAGATTATCATCCTCGTCAAATAGGGAGGAGAGAATAGTCGCACTCTTTCGGCGACTGCGTTGTTGAATCTCTTCATCGTCCGGTGCCAAATTGCTACTTAATAGCAATTCGCTATATAAACTACGGCGAAAAGGTCGATCGCCCAACGAATATCTTTCATTCAAACCATGTTCATCCTCCTCTTCTTCTTCATCTGTCTCCATCCCATCTTGAAGTGGAGCCCATAACCCATTGTCCCTGACGGGCGTAGCAGGTGGCTCTCTGTCTTCTAAAACAGGTGATTGATTTGCCCAAAACGATTGAAACTCATCATCAGAACCTTGCGTTGCTATGCCCAAATCGGATACCTGTTCGTTCGTAGTGAGAGTAGGGGTCTCAAAAAGTGTGTCGATTTTGGATCGTTTGGCAGCGGGGGCACCGGCGGCAGGTGCGGTGGGCGTGGGAGAAGGTGATAGCTCTCGTTTTTTCAAACTGCTATTTTCTGAGGTCAGCTGAAGGCGGTTAGGTGACATGGCCATTAAATAATATAAATAAACTAAAATAAAAAATAAAAATAAAACTCTGTAAATTTCAATGAAACAAAGCAGAGGGTATTCTAAAAGAAGAAACAAAAGAGGGGGTCCAAATAGTACAAAAAAAAAAAAAAAAGGTTGGAAGGGGGATAGATCGTGACTGTGTTCATGTGAGCGTTGTGTGTAACCCATCAAAAACTCTGGCTTACGTCGGATGGGGATGTTTTATGCAGTAGCAACAAGAAATTTAAAACTCACAAGAACCATTAAAAACTGGAATGTAGCGATTTCTTGCTTTGTTTCTATACCACATACATCCAAAAATCACCCGAATTTGAGGCGTCTTTCTACCTTTGTAATATCATACTCAAACAAGAAAGAATATTAATAAATATAGGAAGCTCTCTTCATTTTATCACGAGACGTTATATGGTGTCATTAGAACAATGCATTGATTACTCAATAATACCAAATAAAATCACCCCTCCCACATCTTTCACATCACACCGCTAATTTTTTTTTAACAGCTAAAGTTTTGTAGACTAGAAGCAGCGTTGTAGATTATATGTTTTTACCAATAGTACACCGAAACAACGTCGGTTGCTCTTTACCAACGCTAGCCGAATTAATATATAATGGTCAGCACTCTTAAGATCCTGGACTCTCGTAGTATATGATAATATTTATTATAGCACGAAATGTAACTACGATTAATGTATTATTATCTTTTCAATTTTTACCAGAACTAGGACCTCCCGAAGCAATCACCATAGGTTTGAAGTTGGGATCCTGTGGTCCAGCTGCTTGCTAAAACGAACGATATAATTTTGCTTCCTGTTCCATCTGACATTCGAGAGCTCTTTCATGATCTTTAACACTGTTAATTCCCTTTTCAAAGTTACAATCCAAAGGCAACCCATCTACTTCAGTAACCGTTACAAAAAGCAAGACAAATGTAGACACCAAAAGTAAGCAGAAACGAGAAGACTTGATGAACATGATTCCAAGAAAGTGATAGTAATTTAATAATTATAAAAATCTTGTATTTTTTTTCATGCCCTTTTATACATCCTGTCCATTTTAGCAGTTACGTACTCACACGACTGTCTTTTCTCTTTATTTACCTCAATATCGACGTTGGAAGAGAAACTTTGCATTAACGCCTTTTCTTGTTCTTCTAAATACGAAAGGGGAAACGGAATAGTTACAAGCCCAACCCCTTTTTTTACATGGCGAAGTCGTAAGGCATAATAATATGACAATCATAACCAAAATGAAAGAAACGGATGCTAAAATGGGAGATCATTGGCCTACTTTGGCTTACTTACATTAAATATTCCCAACATATGCTCGGTCTTCTTACCTATCATTTTTTTATTTTAAAATTTATTCATAACAATAGGAGTGGATACTTTGGGATTCCATTGCAGTGTAAATAGTGGTTCAAAATTATCCGTAAGATCATCATGGTACATGAACCTTGTAATTATGATAACCCAAGAAACATCTCAGTTCCTTTTGTTCTAACCACGGTCAAATTTTAGTACGATATAATGGCTTGTTATGTTTTTACAGATGAAATGAAATTAACAGCGCATAAATCATAATATATTACGATAGCCGGATAATGCCCAATGTAAATCATGATAGAATTTCAGAGATATCTAGAAGAAACGAATCTTACAGTAACGCTTGGAGTGGGTTCTGCTGCATAAAATTTGCTGTATGTAATGCGGATGATCCAACACGCTAATCATCCAGCTGCGTTGCTTGATTTTGGTCATCTCAGAACCATTGATAAGCTCACTGTTTTTTTAATTATCCATGAAATATTTTTAGACTAACCCCTACCTTCTATTAAGACGAACAAGTCATCGTGTATAAACCCATTAGGATCTAGCATAATTGGGTTATGCCTGTCATGCTCATTTTGCGATACCCCAATAACTAACATTGATCAATTTAAATTCCGAATTTTTATACGTCATTCCAGGTACATGGTATATGGAGCGCAGCAATAATGCTCCGCGCAACTGTTTTATCAGTGATTCGGGATTATGTACTAATAATGAGGACTTACTAGTTTGCACACACACAACTATTATTAACAATGATGTTTTTTTTTGTTTCCCTAGGGGCAACTGATAGAAGAGGCCCGTTCTTTATTGACTGTTGGTTGAATTGATGTGAACCCCCCTTGAACACATTCTACCGTTACTATTCTATTACTACAGCCATTAAATGGTTTTGCCGTATGAATAGTGTATTTTTATTCCCTGTAAATGAGTTTTGTTTAGATTATAACACTTGATTATCTCTGCTAAGTGGCTTCTCGTGAATGATGTTTTTAACTTTTTGTGTGAGGCATTAATGTCTTACCTATATTTACCAAGACGGACTCATTGCTGATAAGAATAAAACCATATTGAAGAAACCGGATCTAATTATTAAACATTGATATACGGTAAGGTATTCATTTGAAAAGAAGTTGGTTAATTTTGTCACTCGTAAATGATTAATAAATAAAATAGCATGATTCCAGAAGCTTCCGTTTCTAAATATAAACGACAATAGTTGATTTTTACACCTTCTTCTAAAATCTGCTGCATGAAAGTGGCCATCTAAATGTGAGTGAAAATGACTGATTAATTGAAATACTCCTGCCAATATCAAAAGACATCAAAACTGGATCTTTCTCATACATATATAAGAAAGCACTTTTGGGTAGACCTCAAAAAAATTATATTATTCTGAATCTCATATGAAGACATTCTCAGTACTTACCGCTTTTCTTTTGTTCGCTATCTTGCAAATTTGGGCTTCTCCCGTTTCTGAAGCCGAAGAAGTAGTGTAAGTTTATAATTACAATTATATGTATTTACCTGTTATTAACAAAATTATTGGCAGTACTCAAGGTTTTAATGAAGTCACCGAAGCAGGTCATGGTGGACATGGTGGACACGGTCACGGTCATGGCGGACACGGTCATGGTCATGGCGGACACGGTCATGGTCATGGTGGACACGGCCATGGTCATTAAGATCAAACTCTTATTGGATTTCAAGATTTACGATTGTTCATTTAAAGTATATGATATTTTTCAATATATTTTGTTTGCAATAAAAAAGTACTCTTGAAGTTTTATCCATAACTAGTGCTGCAGTCAAAAACTTAATATAAGTATAGACAAATACAGTTATTTCGAGCAAATATATATCAGTATTATTAAAAATCCTATCGCTCGACGGTTGTGATTAGTGTATTTGATCAATTCGTTGTAAACTGAGAATTCGAGACAAAATTAATAGAAGCTTTAATCTGTTACCATGCTTTTTACTCAAATTATAAATCACGGTAATTTTAGGTACAACGTAATCTCTAGTCGTAGAAAAAGAGTTATAAAAACGTATCTACTTAAAATGATAGTAAAAATTATGCTCCATCAATGATTTACAACGGCTTGATAAGTATCAACATCAAAAGGATATCATAATTTATATCGTTGACAAAGAGCTTTAAATGTTATAGCTGCTCGAATAAGTCGTAAAAAAAGTAAAGCATGCTAAGATTAATGATGCTACTGGTGAAGGCAAGGATATAAGTTCATCCTAAAACATAATCTCATTCACGAGCTCTACGAGCGCATGAGGTTTAAACATACCTCGGTATTTTCTAGCTCATTTTATATATGAGTTTGATAAATAAGAATACCTAAAAGGCAACTAAATTAGACACTTTTGAATAAACAGTAATGCTTTGTAGTGGATACAATTAAATAAATGGGGTCTCTTCGTCGCCGAAAAAACAATCACATTGTGTAAATGTTTACTAAAATTGCTCTCTATCTATATTAGCTGCTGCAGCAGCGTCATATCTAACTTAACATAATGCTGATTTGGGATTAGTAATATAGGTTCTATTTTATCAGCTTTTGTTTCCATGTTTTCCAAAACTAATGACGCGCTTCTAAAGAGAGATAAGGGCAATGACTTATTTATTTGTAATACATACTACTGGTTTAAACATTTGAGAACTATAAAAATAATACTGCTTGAGTATTCATTAGCTTGTTTCTTACAACAAGAAAGGCTGTAAAAATAGAACTTGTATCATCAGATACAAGTTTTAGTATTAGTTTAACCCCATCCCCTGTTCCCTTGATTGTATTTTATGAGACTGACGAGAAAAGATAAATCAAGTATAACAAGTTTATATTAAGAGACATAAACATAAATCAAGAATAATGATAAATTGAAACTCTTAAATAGTTCTACAAAGATACCATATACGATGGGGGAAATTTCAATATAAAAGACAGACTTTTACTCGAAACAAAAGAAAATTAAAAAAACATCTACAATATGAAATCATTCTCAGTAATTACCGCTTTTCTCCTTGTTGCCGTCTGTCAAGTTTGGGCCTCTTCTGCATCCAATGGTAGAAAATATGCGTAAGTGAGAATGCATGCCATTATATATGAAGTTGATTAAGTCTAACTTGGAAAATTGTAATAATAGCGCTCGTGATGAAGTCAATGCGGCTGACGATCAATATCATGAAGCTTATCATCATTGTGATGATTGGCACTGTTGGTAGTCTGTCTTTAGGTTGTTCTCCTATTTAATCTTAATTGATTGTCCAAAATTTTCCATCATCTTCATTTTTTGTTTTTTATTAAATAAAACTTGTTTTAATTGATCCTACAATTTTCTGTATTCATAGCTAATAACATTGTTTTAATGATGTAAACCCCCCCTTTTTTTTTGTATCTTTATCGCTGTTACTGAAAATTCTTCTTGGTACTATTAAAAATAAAGGGCTATATTTATCTTGCCTAATAACAATACTGTCTTTCATTACTACACACTAAAATCTTGCACTATATTAGGCATTTTCAGTAGTCATCAGGCTGTTTACAATTTCAAGATCAATAGACGCTTCATAATCATATTATACCTATAATGCGGAAAAAAAGTAAACCCAAAGTGCGTTTGGAACTTAAGTAAATAATGAAAGATCGTATCTTTTTTTTTTTTCTGAATATAAAAATTTGATAATAATTTTAGGCGGTAGTTAGACAATACAGTTATTTTTTTTTATTTTTGATTGAATTGATCAATGAGAGAAACATTCCTGGGTGTATAAGGTTCTTCCAAGAAATCGACGTCTTCCTTTGTTAACTTGATGTCCATTGCACCAATCAAATCGTAAAGCTGTTCAGCTTTAGAAACACCGATAATAGGAGATACAACATAAGGCTTTGTGTAGTGCCAGGCTAAAGCGATTTGGGCATTGGAAGCACCATACTTTTTGGCAAGCTCTCCAACACGATCGATGATAATCTCATTGCTATCTTGCTTGGCATCAGGCATCAAAACATTCTGCTGGAAAAAAGTCTTTGATCGAGCGGTGTCTCTGTTCTTGCCTGTAAGTTCACCAGTAGCCAATGGGGAGTATGGGATACCTGCGATACCAGCATCAATACAATAGGGGATCATCTCCCTTTCTTCTTCGCGATAGAGAAGATTATACGCGTTTTGCATGGATACAAACTTCGTCCATCCTCTACGCTCGGCGATAGAGTTTAACTTTTGGAACTGCCAAGCCATCATACCACTTGCTCCGATGTATCTGACTTTTCCAGAGCGAACCAGATCATTCAAGGCCTCCATTATTTCTTCCATGGGGGTTTCCTAACATTTTGAAAATCTAGAAATTAAGCTCCTGCTGATATAAAATACGTACATTTTTTTTTCTTACAGTGTCCAAACGATGAATTTGATAAAGATCAATATACTCAACATCAAGTCGCTTCAAAGAGGCGTCTACGGCATCAAAGATATGCTTACGAGAAAGACCGTAGCCGTTGACTAGTTCAAAGTTCTGATCCATGTCCATGTAACCAAAACTCTCTATGTCGGAATAAACAGGTCCGTAAACTTTTGTAGCAATGACAACACGACCTCTAGGAGCATTCAATTCTTTAAGAGCCTTTCCGAGAACAATCTCACTTTCGCCGTTAGCATACATATTAGCAGTATCAAAAAAGTTGATACCAACATTGTAAGCTTCTTTAATAGCTTTAATTGATTCAGCTTCGTCTTTAACCCAAGGACTCCATTTTGAGCTACCGTAGGACATACAACCGAGACCGATTCTGGAAACCTTTAAAGTTATTTAAGACTGTGTACGCTTCTTTTGTTACTACTGGATTGTTACCCTCATGCCTGTGTTGCCAAAACGAACATATTGCATTTTTGTGGTTATCTTGGTACTGATATAGTCAGACATTGTATAAAATTGAATTTAAAACTTTATGAGACAAAAATCACTTCTTTTCTTCGGTTCTTATATATGTATATTCACTCGAATCGGGATTTAATCGTGTTCATTGGTTGGCCTAAAATGTAATAATATTACGTATTCGTTTACCAGAATCAATAGGAATCCTCAGCGTCGGTCTGATATTGGTACAAGCCATTATGGGATATGAATGTTTGGCAATACCATTGGAAGATTCTTGCTAAACACCTTTTATATTTTGGCTTGCATTAATAAAATTCTCTTAAATTGTAATGAAAATGCCTCCCGTTTTACTTACTACCTATTTCAAATTAAAGGCGACGAGGCGATAAGGTCCAGAAAGGCTCCTAAAAGCGCTAACATAAACTTACCAAATATAATTTTTATATTACGTTTTGTTTTACCCTTTTTGGATACAAAAAAAAATAGACAGAGCTGTCAGGTGTTCTGATATGTCACGACCAATTTTTGTAAAATTAAGTACAAAATTCCAAAGCCTAAACCTTATTAGGATATACGCTATTTGTTATTTTTATTATATGGCGGTAAGCGATATTCCCAATATATCTCATATAAAATACTTGTTATTCCAAATAGGGTATAGTCTGGCAAACAACAACCTTCAAAACTCTAAAAAATCGAGAGGGGAAATGGTAAAAGCAAAATTGTAGGCCGTAATTCTGATAGCAAATGCAGCCATTTTTGACTATATCGCCTGTTTGATACAAAAATAAAAATTGACTTCCAATCTCATAACTTTAACTCCAAAACAATTGATTTTATTATGCTTAAAGACAAATCAAATAAATATTAGAGGATTATCGTTGAAAGAAATAATGGATTCTATTACAATGACATTTGATAATTTTATGAGGGAAAAAAAGAGATGGTTTGAGGTTTATTTAAATAAAATTTACCGATCTTATCCAACAATGTTCTTTCTTGTTTGACTCTTTGATGTATGTGTATGGGTGTATAAGTATTGAAATACTTTTGTATTCATCCCCCTTTCTTCATTAAGCAAAGCAATAGGTGAATATTTCGTATCTTTCAAGGTTAATACAACTTTACCTATTCCTTTTATTTTTCGGCATTTTCTGAAACGCAAGTAACTTCATAGATTTAATTATGTGCTATTTTTTAACAGTGTTGTCCATAGATTTTATGCATATGATGTGAACTATAGCAACTATAGTATATGTAATCCATCCATCAGTCTTTTTAATTTCAGGGATGTAGCTTTTCTCTTTAAGTCATACTCTTTTGTGTCCTATCACCTCATTAAATACGAGGAAAAAGCAGAAAACCGTGTTACGTTAACTAAAAAAGCACATTTGGAACAAGACGGTATCATTTGTTTTTAAATAGAAGACTTTGGTCATATTATTAAGCGGCAAATAACTAAGCCATTAATTTTTTTTATTTTTAATTGGATGGAGCATTTCAATTTGTATAAGATTCTTCCAAGTAATCAACATCTTCCTTTGTTAGCTTGATGTCCATTGCATCAATCAAGTTGTAAAGTTGTTCGATTTTAGAGACACCAACGATAGGAGATACAACATAAGGCTTTGTGTAATGCCATGCTAAAGCAATTTGGGCATTAGAGGCATCATACTTCTTGGCAAGTTCTTCAACACGTTCGACAATAGTATCGTTACTATCTTGCTTGGCATTGGGCTTTGAACTGCTCTGTTGGGAAAAAGCCTTTGATCGAGTGGTGTCTCTGTTTTTGCCTGTAATTTTGCCACCAGCCAATGGGGAGTATGGGATACCTGCGATACCAGCATCAACACAATAGGGGATCATTTCTTTCTCTTCTTCGCGATTAAGAAGATTATACGCGTTTTGCATTGACACAAATGTTGTCCATCCTCTGCGCTCAGCAATGGAGTTTAACTTTTGAAACTGCCATGCAGCCATGGTACTGGCTCCAATGTATCTGACTTTTCCGGAGCGAACCAAATCATTCAAGGCCTCCATTATTTCTTCCATGGGGGTTTCCTAACATTGTGAAGCTTAGACGTTAGGCTTCGATAATATAATTCACATGTTTTCTTTTTCTTACGGTGTCTAAACGATGGATTTGATAGAGATCAATATACTCAACACCAAGTCGCTTCAAAGAGGCATCAACGGCATCAAATATATGCTTACGAGAGAGACCATAGCCGTTGACTAATTCAAACTTCTTATCCAAGTCGGTAAAACCGAAACCCTCTATATTCGAATAAACAGGTGAGTAAACTTTTGTAGCAATGACAACACGACCTCTAGGAGCATTCAGTTCTTTAAGAGCCTTTCCAAGAAGAATTTCACTCTGGCCGTTTGAATACATGTCAGCAGTATCGAAAAAGTTGACACCAGCATTATAAGCTGCTTTAATAGCTTCGATGGATTCAGCTTCGTCTTTCACCCAAGGACTCCATTTTGGGCTACCGTAGGACATACAACCGAGACAGATTCTGGAAACCTTTAAAATTACTTAAGTATGTGTACTCTTTTTTTTTTGTTATTATTTGATTGTTACCCTCATGCCTGTATTGCCAAAACGAACATATTGCATTTTGGGGGTTTCTTTGGTGTTGGTAGAACTAGACATTATATAAAAAATTGAGCTAATGAGTGTGTAAAAAAAGTATCTCTCCTTTTCGTATTCTTTTTATATGTTTGACTATTTCTTCGGGTTACCCTAAAATGTAGTAATATGATCTAATCCTAAACCCAAGGTGGTACACATCCAGTGCTGCGGCATAAGTTTGTACAAGTACAACTCCGCACCGAAAATATTCGACACTTTTCACAAAAATTTGAGTTCCTTTAGTCATGCATTTTTTTAAAACCAAAAACTTGTTAATAAAAGGTATCTCAAATTCTACCAAACTTGACAAAATAGCAATATATATATATTTTGTAAAAAGAAACTTTTTTATTTACGTTAATAAGTGGTATTTGAGCCACGAGCTTTTTTTACTGCCCGGCATCTATCGGGCATACTTTCTACAAGCTTATGACACACTTCATCCCCCAACAACTTCCATTCCTGATGAAGTGCAACCTCCAATTCATTAAGATTTTGAAGCTGGGCTCTTCTTTTAGCAATCCTTTGTCCCAGGAGGCGCCAAAGGTTCTCAATCGGATTCAAATCGGGACTTTGAGCGGGCCATCGCTCAAAGCCTGCAATCCCAGCCTTCTCTTTCCACCACCTCGTATATCCTCCTGTATGGCATGGGGCACCGTCTTCTTGGAAAATAAAGTCATGACCATATTTCTCTGTCAATTGTTCAAGCCAAGGGAGAAAGTTTTGACTTAAACAATTGACATATTTTTCTTGATCGACAGACCCTTTTAGTGTCACCAAAGGGCCCAAACCGCCTGCCCAAAAACATCCCCATACCATCACTGATCCCTTACCAAATTTAAATGTTGGTAAAACAAATCTATCCATATACCTTTCACCCTTCTTTCTAATAACTCTCACACCACCGTCGTTGTGCCTGAGTGCGAATCGCGACTCATCGGACCAGATTACCTTCTTCCAGTCATCTAATGTCCAATTCATCTTGTCGTCGACCCATTCTCTTCGCGTTTTTTTATGTCTAAGACTCAAAAACGGTTTTTTGGAAGGTCTGCAAGAATAAAAACCGTTTTTGCGAAGTGCATTCCTCAATGTCGTCAGGCTGATTGGATCGGTAGCCTTCGCAAGATTTTGCATATGAACACTTAAAGGTTCAAAGGAGTCCCTTCGAACTAAAAGCGTCAGGTGATGCTCAGCTCTTGCTGTCAGCTTTGCTGGTCTTCCTGGACGAGGTTGGACAGTCGTGATCCCTTCAGTTCGATACTTTTTTATAATCGTAACAACGGTTGTTCTAGGAACGCCCAATTCTTTGCTGATTTGGGTACCTGTCCATTTGGCATGCTCTGCCAAACCGCAAATGACTCCACGATCGAAATCTGAAAGTTCCTTGCTTTTTCTAGAGACTTTGTTAGTAATGTCAGTAAGTGGCATGATAAATTGTGTAATAAAATATGAAAGAATCGTTGAACGAAGAAAGAGTAGGTTTATTTATTTTTTTGGCTCAAAACGGAAGTGTCGAATATTTTATGTGCGGAGTTGTAATTATGGGATCTAAGAGTTTAATACAATTGGGGATTCTCACTAAGTTCCTTTTATATTTTGGTTTACGTATGCTTATACCCCCAATGGAAAGACGTCCGGCGTTTCTGCGCCATGCTGGGACAACCCATTGTGAGACATAAGAGTCTGACAATATTATAAGAAAATTCTTACTATGTAGATACCTTTTATCTTTTGCTTTACTTTAACTGCTAAAGTTTTCTTAGGTTGTGATAAAATTCCTCGCAGCTTGTCTTACTATATACTGTAAGTTCAAAGACAACAGCAAAATGAAATTCAAAAACCCTTATAAAAACCGCTAGCATAAAATTACTAAATATAATTTTGATATTACGTTTTATTTTTCCTTTTCTGGGTGAATAAAAAATAGACAGAGCTGTCAGATGATCTGATATGTCACGATGGTTTAGGTACTACAAAACTCCAACGCCTAGACCTTATTAGGATTTACAGGACTGAATATTTTTTATTGAATGGAGGTAGCCGACATTTTCAAGTAAGGCTTTTTACGTGTTAAAAGGTTTGAAAATTACAAAAGCTGCAGCATGTCGCAAATAAGATACTAGTTATTCAAACTAGAGTATATTATTGCAAATAATAACTTTCAGAACTTTGAATAATCGAGAGGAAAAAATGGTTAAGCAAAATATTGGCTACAGTCAGCAACAATTTTGACCGTAATCGTGACGAATGCATTCAAAAGATTGTCTTATTTGTCATGAACAGAGTATCAGTTTATACTGTTTTCAATAATGGATTTATCCAATTACTTCTGGGATTCTTATACGTCCCTTGTTATGTCATACTTAATTCCATTGAAATTATGAACGGTTATTGTATAATTTCCTTGTTTTATTTATTTGAGGTGAAAATAACAAAGAGTACTGTTTCATATCCATAAAGTAACTATCGCAGTAAGAACTATGGGGCTTAAGTAAAAGACAAAGTTTTCATATTTAATTAGGTGGTAGAACATTAAAGATTATTCCACAAATAGAAAAGGCATATACCTAAAATTAAAAAGATTGACGGGTAGCTTACATATAATCATAGTTGCTACTTTATTTAACTATCCCAAATCGGGTACATCATATGCATCAAAATTATAGATAAACGTGTTTTAAATATATTGCAATCAAATATAATAAGTTACTTGCGTTCCAGTCGATGCCGAAAAATAAAAGATGTATGTATAGTCGTGTAAAAATGTATTAAACTTACCCTGAAAGGTGCGAAACGTCGACTTATTGGTTTATCTAATGGAGGGAGAGGAGAGAAGGAATCATCAATAACAACAACAACCCCATTTCTCAATATCCACACACATAGTCATACACATAGATTAAAGAGTCAAACACAAAAGAAAATTGTTAAGGAAAGAAAAGCGAAGAAAAAAAAAATTGTCAAAAAAATCGTTTGGATAAAAGCGAGGAAATTTATTTAAATATAAACTCCCCACCCCCCTCCCCTCAAATGCCATTATGAAGCATCATTTTTTCAAGGTTATTGTTCTAATATTGATTATATGTCTTCTAGGCATAATAAAATCAATCTTTATGGCCATTTTTGTTGTTGTTTTAGTTAAAATTATGCGATTGGTGGTCAATTTTTGATATTCTTACCAAACAATGCAATATGGTCAAAAATTGAACGCATTTGCGATGGTTACTCTTAGAAAATGATCCCCGTCAATTTTTGCGGTATGGATAAATACTCGGTTTACCAATTGACTCGGTGATATAGCTTGGCCGCTTGTAAACGATAGCTGTTCATAACGGAGGTAGTCTGAGTTGACAACATGAATATTTAGTCAGCAAAGTTGGTTGAAAACCCCGTTTGATTCAAGTTTAAATAAAAAAGGAACTTGTTACAACCTCATGCCCTGATACACGTAAGTCCAATCCTAATAATATGGTCACTTCAAAAAAAGATTGATTCGATACCACTCACTGAGTGTATTTGGTACATCATGCCATATCAACTCATTCGCTCCTTTTCGATTACTTGTTGATTAAAGAAGACTAAAAAATAATGCGGTTTTAAGCCAAGGCTAGGCCAATACCGATATTATATTTCAAACAGCTTCTTGGGAATCCCAGTTTCTTTGGCATTTTGCTGCATAAATCCCATTTGCGATAATTGAGATAAAAAGGCAAATGTAAAAGCAGAATTTAAAAATGGGACTCCATAATCCTTTATAAGTCGGAGAGTTTATGATAAAATATCAGTCCTTTTTGTATTCGAGTTTTTTTCTGCATAAAACGAATTAACTAATTACCCGAAAACTGGGAAATGGTAGAATTAAATTTAGAAATCAGTGACATATGAAGCATAGCTTCTTGTTATATACAAGGTGCCAAGTGACTCATGAACGGCACTCCTTAAGAATTAGTCGCTTACCCATTTAATGACAAGGTCCTTGATTGAATTATTACTAATTAAATTTATAAGAGATTAGAAGCTTCAGCAGTTACTCGATCAATGCATGAACGATTATGAAATCTGATCTCAGCTTGACATATAGAGGGGGCTGGTGATGTGGCGAACCAATAAGAATATATTCACTAATATGATTCTAATAATATCAAGGCTATATGTATAATTGAGTGACCGTTAAGAAGTAATTATACTCCTGGAATCAAGCACCATTTACCATGCATTTTTGTGTAACAAAGAACTTATAAATATGCATGCTCAACAAAAGCAGTTTTCTTTTACCAAGGTATTAGTCATTTTTTTTTAAATTTTAAGAAACCCCCACTTGTTCTACTAAATATAACACAACGTTCATTTGTTTTGTGTTTTATGTATGGCAATTATTTGTTTTATTCAAACATACTTGTTTGTGAGGGGAGTTACGGAGGAACTATTTCACTCTTTTAGAACAACATGTGCGTATTCCTTTTAAAATAATTTTGTGCGATCTGTCGTACTGGTAGTCTACTCTCTAATAGTCTAAACACAAGTGCTATGTTGTCGAGATCATTGCCGTTTTAAAAGTCCCTTTGCCGGTTTTTTAAGGCGCTCTTTGCATTTTTTTTTTCTTGTATGTATTTTTTAGAATTTGACACACAACAAAAAACGTTTAAGCACTTGTTTAAAAGAGGTTCAAACAGATATATTTAAAATAACATTAAAGTTTTTATAAAGGAACTTAGAATTATCGTGCGATATAGCCGGTGGCTGTGAAATGGCTTGGACATTTTGCGTAACCCAGTGGTAAACTCAAAGCTTCTACAAAGCCGAGTATATGGAGGGGATAAACTTAGACATGCTGAAAGTGATTTATTGGATATATGCAACTTGTATTTTTTTTTATAAAGATGGGGCCTAAAAATGTTCGCTACTGTATCATTCATTTTAAAGATTTATCTCACTGGTAAAAAGATGACTTTGAATGGTGTCGGAAATGTATTTTCGAGACCCACAACAAAAAAAGTTATAAAAATAGTCTTCAATGACAATATATATGTACATAAAAAAAAAAGAACAAGTTAAGAACAATTTTGAATTTACTTGATTGAGAAAGATGGCAATTGTTGTAAGACGTAACCTGAATTTAGAATATATTTTGGAAGGTTACACTATTAGCACGTAGCCCAATTAAAAAGCTCCAGTAACCGCGCCCAACTATTAGGTATAAAAGAGGGCGTATTTTCTTTGTTCTTTGAGTCCAGGTTTTCCATTTTTTCTTTTTTAAAAAAAAAACTAAAATTTCTCTCATGTCACATACTATTGATAAAACAACATCCGCAGACGATATTCTCAAAATTTACAACATCCGATTAGACGGTAAAGTAGCCATTGTTACTGGATCAAACACTGGTATTGGTTTAGCCACTGCTCGTTCTTTAGCATCGGTTGGAGCCAAAGTTATTATCCCTAGTCGTACTCTGGAAAAAGCTCAAGGTGCTGTTAAAGTGATTAAAGAAACTGTCCCCGAAGCCGATTTAATTGCTATGCAACTTGATCTATCCGACCTTGCTTCTGTGAGGAAATTTGCTCAAGATTTTTTACAGCTCGACCTCCCTCTGCATATTTTGATCAATAACGCCGGTATTATGGGAACACCCAAATCATTTACCAAGGACGGTTTCGAATCACAGTTTGGGGTGAATCATCTTGCACATTTCCTTCTTGTCGATCTCTTAACAGAAAAATTAAAGGCTAGCGCACCTGCTCGTATAGTCATTACATCTTCCAGTGCAAACAGTCAATTTGTCCCCGTCTCTGGTCTTGATTTCGACAACCTGAATTCGGAAAAAGGATACGCTTCTTTCCCTGCTTACGGTCGATCCAAATTTGCCAACGTGCTCCATGCTAAGGAGCTTCAACGTCGATTTGATGCTGAAAATGTAGACATTACCGTAACAAGTCTTCATCCTGGATACTGCAAGTCAGAACTGGGGAGATACATGTCTTTTTCATCTTTTTTCAATATGCTGAGACACATGAAGAGTTTCACAATTGGTCTGGAAATCATGTCCTACCTAAAGACGGCAGAGATTGGCGCCTCAACCAATGTCTTTTGCGCTGTATCCCCTGATGTTATCAAGGGCGAGTTTTATAGTGACAATGCTGTGAATACCTATCTTTTACATGAAGAAGCAAATAATGAAGCCATGGCTAAGAAACTTTTCGAAGTGTCGCGTGAACTAGTAAATAAGACTCTTTAAATAGTAATAACTTTGTATATACAATAATAAAAAAAAAACTCTTACTAAGCTGTGGTATTTTTTTGATACCAGCAGAAATATTACCTGGTATCAAAACGAGTGTTTCTACAGTAAACCTTAATTGATATGAAACATGTTTATTACTTTCAGATCTTAATAAAAGCATTCAGACTGGATAGAGAAACTACTGTTCATCATTGGCCACTCTTTTAATCTGACAGAAATCATTTACAGGTTTATGCATGCATTACTTTTATCATTCTTTTTTACATAGTGCTACGTAGGCAAGAAATCACCATTCCAGAATCTGTGGGCCGAATGCAATAAGAGTGATGACATTGTGCCAGTCAAATTTTTTGCATAAATATAGCTGAATGATTCTTTTACATAGAAGGACTCACACACACTCTCTCTTCAACCCTCCTAGTATGATTTACAAGGCATAAATTACTTTCTTTTAAATTATAAAGGACCTTGTTTTTTAATATGTCGTCATGTTAGGAGACGGTTACCAAGGCTTTAGGCATTCACGATTTGTTGGAAAGATACACAAGATTGCTTAGGTAAAGAAGAGAATCAAAAACGCCTCAATGCAAGCACAAATACAAAGATAGGATAGAAATATGCATGTCATGATACTCGAAACGTAACATTTGGGGGGAGATGGTTCAAAAATACTTTGTACAACGTCATGATGATCGAGAAAAAACCAATGCTCAGGGATTTTAATTCCCGCGCCACTTTTTGTTGCCTGTTGTTGTTATTGATGTATTTTTGTAACTATTTGTCTGGAAAGAAACCAGGAAATATACGTAATAAAAAGAGAATGAGTAAAGAGAGAAGGAAAAAAAAGGTATCAAGAAAGAGAAAGATGCCATGTTTATTTTTATTTAAAAAATATGCGCATGACATCACTGAAACTTACCACGGAAAACCGCGCACCATTTAAAAGAGAAAAGGGCCACAGAAAAAAAAAAACTCTTCTTCTTTTATACACACACACGAAAAAAGAAAAATGCTCGATAACATGCTTTCATACAGCGGTGGACTTGTAGGTCTCATCATTTTAATTCTCGACTTGATTGTCATCTTTGAGGTAATGAACTCGAATCGTGAGATTACTGGTAAACTCGGTTGGTCTCTCTTGGTCTTTTTCTTCCCTGTTGTTGGATTGATTCTTTACTTGTAAGTATTTATGGACCGTGTGTGAAAAGGAGGGGGTTCGATGAAACTCATTATTTTTTTCTTTTCTTCTTCGTAGCCTTTTAAGTGGTCGTAGTGAACATAATGCTCGATACGAGGCGATAGTCTAACATCCTATGTTGTACCCGCTAAAGAAACTGTATTCTCTACACTGTTTCCTTTGTTTTTAATGTGTGATAATAATAATAAAAAAGCCCTTTCTCCTTTGAAAAAAAAAATTCTTGTGATACCACCCATTTTTTTATTTTTTAAACATCTATTCAATACGACAACGATCAATACGGACGGTATCTTGGGGACTACAAAAGTTGATTAATTGCCTGCATTTAAACCCCCCTCACCATCAATGTAGACTTACCGATCTGTTTTATCCGTTCTAACTAAACCCATTCTCTTGACTACATTCATACCATCACTCACTCTACCAAAAATCGTATGTTTACCTGTTGGAAACATGTAAATATTTAGAAAATAAGAATGTAAAACCTCTTCTATCTTACCATCCAACCAAGGCGTAGGTGCTAATGTGATGAAAAACTAGAAAAAAAGTGTTACCATCGATACTTTACCCGCAACCCTCCCCCCCCACTTTTTCTTTTTACCTGAGAACCGTTTGTATTGGGTCCGGAATTAGCCATACTGAGGATACCAGCACCAGTATGCTTGAGTTCAGGGTGAATTTCATCCGCAAATTTCTCACTAGAAAATAAACACTGTCAATTCCACTTTTTTTCTTTCTGTCCGCTATCCATTTTTTTTTACCCGTAGATAGAAGCGCCACCACGGCCAGTACCAGTGGGATCACCACCTACATTGAAAAAAATGTTAATGAGTTGTTTACAGTGAGGGTGGGCCATTGTGTGCTATTTGCCTTGAATCATAAAGTCCTATAAATCAAGTATTAGTAAAGAAGAAAGAAAGAAAGAAAAAGGGGCCCGCTGTAAAGGAATAAAACTCACGGCAATGATACGATGGAACTAGGAAAAAGAGAAAATGTTAGCAATGGACTAACAAATAAATTTACTCATGCTTACATCAACACCGTTGTAATAGCCACGCTTTGCCTGTAGGATGCAAGAGTTAGTTTGGGTCACGATCGATTAGCTAAAAATTAACAAGAGGAATTACAAGTTCTAAAAAGTTTTTGCAGGTTCTAATGGAACAAATAAGTAACAAGGAAACATTTTACTCAAAGCGCATTGTTTTACTTTGGTGCGTGATCCCAGTAGAGTTCGACATGGACGGAGCCCATGGAGGTATCAAGAATAACATTTTCTCTATCTGACATTTTTCAAAAATAAAAAAAGGTTTGTTTTTAAACACACACACAAAAAAAAATAAAAATTGTTTTTAGTGTGTGAGCTCCAGTAGCAGTAAGGACAGGCAGCCAATAATATAAGGTCGGTCAACCAAAAGGCAAAAGTGCTATTAGTTTATGCAAAAAAAAAAAAAAAATAGGGTTTCTATGTTTATATTACAATTGTTGGGCACGCCAATCCTCTTCCTCTTCACTGTCACTTTCATCATCATCAAAGATAGATTCTGTATGTTTCACAGGTTTACTCTTCAAAAGTTGTCTTACGCTTGATTTTAAACCTACACGAATCTCATCCTCATCCACTGGTTTGGTCTGCTTTACGACCTTGCCTGATTGACGCATTAATTTCAAGGACTCGACTCTTTTATCAAACATTTCCTGTTCTCGCGAGATATCATCATGTCTTTCCAGCCAAAAGGTTTCATCATCCTGATCTTGATCCTCTTTGGCTTCTTTGGTCACATCAATCATGGCCTCATTGAACATGGCCAGGTCCTTTTCTAAATCCGCCTGCGCTTGCTCTTCAGGCGCTAACGTACCTTGAATACGCGCCTCTTCTTCTGGGTCGTCAAAAAATCCTGTAGGAATAGCTCCATTCTCCTCCTCTGCCTCCTCCTCTACTTCTTCTACTTCCTCCATCACTTCCTCTTCTTGTCCAGCATCAAAGAAATCGTTGGGCAAATCCATCTCTTCATCAGAAGAAGACACTTGTTCATCCAGTTCAATATCTTGCATCTCTTGTGTACGCACACGTTTATTGACCTCCTGAGGTGGTGGTGAAGGTGCTCTACGCTTTAAGGATTGTTGTTGCTGTTGTTGTTTCAAGACTTTTAATTTCTGAATATTGTCACGATGCCCCAAAGAGCCCAAATGCGCTTGCCACACAGCTTCCGACTTTACTGGTGAGTTACACACCATACACATTAACCGCGACGTTTCGTCATATTTAGCAAACGGATGCGTGACTTTTTTTATCTTGTTTCGTTCATCTTGTTGTTTCTTCAATAAACGACGTACGTCCGCTTTAGGTGGCATTTTACAAAAAGAAAGAAGAAAAAAGAAGAAAAAAAGGGAACTCTTACCAGTGTCCCCCCACAGGCCGTGTGTGTTGGTGCGGGCACACCCAAATGTGTGGCTTATGGGACTGTCTTTTCTTCCCAAGAGGGGTTTGCCTCTTTTTTCCAACATTCTGCATTTTTTTTTTTTTTTTTTTTTTTGAGCGCCCTTTATTTTTTTTTACGATCGATGAATATGGAAAAGATTGAGACAAAGGAAGTTGATGACAAGTTCGATGTGCTTGCCGAGATCACACAAATGGATGTGGATGAGGATGAGGAAGCTCGTCTTGCTGAAAAGGCCGAGCGTAAGAGACTTCGTAAAACCATGACACCTGAAGAAAAGGAAGCACAACGTAAAATCAACAGAGAAAACAGAGAAAAGAAGAAGCAAAAGAAGGACTTGAACAAGAAGAGAAAGGTAAAAAAAAAAAAGACCCTTTTTTTAATACAAGTTTCTCTTGGCTTAAAAATAAAACCGTAAATATGTAGAGAGGAGAACTTGAGGAAGAAGAGGAATCCGACGAGGAAAAGAAGGAACCTAAACTCGATGCCGAGGGTAATGTCATTGAACCCAAAAAGAGAATTGCCAAGGAAGAAAAGAAGAAGAAGGAGATGGAATACGGTATTTGGGTCGGTAATCTTTCTTATGCCACCACATTAAATGCTATCAAGGACTTTTTCAAGGACTGTGGCGAGATCACTCGTATCAAGTGCCCCAAGGGTAATGGTGCCAAAAACTACAACAAAGGGTGAGTCAACATACTGCATTTAGTCTCATCTTTAATACTAACCTTATCTTTAGTTTCGCTTATATCTTCTTTGCTTCCCCTGAAGAGGCTGCCAAGGGCCTTGCCATGAACGAAAAGCAGCTCGAGGGTCGCTCTCTCTTGATCAAGGACTCTGAGAATTTCGAACGTGCCGATGGATCCAAGGCACCTACCGAAGCCGAAAAGAAGGAGATCAAAAAGCAAAAGAATCCTCCATGTGCTACCCTTTTCTTGGGTAATTTGAGTTTTGACACCACCGAAAAGAGTATTCGTGAAAATTTTGAATGGGCCGGTGATATTCGTAAGGTGCGTATGGCTACCTTTGAAGATTCCGGAAAGTGTAAAGGGTAAAAGCTGTTTGAATTTTTAAAGAAATAGTGTAGACATGGCGGGCTAATATTATTTTCTCTTACTAGTTTTGGCTATGTCGATTATTACGTTGTAGAGTCAGCTGTCAAAGCCATTCGTGCTCCTGATAAGCACATGTTGGATGGCCGTAAGGTGCGTGTCGAATTCGGTAGTGCAGAAGCTCACATGAGATCAAAACCTTGGTTAATGCGTGAAAAGCAAAAGGCCAACGAACCTCGCAGCACAGATAACACAGCATCAGCACCAGCAGCATCAGCATCAACAGCGGAAGGATCTTATCGCAGAAGAGACGATGGTGGAGAAGGAGGTAAGCGTGCTGCCCCTACTGAAGGTGGAGAAGCTCCTTATCCCAAGAGACAAAGAGGCGATGAGGATTTCAGAGAGAGACGACCCAAGAAGCCTGTCAGTCACGAGAGAGTGAAGCCTGGTCAAGCATTATATGCTGCTCAAAGACAGAAGCCTTCTGTCCAAGAATTCACCGGTAGTAAGACTGTCTTTGAATAGATTTTGTATAAAAAAGTAATCATTGTATAATAAATAAAAAAGAAAGTATATCACTCAACTATGAAATGTCATGGCTAATAAGCAAGCAGATGCCGATGCGGCTATCACCACACAAAGTGTTTTTAATCTTGACCATTCATGTTGGGTTATTAGGACGCCGTTATTAGGCAAAAAATTCACGTGACATTTCGTTCCTCATCTCCATGTGTGTTACAACGTTTTTTAAAACACAGAGGGAAGGGGGGTGACGTGCATGATGCCACTATCGCCAGTTTAAAGAGAAGGTTAGAAAAAAAGTTTTATTTACCCCTTTTTCATCATTTTTTTTCATTAGAACATGACATCTTCTGACAATACACTCGAAAGTATTCCTGCTGATCAACAAGGAAGTTTCTCTTCTTTTCTCAAGACATTAGCGTCCTTCACTGGTGATCTTTCCAGCTTGACCTGCCCATCTTTTCTGTTGGCACCCATCTCGTTGTTAGAATACTCGTAAGTTGCACTTTGTAGGGATAATAAAAAGCTAAAACTCACCCGCCCTATCCAATGATAGTTCTTTCTGGGCAGATCAACCTGAGCTTGTAAGTGCTAACCAAGCATCCCCAAAAGAGAGAGAGAAAGAGAAAGAGAGAGAGAGAGAGAGAGTTTAACCTTAATTTTGAAATCTAGCTGAGCTCGGTAGGTAAATCCGATAACGCAGAAGAGCGTTTCTATGCTGCCATCAAGTGGTTTATTTCTTCCTTGAACGGATCTTTCAGTAGCCGTGTTCCTAAGGGAGAATGGGAAAAGAAGCCCTTTAACCCTATTTTGGGTGAGCAATTCCTCTGTCAATGGCAGGACAATACTCGTATTGTTTGTGAACAGGTGTCTCATCATCCTCCTGTATCTGGATTCTATATCGAGAACAAGGAAGCGGGTGTGATTGTCAATGGTCATGATGGTCAAAAGACTCGTTTTTCAGGAACACAAATGTTGGTCGATCAAATTGGTTACTGTACACTCAAGCTCACTCAACGTGATGAAACCTACTTGTTTACCTTGCCCTCTGTCTCTGTCAATGGCATCTGGTACGCTGGTAAAGTTTTGGGGAATTATATCTTTCTATATAAAATCGCATGTGACAATCTGATACCCTTTATTTTTTCTTGTAGCACCTTATGTTGAGCTTTATGGCACTTCATTCGTTCATTCTTCCAGTGGATTCTCAGCTGCTATTGAATATACCACCAAGGGTTGGATTTCAGGCGAAGTTCATCATTTCAAGGCCACCGTCAGCCACGAGACCTTATCGACACCTACTGTGATTGAAGGACAGTGGACAGGTAAATCCACCATCACCAAGAACAAAAAGACCGTCGATTTCCTTGATTTGACCACTCTGGAAAAACCCACACCCATAATTGCTCCTCTTGAGCAACAAGAAGCCTTTGAATCCCGTCGTATTTGGAAAAAGGTCTCGGACGCTTTAAAGTCGGGTGATTACGCCGTCGCCTCCGCCGAGAAATCCGCTATTGAAAATCAACAACGTGCGCTTCGTAAAGAACGTGAGACTACCGGTGAAGTTTGGGTTCCTGCCCATTTCACCAAGGTTGCCGGGGAAGACATTTATGGCGATCTTCGTGAAAAAATTGTCGCCAAGGCTGATTCTAAGTTTATAGATACGATGGGTGAGGGTGGTTGGATGTACAAAGCTTAAAACAACATATATACATATACACATATAAAAAATAAACTCATAAATGAATAAGACTATTTTTTTTTTTCCTTTTTTTTTCTTTTTTTCTTTCTCTTTTTTCACTTATAAAAAATGGCAAATGGAAGAAAGAAACAAACCACATTAAACCATTACTTTAACAAGAATACGAAACAGCCATTACCACGAGCAACATTACCACAAGAATTACCAAATCAGGTCAATGTAAAAGATCATGTGGAACTTATGAATCTAGATACGGAAGCGTAGGTGAACTCCTGACCCCCATCAAAGCAACCATGGCCCCCCAAAGCTTATTCTCATTTCTTAAACAAAAAAACGTAAACATTAGCACTGCGCCAAACATTGACTCTGATGAAGACGAGGACGAGGAAGAAGAGGTCGTTGTAAGAAAGAGAAAAAGACGAATTGTTGCCAGTGATGAAAGCAGTAATGGTAGCGACGAAGAACCACTGCAGGAAAGAATCTCAAGATTAAGACAACAAGACGGAAGTGAGTGGACACTTGTGAAACTCACTATTTGTATATATTAAAATGTTTATGTGCGTAGTGGAACAATGTGATATAAATGACGAAGAATTGGATTTTCTTGACAAGTCTGGTACAAGAAAAAAAAAGAGAGAGAGAGATAAAACAAATAGTACTCCAATGACTTATACTGTTAATAGATATATTGCAAGAACGAACACGTGGAAAACAAGTATCACGATATAGTGAGGCGTTAAAGAAATTAGCGGGTAAAGTATTATTTTTCTTTTTGGGGGGAGTAGGTTACATGTTTGCATATTAAAACACAAGAATAGACCGTAAGGCGAGATTAGAGGCTTATCAAGGTGAACGAGGTCCGATTGAAGACTATGTGTTTAGTGATAGTAGCGAAGAAGAGTTTGTGGTGGATGATGATATTATCGACGGTGTGAAAAAGACGGACGGGGACTCCGAAATGGCTATGATGGAAATGCCAGGTACAGTTTTAAAAAAGCGAGTTTCTTATTGTTTATAACAAATAATTCCTAGTGGAATTTTCGAGTGCAAGAGCACAATCTTTTACAAGCCAGTTGTCTATTTATATCGAATATTTAATCCAATTAGCTGTGAATCCCGATTTTGAAAATGGAAGTAAGATTTTTAAAAAAAAAGGCAGGCTAAAAAAAGAAGATTGTTATTGTTGACTAAATTAGGAAGATTTTAGTGACCACCAACAAACGGTATCAAATCGCTAAAAATGCGGTCATTCGTAGAGTACAAAGTTATAAGGATTCCATGGTAACAAGTGATGTTTGGATAAGTACATTCAAGGTATGAAACAATCTATCTTACACATGTTCAAAACAAATATATAAAAAAAAAATTGTTTAGGATGTGGTGGACGCCAATGAACATTGGACTGTAACCGACGACTGTGTCATTACAGGTGTAAAATGTGATGCCTGTCGCTCGAATAAACCAGCCAGCTTTGAAGTTATGCTTTCTTCGGATAATTCACCGAACGAACACATTTTGTATTTAGGAAGTGAGTGCTGTAGAAAAGGTGAAATGTACCACGCTTTTTTTCATTTCGAGTTACACATGTCCAATCATATCAACCAAGTAGTAACAAAGATGATGTTGGAGAACCCTTTTTTCAACAAAGACACTGTACTTGAAGCATTATTTGAATCCCAATTCATCAAAAACGTAAGTTTTTTTTATTTATTTTATTATTTATTTATGTGTTTATTAAACATGCTTCACTTGCCAGAAAATTGAGCAGGTCAAGGACTCCTTCAATACTGTCAATCGAATCTATAATCTCAAAAATCAGCGATCTCAAATTGTCGACGACACGAGTAGTAGTGAGAATTCGTCATATGAAGATTGATGAAACGTACTTTATATATAAAAAGAATTTTCGTACAACCATGCTTTTTTTTTTTCCTTTTAAAAAATGCCCCTTTTATTTTTTACTTTTTTTATTCTTTCTTTTTTTTCCCTTTTTTTTTTTTTAAAGGGGGGGAGGATAAATCTTTTTTAGTTTCTTGCAGGAATTTCACCTGACCTCAATTATTATTTTTATTATTTAAGCAACATCATTTTTTTCATTTCCTTTCCTTTTTTTTCTGTCTACTTTTTTTTTATATATATTAACGACCGGCATTACACAAACAAACACAAAAAAAAAAGACAGCATTTACATTGAATGGGAGCCAAACCCAGTAAAAACAGTGACGATCATCGCTGGATCCACAAAAGATCAAGTCATCTTAGATCTGTCTTATCTAATAACAACAACAATAACAATAACGACAACAACAATAACAACAACAACAGCAGCAGCAGCAGTAATATTGTTGTAAACAAAAAGGAGAAAGAACAATGTAAAACTCCGTCATCAGCAGTTGTCTGTACCACCACCGCCAACACTACCACCGCCACCGCCATCAATTCAAGTGAGCCTTTACCTGAACCAACCCTCATCAAAAAGACACTTCATTATGACCCTCTCAAATCCTCCTCCTCCTCTAAAAAGACACGTCGAAAGAACTCTCCCTCCAAACACATATCCATCATCAGCACCAACAGCGATAACATGAGCAGCAGTGGTTGGACCACCTTATCCAATGATCCATTTTCTCAGATTGAAGCTGCTAACACTTCATCTTTTACAGATATCACTGACCAATCCACCATCTCCCGAAAATCTCTCTATCCTGTCATGGAGACTTCTTCCGCAGCTATTTCTATTCACCTTGACAACGAACTCTCGTCCTTGTCAACCGAAACCATCTTACTTCAACTACGCGATGCATCCCACGACCAGGCATTTCACCTTATCAACCAAGCCTATCGACTTGCACAGCAACAAAATGACCCTTATGATTGGACTCAGTTTTATTCCGCTATGGATCAATACAGTGCCCACTCAAGCATTGCCACCGTCTATCTCGCACGCTGCTACATCTCCGGCTTGGGTGTCAAGGCTGATATGCAACGCGGGTTTACATTATTAAAATCGAATCCGTCATGTGAAACCACTTACGCTCTAGGCCATTGTTACTTGGATAAAGGGGAAAAGAAGAACGCCTTTGCCTGCTTTCAAACCGTCATCAATACCCAGTACACGCCCATAAATGAATCCATCCGTTCCACCGTAGCAGAAGCTCAGTGTACTTTGGCTCGTATGTTCTTTCAAGGTGAAGGTGTTGAACAAAACACAGCACAAGCTTTACACTTATTAATGAAGAGTGCCGAAAGCAACATGTAAAGTCTTCTTTTTTTTTTTAACCTGTAAAAACAAAACAATTAACACACACACAAAATAAATTAGGTATGCACAGTTCCTCGTCGGTGTTCATTATGAACGAGGTTTTGATATTGTACAAGATCTTGAAAAGGCAAAAGAATATTATCAAAAAAGTGCAGAGGGAGGCTTTCCCGATGCACAAGCTGCATTAGGAAGCAGATTTATTGCGGATTTAAATTATGCAAAAGGAATTCAATGGCTTGAAAAAGCCGTGCAGATGGTAAACCTTGTTTTTTATATAGATATATATCATAGCCCCCTCTCCCTAATCATTAACTTTTTTTTCATAGGGAAATAGCCGTGCGCACGTCCAATTAGGTATTTTATATGATAAAGGTCAAGGTGTGGAACAAAACTCCGAGTTGGCCTTATCTCATTACAAGGCTGCGGTCGAAAACAACAACCATCCGGCACAATATATCTTGGGCTTAGTCTATTACTTTGGAAGATTGAATCGTCAAAAGAATCTCAAAGAGGCCATTCGATTGATCCGTTTGGCCGCTATGGCAGGCTTACCTTACGCTCAACGTGTTCTCGGTCAGTTCTATCAACAGGGTAGTATCCATCAACAACCTTTGAACGAAAATGCCTCCGATACTCGTGCTCGTCTCAAGAAAAATGAACGTGAAGCCATTCGCTGGTATCGTCGTGCTGCGGCAGGTAAAGATGTCTCTGCCATGGGAATCCTCGGTAAATGCCACGAGTCCGGAACAGGTGTCGAAGTCGACCTCGAAAAGGCGTTGGCGTTTTATGCTAAAGCCGCTGAACAACCCGGTCCGTTTGTTTCTAACGCTCAAATCGATCAAGCTTTACTCTTGCAAAAGATGGCAAGACATACTGAAGCCTTCCGCTTGTATTCTCTTGTATTAAATACCACAGATGTCGATCCTTCTTGTTTACAAACTGCACAACTCTCGGTGGCCAGATATCATCTCTGTCATGATGTGGATGGAGTGACCTATGATCCTCGCTTGGCCCATAAGATGCTCTTGACACTGGTCGATACCACCAATGATCCTCATGCACATTACTGGTTAGGCTCAATTTACGATGAAGGAATTCCGGGAGTCTTTGAAATTGATCGTCAAAAGGCCTTTCATCATTTCATGATCGCCGCTCAAGGTGGTGATAATGACGCTACATTTTTGGTAAACTATCGGATTTGATATTATTCTTTTTATTTATTTTACATGTATACTAATTTAATCATAATAATTCTATACTATTACAGGTTGCATATATGATGTCGAATCATGTCATTCCACTGAAGGGACCTGCCGATGCATTTCCTTGGTATCAAAAGGCCGCAGCCAAGGGTCATCGCATGTCCATGTACTCTCTCGGTCTTTGTTACTATAAAGGCATAGGCACAGATTCTCAACTCGATGTGGCTCTCGACTGGTTTGACAAAGCAGCACGTCTTGGTGTCTGCGAAGCGGTTTCCTACATAAGTCGTATCTACCTTCAGCGCATGGTGTCCTGTAACCAAGCCAAACAACCCACACTCGCACAACAACACTTTGTCAAGGCCGTCCATTGGTTGAAAAAGGGTGCAGATTTGAACGACATGTACTGTCAACGCGAACTCGGCAAGATCTATTTAACCGGTAAAGGCATTGCTCCCGATTATCGTTTGGCATTTGAACTCTTGAAAAAGGCCAGCTTGAAAAATGATGCAGAGGCAATTACTTTTTTGGGCGATTGTTACCATAAAGGTACAGCGGTTACCAAGGATTTGGAAGTCGCCATTGAACATTATTTACGTGCTGCTTCTTTAGGCTATCCATTGTATGTTTTTTATTTATTTTGTTTGGGAGAAGAAAAAAAAAAGCATGACATAATGTAAACTAACTCTTTTGTGATGAACCTTCTTTTAGTGCCTATTCTGCAGCCGCTGAACTCTATTATGAAATTGGCAACATGGAATATGCATACAACTATTATCTCTTGGCTTCTAAAGAACCAAAACTTCTCAATAACAGAATCGGAAAAGCAGCTCATATGATGGTCGCAAGATTAGCCCTGGGTTTGGTTCCGGCTGCTCAAACGGATCCTTCACTTTTAGAACCTCTCTACAATAAAACAATCAGCCCAACAGAAGCCTTTGAGATCTTATCCAAGCTGGCTATCGGAGACCAATTCCCTCAAGCCTTTCAACCTTTGGGTTGCTGCTTCTTAAATGGTACCGGCACAAATGTCAACCCTGTACAGGCCATCTTTTGGTTACGCAAGTCAGCCCAAGAGCTAAACGACAGTGTTGCTTATTTCACTCTGGCCGATATCTATGGTAGTGGTACCGTACCTGGTGTACCTATGGACATGCAATTGGCGTTATCTTACCTCGGACAAAGTGCTGATATGGGCTACACAGAAGCTCAGTATCGTATGGGCATGATTTACCTAGAAGGCGATTATGGTATTCCTATTGAAGAACGTAAAGCCGCTCATTGGTTTAAGCTTTCTGCAGCAAAAGGTCATGTTGAGAGCATCTGGGCGCTTTCACAAATGGCAGGTCGTATCGGCCAAAGTGAATTAGAATTACAATATCAGAAAAGAGCCGCCTCTCTGGGTCATGTCCTTGCTATGCAGGTGATTGGTGAAAGCTATCTCAAACAATTAATCGGAACTCCGTTCTTAAACGCTCTTACTCAGCAAGAATACTTGGAGGAAGCTTTAAAATATTTACATTTGGCAGGAGATGCAGGAGATACCAAATCGCTCGTGCTGCTCGGTAAAGCTTATACAAATTGTACAAAGACACGAGTCAAGTTTTCTGCATGCTCTCCCGAACAGCAGTATCATTTACCTACTCCTAGTGACACCCATAGCTCTTTTGACGACGACGACGAGGAAGGTGAATCGAGATTTCAGTGCGAGGAAGATGAAAAGAATTTGGCCATCCAATGCTTCGAAAGAGCTTCAGCTTTAGGAGATATTGATGCTACTGTATACGCTGCTGAAGCTTGGTATGAACAAAAGCAATATGCTGCTGCACTTGAATTCTTTGAAAAGGCCGCAAGCCAAGGTAATGTCCTTGCACGTTTCTTTTGTGCACGTTACTGTATTGAAGGTTATGGTGGTAGTCAATTAAACCCCGAAAAAGGATTCCAGGTACAAAAAATCTTTATTAAAAAGCAGACATACGTCTCATAGGGGTTTGGACTAACAAAGAAAATCTATAAATAGGAACTTTTGATATGCGCCAACGAATTAAATTGCGTTCATGCGTATAATAATTTGGGTCAGTGTTACGAAAATGGTATTGGCACTACGAAAAATGATCAACTTGCATACGAATGGTATTGCCGTGCTGCAGAGGTGACGCATGACGCCGAGGCCTTTTATCGTATTGGACAAATGTATGCTCAAGAACGTATTCCTACTACCGTCTTAAACAAGGATATAGAGGCTTGTAAAATCTATGAATTGGCCGTCAATGCTACACCTGAAAATCATGGCATGGCTTGTTATCAACTAGGACTTTATTACTTGAAGGGTATCAAGGAAGATATTCACGATCAAACCTTCTTGTTGTCGCCTGATATTTGTTTATCCATCGAGTATTTCAGAACAGCAGCTGACTTAAAGGTGAAAGAAGCCATGCTACAGCTCGGTCTTTTGTTCCTCAATGACGATTACAGCGTAGATGAACAAGAAGAAGGGCTCTCTCGACTTTTACATGCTGCAGAACTGGGTTTACGTGAAGCCCAATTTGAGCTCGGTTTACTCTATCATCGTGGAAAAGAAGTGATGATCCCTGTGAATGACGGAACAGAAGAACGACGTCATGGTGATGTACAAGAAGAAGAGTGCATCCTTGTACCCCAAGACTTTGAGAAGGCCTATGATTTATTTTGTCGATCCGCAGCTCAAAGTCATCCAACCGCTACGTATTACCTCGGTATTTACCACCAACATGGCATATTTGTAGCTCCCGATCTTTCAATCGCATTAGAGCAGTATGAACTCTCTGTACAACTCTTTGAGAAATATGACAGTGCGCCAGATCGATGGCAAGCTGAATTTAATCTTGCTCGTATCTTGCATCAAGACATCGAAAGTCGTGTTCATGCATACGAACTGTTCCAATCTGCACACGTTCATGCTCCTCCACAATTCAGGTTTTTATCCGAGATCATGATTGCACGTTACCACCTCCATGGTTGGGCTGACGTGGATGTCCAGGCCGAAGAAGCTGCAGCCACATTAATTCGATTTGCACAAGAAGAAGAAAAGTTCGGTTATCGCGTTTATTTAGACGTTGCACAATGCTTTGAAAATGGCCTAGGTGTTCCTCAAGACTATCGTCAGGCCTTTCATTGGTACGGTGAAGTTGTGAGTAAAGCCCATCGATTGATCTCGGCTAATAATGACAGCATGAGCAGTTATGACGTAGCCATGGTGATGGATGAAGAAATCGAGGAAGATGAAGCATGCGCCATGTTCAAACTAGCCGAGTTTTATCGCAAAGGATTAGTGGTCGCTCAAGACAGTACAAAGGCAGATAGCTTGTACAATCTCGCTGCTCGTAAGGGATCGCAAGCTGCTCAAACGTATCTCGCTGATATGCTTCAAAAGACTTCCTTATATGATTAATGCACTCATTTTTATGTAACAACACCGCCTCCCCCCTTTTTTTCATATCTATTTTTCTGTATATATTATACGATAACTTATTATTTAACCCCACGTTCACTATATCTATTTTATCTATCTTCCCACCATTATTTATCACTAGGTTTTTTTTTCTTCTTCTGTGACCTCTTCTTGTATTTATATCTACTTATTACTCTCCTCTCCCGCAAACTATTATTAAAAGAAAAAAAAAACTTGCCTATTTCGAAAACTTGGTTTTTATTATTATCGTGTGTTACAAATATTAGAGATCAGATCGCAAAAGTGCATTCTGTTTATACAAATAACAACGCCCCTTTTTTTTACTACTCGGTGATATCGTGCAGCTCATTCGAAACAACAGAATGACGATCGTTTCTTTTTTCTCTCTTTGTGTCTTTCTAAAGGCTACCCAATAAAATCCAAGAGGGGGTGAGAGAAGATATTATCATTTTGTAGTTCTGCCAAAGTTGGTTTCATTAAACAAGAAGTGTCAGTTGATAAATGTCGAAGTTGGTCTTTTTTCATCACAAGGTCTCCTTTGGCTGACTGTTTGTGTTGTATATGGGAGTGGAAGAATACCTGACCCATCCCAAATTTTATTAATAGATTTTCTATTGTTCATTCAACATATCTTGACTGAAACATTGTGTATTTCCTGTTTATTTCGAAACAGTCATTTTATCAACTGACTGTACGCCCCGCCCCAAAGAAATAAACCGGAATTGTCATTCTTTTAGTGATCTCTGAAAATCCCGGATCCAGGAAAGAACGTTTGCGTGTGGCGCTTTTTTTTTTTTTTTGAGACATGAAAATTAAATAAATTTGTTTCATGTTGTACCAGCCTCAAGAGCATAAAATTGCCTATTTTGGTCACGACTTTTTCGAAAAAAACTTTAAATCATCTTTTCGTCATGCTTACACACTCTGACAGTAAAATAATTGCTGAGCCCTTCCATTTTATTTTTGTTTGGGGGGTTCAGGGAGACGGAGTTGGCATTCATTTTACAACAAACCAAATACAGAAAGAATGATTAAATATAGACACGCTGTTTTAATCCATCTTTTCCTTACTAAAACACACACATGGGTATACATAGAGCATGACATATACGGATAAAAAGCTAATTAAAAATGTTACCGGTAATACAAATAATTCTAATACGGGCCACACATGTTACTATCAAGTCAAGCAGGTTAGTAAACCCACCCTTAAAAACCTTAATACAAGCTGAGTTTATGTCTCTTACACATAACTTAATCAAGTTTTTTTAAGGCACAGATAGTGGTGGTTACTGATAAATATTGCCGCGTATCACCTTCTACAATACTTTTACAAAAAAAATTCTAGCTATTAAATACTTTAGGATGCAAGTAAAACTATACTTTACGTACTTATTCGAATAGGGAGCACATATGCAGAGGTTATGTAAGCTGAACGTTTACGTCAGCTGCATGATTTAACTCAGGGGTTACAAAGCTTGTTTATGTCAGCATTAAAATCTCATTGATGTAGTATTAAAAGAATAAAAAAACGTTTGGCTTGGTATTTAAAAACCGAGTATTATTATGGAGTACCTGCTAATACTGACCTGAACACGCCAAAGTAAAAAAAAGTGACTATCTTGGCCAAGGATTCAATTCTCAGGGTATGGTTAGCAGTGGTATTTTTCTCACATATGTATGCAAAAAAACATGGGATATGTATGCTTGGTATATAAAAAAACATGCATTCTCATCAATAAATATGTCTAATGGTTAAAACAGTATAGTGTCAACCGTGTTTTTATTACTTCTTTTGCACAAATATTCTCACAGTTATTTTTGGAATGCTTAATTAATCAAATAGTCAACCTAATGGTTATAGAAATATGTAGTGCGTTGTTATGATCTTTCCCAAGAGAGGTTAAAAGGCTTGGTGATAACTATAGTACATATAGAGGCTCATTTTTCAATTACCTAGAGACTTAATATCATCAAAAGCTAGAATTCCCCCTTTTTCTATATATATGGAACCCGTTTGATCTTCATTATCGTAGTCTCATTCAACACCTCTAATAAAAAAAAAAGTAGATTCGCCTTGCTAATTACCCACAAAGTGCACAGAATGGCTTTTGCAGAAGGCTGTCAATTGTTTTCATTATCCGATGAATATAACTCGACATTTTATTTTATTTTCTTAAGTCACTGGATATTGAACTTTTAATAATATAGTCTATCTCTATGCCCAAAACAATTATTGAAACAGGTTGCACACTTTAGTATACTTTCAAATATAGTTTTATATGTAGAGAATAAACACTGTCTAACAAAAACTGGTTTGTCAATTATACCCTGAAAATAATTATTGCTATAATAAACTTACTTTAAAAGTTGCATCAATAGAAAAATCATCACATTTGGGCCTTAGTTGCCTCAGAATACGTTTTATAAAACCCATGGGAAGGAGGCTTCAAAGGTGAATTTGTAAGTATTGTCATTTTTTACGAGGTATACCATTTTCATTTTGACCACTTTTAGAACTACTAAAGTCTGTCGGCAAGCTTAATTTTCACACCGTAAATCCTTACTTACACTCTTATTCTATAATAAAAAAAAGACTACAATTTAATCAGACCGAAAAAGAGAAGAGCATCGTTGGAAGAGCATCTGCAGTTGTTTTAATACCAGAGCCAGTGCCGCATCCGGTATCGCAGTCCGGAATTGATGACATTCGTGCAGAAGAAAGCTTATCCAAGATTCCCTTGAGACGCGAGGCTAATAAGGAATAGTTAAGCCTGAAAGTTCAGATTATTATTCTTGTCTGTGTAAAGCAAGAGTTAAAATTATCCGCTAGCATTTAAATTGTGATGGTATCATGTAATTACAAGTTTAGTATAAATCAAGTCGGGGAAGTAGCTTCATGAGAATATAAATAGATTCACTTTCCTTGATATGGAGTTGAAGGTTATGGTATAATGGTTGTATAACTGCTGTATCTATTGTGTTATATACATTTCTCTCATGTGTAATATACCTGATACCTTGGGTAATGTGCAAAGAGGTTAAGCCAGGACATATTAAAACGATCACGCATGTATCTTACCCATTTGGGCAGACCAAGTGAACTGATTTTGAGGTTATATAAGTTTTTTAACTTCTGCAATATAGTTAATATGCTATACAGTTATAGATATGAAGATACCAAACAGAGAAAATCATACTTATAAAAAAGGGGTTTGCATGAATAATTCCTTTTTTGGGCCGATTTCATTGGCTGAAAATGCAAATCATGACGTCAGTTTTTAATTTTATATAAATACCGGCACATTTTTTCTTGTTTTTCTTAGGTTTGCCTCATGTAGAAAAACTTCGAATTCAGGATGGATTACCAACCAGTTTAAAATCAACTCGTTTACTTTTTAAGGTATTTAAAAATATAGTATAATAGATTTCAGTATGTTTTTCTCATAAATATTTGTGAATTAACGAATTAGTACTGCATTGCAGCTGTAGCTTCTCCAATACACCAAGGGGCAGTACAGCCTCTGATTTTGACTAAAGGAAAATTTAGAATAAACTGAAAGAATTCATAAATTTAAGCAGAAACAAAAAACATAAAAGAATTCCTTCATTTTAGTACTCACTTCTTTGGAATGTCCGAACGACGGAAGAACACTGGGTCATGTTTTCACCAAACAAGTTCAGAACCTGTTGTATGTGAAATATAGTATTCTATTGTTTAAGAGTGTTTTAAACATAAATGTAATTTTATAGGAGTTATATATCCAACACCAGCAACACAATTTACGTCAGTATATGAACAGTACTCTTCCCCCGCCTTGTGCAATTTCTTTACTAAAAGCTTGTCTTGTTGAAAATAAATTAGTGAATAGAGATAAATTACTTCACAAGACGATGAAACTCCGTTTTTCAGAACTCTTCACACATCATGCGAGTTTTCATGAAATAGATGTATTTTACTTCATACCGCATTTATTGATTACAATGAGACCGGTTTAGACTGATGACATTTTTTTTTATTCATTAAAAAAAGGGATTTTATGTTTGAACATGTTTCAACACGGAGGAGGATTTAATATAGTCTTGACCATCCATATATTCAACCTTTTCTTTGGGAAAGATGAGTATTTGAAAACCAAATGCGCGAATCAACAATCTTTCAATATTAGAGCATGTAATCTGTATTGCACTGGTTTGATTATCCCTTACGCAACCTTCGAATTCTTCCTGGCTTGATAGACTTTCCAGCTTGTGTTTGTCATACAGGCGATAATAAAGCGGTTTTTGTGATGCTTTTGTAATCTTGATCACCATCTTCGAGTAATTTATTACCTGCTGCTTTTTTCTTGAGTAAAACAAACATCCCATCACAGTGAATGGCATTTCCACATGGAGAGCCAATTGATTCGCCCGGACATTAAAATTGCAGTGGTCGATAACCATAAATTCCAATCGAAATGGTAATCGACGAGATAAGTCGGGCAGAAAATCTCTGCGGTGAAAAATTTTACAATTTTGAAGGTGAAGAAGCTTTAAAGACCGTGGCCCCTCCTTGTCACCATCATCACAAAACACCAAATTCGCCCCCGTGATGACCAATGCTCGCAGAACTGGACAGTGCATAAATATATGATTGATAAAATGTCCAAAACGTTTTTTACCATGACCTTCCATGACAGGAGGAGCGATACGTCGTTCGGACACCATACTCAAATTCACACTTAAATGTTTCAATTGAAATCCAACTTGCTCGATCAATGATTCATGCGGTAAATGAATGCGGTATTCACTTGGAGTATACCACACAATAGTTTCATATATGTCGTAGACATAATCCATATCGTGGATGATCAAGGGATGTATATCTAAAATTGGACACCCTTGATTGTCACTTTGCGGACTAAATTTTTCGTACTTTACCATGATTTCTTTACAGAACTTGGTGCTTATTGATATCTTTCTCAAGACTTGATGTAAGGAAGATATAATTAAGCGTGGGCCATAAAACATGTTGATATTGTCCACATAGGTCAGAAATTCAACCCAAACCTCTGTGGGGATCTTCCAACTTAGAGCATCATATTGATAATTTGGGGCTGTCTTCCGGTCTGTATACATCAACAATAATTCAAGTTGCGGAAATAGCTTCATCAGGAGACGCATGACATAATGGCTTGTAGTAACCACACTTGTGTCGATCACCAAGTCAACAAGATGGGAAACTGGTTGCACACAGGTTGTATCTATCACCTTAATTTGATCCTCTTCAAACGGATTATACCCGGTATTACGTGAAATCTGCAAACCGGTTAAGTTTGGACATCTTGGAATTATTGTGGTTATTTCGAACATTTGAGAGAGACTAGAGACGCGAAGTCCGAGGCTGACTAAATTCCTAAACTCTTGTAACGGAGTGATTATGCGGTTAGGATTGATGCACCAATCGGGTAAAACCATGTGCGCGAGCGTTTTCTTGAGTGCCCATACAGCATATTGGTATGATCTTGCATCCTGTTCCAATTCTGAAGAAAATCCTGGTATCATCACTAATTGGGTTGGTCTGTTGGGGTACGAGTAAAGTTCAAGCAAGAGTCTGGCAAAAAAACATCCCTTCTGGGGTTTGGCCAAGAGAAGACGAAGGTTGGGCAATGCGTTTAAAATGAGACCTAGATCCTCTTCTAATTTGACATTGGTGATTTCGGAATACGCTTTAAATGAACGTACTAATTGATTCATGCCGGTGCTGTAACGGCTCATGCAAGTTAAAAAAGTGTCGTGTTGCTTGATAGACAGCATGGACACTTCCTTATATAATAACGTTTGAGTAATATGACACCAGTTCTTGCAAACAAGCATCAACCGGGATACTCCCCGTTGAAGTTCAAGTTTGTCATGGTAAGCGAACTTGATAATCTCGATCAGAAGTTCGGTTGGTAAATGACTCCAGTTTGACATGAGAGTTTCTACAGAAAGTCAAAGGCAAGAAAGAAAAAAAATTGCCATTGCCATGGCGTTTTTGGCGTTTTTGGCGTTTCAAAGAATTTTTTTCTTGATTTTCTGGTAACAACAGCTGTTGACTAGCAGTAAAGAAATAAGTAAAAAAATATTCAAGAACACTGCTGTGGGATGCTGCTTTAAGAAGAATACTCGCATTATCCACATCTATTCCAATCCAAATTTTAAAGAAATGGATGAGATGCCAACTGCTTAAACATCATCACCGTTCAAACTAAGCCCTGAGATTCAATATTTCAGCATAATCAGGACTTGGGACCTCATCCATTTTTTAAATATCGTCAAGAATTTTTGTTAACGGTTTTAGTTTTATTTCTTTACAGCTACCGTAGTTTTTTATAGCTTCCTAAAACTCTTCCTTCATGATCAGTGAAAGCATTCTTTTTTTTAACCCCCCCCCCGTACGTTTCTTTTACACTATCGATTACCGAGAAATCAGTTCATTTGATTGTTTGGATACCTACTGACGCCGTTTGTAATTACCTTTCACTAAGATAAAAAAACATCAATGGCAACCGCTTTTGTTGTTGTTGATAGGGATTTGGCAATGCTTAAGATTGGTCTGATTTCCAACACCTATCAGAAAAATGTCGACCACATAGTTGAAGTAAAACGTAAAAAAAACCGAGCATCCTGTCGTAAACCAAGAGAAGATATTTCTTAATTATTGATGCTAGATTGCACAGGCTCGTCGTCTGTCAGATGTCTCTCCACATCCTAAGAAGACACTTTATACCAAATACTTTAATTTCGGGCCGATTTCATTGGCTGAAAATGCAAATCATGACGTCAGTTTTAAAATTATATAAATACCGGCGCTTTTTTTCTTGTTTTTCTCAGGTTTGCCTCATGTAGAAAAACTTCGAATTCAGGATGGATTACCAACCAGTTTAAAATCAACTCGTATGCTTTCTAAGGTATTTAAAAATATAGTACTATAGATATCAGTATGTTTTTCTCATAAGTATTTGTGAGTTAACGAATTAGTACTGCATTGCAGCAGCAACTTCTCCAATACACCAAGATACAGTACAGCCTCTGATTTTGGTTAAACAAAAAATAAGAATAGACTGAAAGAATTCATAAATTTAAACAAAAACAAAAATCATAAAACAACTCATTTAATTTAGTACTCACTCCTTTGGAATGCCCGAATGACGGAAGAACACTGGGTAATGTTTTCACCAAGCAAGTTAAGAACCTGTTGTATGTGAAATATAATATTCTGTTATTTAAGAGTGTTGTAAACATAGGTGTAGTTTTATAGCAGTATTATAAAATGGGTGTTCCGAAGAGGTTAATTAAGACGTAGGATGATTGAGTTTGAAGTGAGAACCAAATCAATTAATAGGTTTTGATTAGACCTTTGTTAACGTATTGTTATTAAGATGAGAAGGAATAAACAATCAAGGGTTCTTCAAGAATCAATGATCATGTAATAAGTGTTATTAAATACAAGAAGCTTTTATCAAGACTGCTTTAAGTATGTAATGGTACTTTTGAAGAGAGTAGTTTTACTATACAGGGTCATAATTACGCTATGATAAAAGTAAAAGTAATTTTGTTTTACGGTGTCAGATGTGTACTGTTCCTGATTATGAAAATAATAGAAGGTGTTCACACAAGGCCAGAAATATATAGAATGGTTCCAGATAAGGATGGTTTCTTATATATTTATACAAAAGAGAAAGTAGATATAGAAGAGTTTTTATTGAGTCTGTTTAAAGTAAGTATGTTACTATTCAAAAGAAAGTTGCTTACTGTACAGGATCTCGAGAATTACTGAATGGTTCTTATAAATTAAAATTTCAAGTAAGTCCTTATAAAAAAAGAAAGAAAGATAGAAAGAAAGAATGAAAGAAAGAATGAAAGAAAGAAAGAAAAAAAGAAAAAAAGAAAGAAAAAAAAGAAAGAATAAAAAATAAAAAAAGAAGTAAGAGCAAATATGGCTCGGTTGTGATAAGTTTTTGAGAGTAAAATATGTCTAACGTTTATTTATAAAAAAAATGGAAAGGGGATATTTAACTAGACTATAGTTTTTGAAAAAGATGTGATTTATATGTGTATAAACTATTATCTAAAAGGAGTTAATTCTATTTCTAACAGGAGTTATATGTCCATCGCCAGCAACTCAATCTCTGTCAGTATATAAACGGTAATCTTCCCCGCCTTGTGAAATTTCTTTACTAAAAGTTTGTCTTGTTAAAAATAAATTAATGAATAGAGATAAATTACTTCACAAGACAATGAAACTCCATTTTTTAGAACTCGTCACACATCAGACAAGCTTCCATGACATAAAAGAGCTCACTTCGTACCACATTTATTGATTAAAATGAGACTGAGTTAGATCGATGATGTTTCTTTTCAGTTAGGCATTTTGTCACAGTAATTCTAACAGGTCTCTAAGGGACAGTCAAATTTTCTTTGGTACAGTTATTTTTCTTAAGAACAACCAGAGTGCGCATAGTCGTAATGTTGGTTTATAATGCTTTAATAGACCTTTGGAAGTCAATATAACATTACAACTTGAAAAAGATACAAACTTATCACAACCAACATAGTGTTAGACAGTATACGTGTGTTTAAGCTTACGTTATGTTTCTCGTTTGGACTTTACCTTAATATTTCTACGTAAGGTTAAGATCAAACGAGCTTAAAGACTAACGAGTGATAATAGAATTGTCAAAACAAGTATAAATCATTCAATGTGTATTTATTCGTTGTTATCACATTGTTCTTGATTATATATTTTTGTTTTCAGGTCTAAAGGACAGCCAAATCACAGATCTTACGTGGTGACTACGCGCACTTTGTCTGTCCCTAAGAAAAGTGTAATTCTAAAGGTTCATCGAAACATGAATTATCATTTAGAAGATACTTCGGCGTTTACTCAATTTATCAAAATCGGGCATCTAAAATAAACTAATGAAATGTCTAAACTGTATTTTGAACTTGTTTATTTTTCATTCTTCTTTCGTCTAAAAATCAATTTTGATTCGTCCAAACCAATACTAAGATCGTGTGAATCACAAGTATGTTAACAGTATAAGAAGTAGTCTGCTGGATTTAAAAGAGCTTCATTGTCCTCAGAGGAATAATGAAATTATCTCCTTTTTCCTCAATTGAGCTGTTGACCTCCACATACAAAAAAAATATGTTTACAATTTTTATGACTTGGTCTGCTTCACCTTCATGAATTCTAAAACAACTAATTCGTATTCATTGTTGCAACTATGCTGGTTCGTAGGCTTTCTTCTGTGTCCAGATATTTGAAAAACAGTGATTTTATTTGCCATTGAAAAATCGGGATTTTTTAATTGCTACGAAATATAAAACACGCCGATAAGCTTTTTTAGCTGTACCTAATTAGGTTTTATAATCGCAGAGGCACATGTGCCACGCACTTGCAAAATGGATGTGGACCCCCCAAATAGCAGCGACAAAAGTGATTGGTTACGAGCATATTAAAAGAAAGACCGTCACTTAGCATACCTCACCTCCTTTTTTTTTTCATTGATAAGCAAAGGCGTACCTTGCAGAGCAACATAGGGACAGATGATATTTTCCAATTGACGAAGGAGAGATTATATCATAAAAAGAAAGGAAAAAATACGGTGCATAAATGCCTAAACATTTCTAATTGAACAAGTTTTAAAATAATGAACTAGCCATTAACACGCTAATTGGCCAGGAATTTAAATGGTGGCTGAATTTAACAGCCTAAAAAAAAAAAAAAAAAAAGCTGCGACGACAATTTAAAAGGAGAGAAAGAATTTTATCTCTCGTTTTTTCTTCATCTTTTTACTTTTTGATCTCAAAAATTTAAAAATGTCTTCATACTCTTCATCTTACCAATCTTCCTCCGGTGGAGGAGGTGGTGGTTATTCCAGCAGTCGTGGTGGCGGAAGCTACCGTGATAACAGAGAAACCTCTCCCAGAAGATCTAGCAGACCGTAAGGATCTAATCTGAAATATTTTTTTCTTCTTAAACCGACAATTAACCTTATTTATTTATTAATCGTTAGTGCTTCTTCTGGTTACGAAGGTTCATCTCGTGGAGGTGACGATCGTGGTTATTCTTCTTACCGCTCCGGTGGTGATAGCCGTGGTGGTGCCAGCGGTGGTAGCAGTGGTGGTTATGGTGGTGGTAACAGCTACGGTGGAAGCAGTGGCGGTTATGGTGGAGGTAACAGCTACGGTGGAAGCAGTGGTGGCTACGGTGGTGGCTATGGTGGTGGCGGTGGACAATATGGCCAAGGTCAAGGTGATACCAACGGTGCTGGTTTAAAGGATATTGATTGGGATATTACCGCTTTGCCCAAGTTCGAAAAGAACTTTTATTGTGAACATCCCGATGTCTCTGCTCGTTCAGCTGAGGAAGTTACTGCTATCAGAGCTGCTGCTACCATGAACGTTACTGGTCATGATGTTCCTAAACCTCTTCAAACTTTTGAAGAAGCCAACTTCCCTACCTACGTCATGGACGAACTTGCCAAGCTTGGTTTCTCCAAGCCTACCCCTATTCAATGTCAAGGTTGGCCTATGGCTTTAAGTGGTCGTGATGTTGTCGGTGTTGCCGAGACTGGTTCCGGTAAGACTTTAGCTTACACTTTGCCCGCTATTGTTCACATCAATGCTCAACCTTTGCTCCAACCTGGTGATGGACCCATTGTCCTTATCTTGGCTCCTACCAGAGAATTAGCTGTCCAAATTCGTGAAGAATGTGTTAAGTTCGGTTCTACCTCTAGAATTAAGAACACCTGTCTCTATGGTGGTACCCCTCGTGGACCTCAAATCCGTGATTTATCTCGTGGTGTTGAGATCTGTATTGCTACTCCTGGTCGTTTGATTGATATGCTTGAAGCCGGTAAGACTAACTTGAAGCGTGTCACCTATCTCGTTCTTGATGAAGCTGATCGTATGTTGGATATGGGTTTCGAACCCCAGATCAGAAAGATCATCAACCAAATTCGTCCTGATAGACAAACTCTTATGTGGTCTGCTACTTGGCCCAAGACTGTTGAGCGTTTAGCTCAACAATACCTCAAGGATTATATTCAAGTTACTGTTGGTTCTTTATCTCTTAGTGCTTCCGAAAACGTTACCCAAACTGTTGAGATCTGTACCGATCAAGAGAAGCGTGGTAAATTGATTGCTCAATTAGAACGTATTATGGAAAACCCTGAGAATGAAAGAAAGACAATTATCTTTACTAGTACTAAGCGTACTGCCGATGATATTACCCGTTTCCTCCGTCAAGACGGTTTCCCTGCTCTTGCTATCCATGGTGACAAACAACAAAATGAACGTGATTGGGTTTTGAACCAATTCAGATCTGGTGGACATCCTATTATGGTCGCTACTGATGTTGCTTCTCGTGGTATTGGTACGTATTTTTCTCCTTTTTGTTGTGGGAACAAAAAAATCAAAAAGATGCAGAGCAATGGTTTTATTACTATCTCTCTCGTAATCGCGCGAATATTTTTTCTTTAGATATCATACTTGAAAGTATGGTATTTTCTATATTCAAAAGAAAGAATCGAAAACAGGTATTTGTGGTCTATTTGTAATGTGTATATCTGTATACGCATTACCTTTTATCAAAGGGAAAAAAAATGGAACAAAAAGACCTTCTCAGTGCTTTATATTTATCCAAGCCTCTTATATCTGGAAGTATCTTGGGAAGGATATTCTTTTATACATACTTTTTTTTTCTTTTTTTTACTAGATCATCAATACTCTTATTTTGTGAACCGTTTCTTTTGTTGGGTTATATTCTACCCTGCGTTATTATGGAAAAGAAAAATATTTTATATATTTTTTTTCTCTTTTGATATTTTTTTTTTTCATTCCAAAAAAAAAAGCATTCATTTCTTTGGTCACTAACTCTTCATGATTATTCTATTCTATTTCTATTTACAGATGTCAAGGATGTTAAGTTTGTTGTCAACTATGATTTCCCTACCAATATTGAAGATTATGTTCATCGTGTCGGTCGTACTGGTCGTGGTGGTAACTTTGGTCACTCTGTCACTTTCTTCACTGCTGATAACGCTCGTCAAGCCCGTGAATTGGTTGATATCCTTAACCAAACCAAGCAGCCTGTTGATCCTAGACTTCAAATGATGGTTCAATCACGTGGTGGCGGCGGCGGCCGCGGTGGTTACCGTGGTGGTCGTGGTAGAGGAGGTTTCAGAGGTGGCCGCGGTGGTGGAGGTGGAGGTGGATACGGTGGTGGAGGATCCAGATGGTAAATCATTTAATTACAATCCTTAATAATCCCCCTTTACACACACACCTATCCCTCGTTCGAATGATTTAGCAGTACAACTTAGAATGTATATTTATAGTGAAAGTTTTTTTTTGCAATAAAATCTGTATATAAACACAAATCCCCAGCTTGGAAATAAGAAAAAAAAAATTTATCAATATCTGAATCTGATGGCTTAATTGATTGGGTCTTTTGATCAGCACGGCATGGTTACTCGGCAAATGTATTTAAACTGATTTAAATGATATTTCAAAGTAATAAGGAACTAAAGTAGACCGGGACAAATAGATATAAAAATTACTGCGACCATGAACATCACATTCACTTTTTTTATTAATCATTTGCCTGAGCCAAGCTCTGTACTCTTGCTGATAACGTATTTGGATAAATGTACTTTTGAATCCAATCTGCAGTTTTCTTGGTAATGGCCTCTGCTGCTGCCCAATCCACTTTATCGCTCACGTACGCATGGCATTCCCTCCTCAATAATCGGAAATGCTGTTGAATAAGAATCACGTTTGAGGTCATAATAGGTGAAATGAATTCCTTGTATCGTTCTTGAATAATGTGTGATGAATCATGAAAAGATTGACGTATTATTTCGGCACAGACTTGTGCATGAGAGATTGATCGTGTAACTTGAGATTCAAAGACTCTTTGGATATGTTGTATTTTGTGCGCGAGTAGAGTCGTATCAACGCGGCTACAAATATCTTGTACCAATGAATAGCATTGCCAAAGTAAAAAAATGGGGAAAGAGAGTAATAACAAACCCAAAGCCAATCTCAATAATATTGACGTCGACTTTTCTTCGTCCGGCATTACATAAGTAACGAAAAGCTTTTTTGATTTTCGTGATTCTGCTACCTTTTCGGCACCGTCATGGTGCGTTGTTGGTATATAAGATTTACTTACAGCTTTAAGAAAAATGGGATAGATTAATTTGACATGATCGTGACGATTTAATTCGAGTTACCTTCATAGATGCCGTCGTCATGTTCACTAGGGTAATTCCTGGTATAAACTAATCGAGCAGGAGAAACCTGAGAGGAGCGATCTTGTATAGTTTCCCAATGAGACATTAGCTGAGAAAGTCTTTTTGAGATAAAAAAGCACAGGGCTTTGATTTTAAGCCAAATCAGTTCTGGCCAGTTAAAACAATCCGACTGGGTCTCAAACAAAAGCATAAAACATTTATGCCAAAAAAAGAATTTTTTTTCTTCTTTGGCTTTTCTTTTCTCGACTTATTATAATGCCTTATTTATTCAAAAGAGAATTATATCCACACATTAAAGAAGATGACGGACAGTTTCCCGAAATGGTGACCGCCACAATTGTATCATCTGTCATATCAATTGTAGCCACAATAGCAATCATTTCAGCGTACATTTATGTCAGACTAAATAATCCTGGCAAAGCTGATCGAGTTTCCTTGCGCTGTGTTTTCTTATCAAGCCTTATGAATTTGATTAATTCAGTATTTGACATCTGTACAATCTTAAAAGACGGTGATACTGCCTTTTGTAGAGCAACCTCAATTATTACACTATTCACTAGAATAATGGGCGTAGTCTTTCTAACTCTGGTTGGTGTCAATTTAATACTGGTGTTTGTTTTTAAAGTTAAAACCAATGTACGTGAGCTAGAATCTATCTACTATTGCGTGGCTGTGTTATATGGACTGGTTGCAATTTCAGTACCTATCTCCCTTCAGTCGCATGAGAAAGCCGACGAAATAGTCAAAAACTACAGGTGCTACTATTACATCTATTACGATCAGTTTTTTGACCATACAAGCTTTTTATGGGTAATCGATATACGCATACCTGCTAAATACCTGTATTAATGTGTACCATAGACATGGTTCTATAGTTTTCTATTTTTTGCTATTTTCGCTGCCGCCCTATGTTCTGTCATTGCATCTATTAAATTGATTCGTGAACAACGAATAATCACTGACACTAACTCAGGACCAGTAAATACAGCAATTGTTAGTGGAGCATTGACATACAACAAAAATCACACAAGCGTATTTAAGAGGGTTGTCATTAGATGTGTCATGTATCCACTAGGTAAGTTCATGATTACTGTTCAAAGAAAACAATTTATCTGATTTTGTAATCCAAACAGTACCACTAGTATCAAACATATGGGGTCTTGTTTTTCAGCTACTTCTGGAAGAGTCCAAGATTACGTATGAAAATAACCTTCCTCTCTCCCTTTTAGACATTATTTTTGGCGGTCTCCAAGGATTCTTTGTATCTATTGTCTTTTTTAGTGATCCCACCATGGTGGATTTAATCAAAAGTAAAGTCAAACACTTGAAATGCAGACATGGTTCAACTCATGAACAAAGTGAAGCTAGATTAATAACCCCCGTAAGCTCGTTTAGCTCGTTTAAAGGCTCGTTTATTTTAGCTCCACCTCCAGCTCTACATGAACGATCGTACAGAGATAGTTCTTGTTGTGAAAATAGTCAGGAGACGATCTCTCAAATACCTGCCGCTTGCGATGTTGGCCCAATCCCTTCGAAATCCGAACGCAGAGTTTCTTTAGCATCAGAATACACAATTGTAATTTAAACATGTCTCAATTCTGCCAAACATGCTTATTTGGTGATATAATAACGCATATCAAGATGATACCTAAATTACAACACGGAAGGAATATGCAAATGATATTTATTCAATATACCCGTCTCATATACACTTTAACTCAAGACCATTTATATGTAGCATATCCCCCATTTCTTAGACCAAAACAACTGAATTGTTTTTCCTTACAACTGCTTTAATATAGCAATATGGTGTTACTCACTAACATTTTTCCTCTGTTCTGTTCTTTAAATAAAGTTCAGATACACAATAAAAAACATCCCACGACCAGACTTTTGTCACTTTGCTCTGATCCATGAAGACAGAATAAATACATCACATCCTTATTGCAACCCCGCAATCATTTTTAGTTTACCGCTTTAATCCTGACTAGCTCAGGTTTTCATTGAAACACTCGTGTGATTTTACTCTGTTCCTTTTTTATTTCTCTTTTAATGGATTAAGCAACGTCTTCACCCAAAGGTCCTTCAGTATCACCATCATAACCTGAAGAAGGGGTAGGAATATCATCTTTTCTTGATAAACGTAAGCTTGCAGGGCTTTGTATAATTTGAAGTGGAGAAGTAAATTCGGATCTTGATGGTATAGCATAGCGTTTTGTTGTTGGCGGTATGGAGGTCGTTGCATTACTATCTGTACTGCTGTTCCCGCTACTCATCCTGCGATGATTTTTACTTCCTGGGTGTTTATGATCTAGCGTTATGTGATGCTTCTTCATAGGCATGTCTTCCACTGTTTCCTCGCCCATATCCTCATCTAAGTCCTCCTCCTCTGCCATGGATGAAGCTGAAGCCTCCATACCAGATTCATAATCGTCGATAAAGCCTATGGAACTGTTACGAAGTGGTGAAAATGGAACATGATTCACTGAAGCTACTCTATCGACCATTGTTTATGTAAAAAAAAAAAAGAAGAAAAAGGAAGAAGTGAAAAAAAAAATTGGTTGTGTGAAAGGAATCAGCTGGGATAGACACGCAGTCACTTTTTAATGCGTTTTTACCTTTCTGGACATTTATGCAGCCTTTCAAACGCCGTTTTATATTTTAAGCGAAAAAGCCTAAACATACGTGATAAAATGTCTCATAAACGCTGTAAATGTTAACAAAGTTTTTGTTTTTACATAAATTTATTTTAAAAGCTATTGTCATAGCTTACAGAACTGCTACTGTAGGACCTTGAAGTGCAATTTACTAAAAAGGTTAATTCATTTATGAATTAAAAAGCCGAACCCCACTTCTAAACTTTGTTTGTTTTGTAGAAAGGGGTATACAATTTTGGGCTTAAAAATACGGGGTAAACCTAAAATGACAAAATCTACACCTTCGCGCTTTTTAGTTGTTCCTACGTGTTTTTAAAAAATCACATGATCATTTATTTCTCTTTTTGTAAAATGTATCAGCTGAAGTCTATCATAATACATACATATCACACATACGCCTTTTCATTCGTATCTTCATCCACTTGGGGTCTTAAGTCCCGAAATCCTTGATTCCATTTTAATTAAAGATATTTTACATTTGTTGCAAAATTTACCTCTAGGCTCGTATGGGCAGAAATATTAAGGAAAAGACCAGATGAGACGTTGCAAGTAAGGCAAATTAGCCATAGACAGTTACATCACATAAGTATTATAATGCTTTCGCATATAATTTAAGGCAATAAATCAGAATGACCTTCAAGTTATCTGACTCTATGTTGTGGCTACTCGCACCCTAATTGTCCCCTAAAATAGTGCCTGCTCCTAAGAGAATCATTCATTTAAAAAGGTACAAATTAAAGCGGATGACGAAAGAAACAATATGTGAGGGCACAATGAAAGCGGGTAAATGTATCGATCCAGATGCTAGACACCCGTTATGCATATCCATGTGTGACATTTATGCTTCGCAAATAAAACAATAAAATATCACTATTACTAAAGGGTATTTAGGATTATAAATATTGGACCAAATAGATATTTATTCTATGCCATAAAATTGGTTATAGATACGTCGACTCATTTTGCTTATCGTTAATCTTTTCTCTATCTATATTAAATGAAATTATCTTTCAATGTTGTTCTTACAGTGACAGTTTTGCTGTCACTATACTCAAAACTAGCAGGTGCATTCTGTGTTTATAATAAACTGGAAGGTGATAGTCCTACTTTCTTAGTGTTCAAGGATCTTGAAAATTTTAGGTAAAACATTCAAAAACTCTTCGAGATCTTGTTATTCCAACATTTCCAATCAATGTTATTAATTAGTCGAGCTTTCAAAAAAGAAGTTGCCCAAGGTGACCACGAATGCTGTCCATATGATAATGGCGAATGTAATTTTGGTCGTCAGCGTGATTCTCCAATAATCTTGAAAGTAAGTGTTAAGAGCTATTCTTCTGTATGAGACGCACTATTAAAGCTTCACTTAGATCCGGTTTGGTTTTGACCATGTGAGACCAAGTGAAGCAAATAGACTGTATTTTATTGAATGCGAAGGAGGAGCAGGGATTTCTATCATTGGATCAAGTTATAACGATATAAGATATATTTGTTTCAAAGCAAATGGGGGCGTTTTACGAAAAAATCTAATTGATTGGGTTGCTTTATAGATCAGAGTTTATAATTACATAAAGTAGATAAGAGTTGTTTTTTTTTTGATTTTCTACATAATTGTGTATACCAAGGACAATCAAAATTATGCAGAGTAAAGGGGTGCGGCAATGCCAAAAATAAACTATAAATTTTAATCATTGAGCCAATGCCTTCCCATTGTGCACTAGCCAAAATTGGTTGATTTGCTATTTACTTTGATAATGAAAATTCATGCTTTCTGAGAGATTTTAATAAGACAATACAACATCGATATTATAGTCTTCATAAAACATTATGCGATGTGAATCGGGGGATGGGTAAAGGGTGAAACGACACTCATAAATATGATTTGATAGTTTATCATTGTTATATAGACACTCATACAATAAAAAGTTTATATTTATTATTGACTTCATGTTATCATTGCAACCAATCCACATATGCGCTAAATACATAAAATAAAGATGTTAGTTTTTATGCATACAGCAGAGGATTGGATAAAATCTTTTTGTCACGCCATGTAAATACATTGTTCTTAGATGCCCTTTCATACAAATAATTATCCAAAACGAGTCAGTCAATTATGGTTCTAATTTAGTGAAAATATTCCAATCACCAGCGTGTAAAAAGTTTGAAGGGGGAAATTTACAATGAAATACATGTACTGTAAATAAGTAATCGGGCTGTAATCTTTTCTCCCTTTTTTTTCTATTGAGGAACTTTCTACCTTTTAAAATAATAGAATTTCGATAGCATAGAATAACAAATTAAAACAAAGAATACGGCTTTTGACACACAGATTAATTAAATATTGCTTTTAAAGCAAAATAATGTTTGTATAAATAGATAGATGACCGATTTACAATGTGATAATTCACTTCAAAGGTATAAGGTCTTTTCATGGTAGCTTTCAAAAATAAATTATTGAGCGGAGTGGTCATGATTTGTTCTTTTTCACGATTAGCTCAAGCATTTTGTATTTACAATGAGCTTGAAGGGGACGGTGCTACTGTTTATGCATACAACATTATATCAGACGAAAGGTAAATAAAAAATGGTACATCATCCCTATGATTTAAATCCTGAACAAACATTAAAGTAAAGCCTTCAAGAAAAATATTGAACGGGGCGGTAAAGAGTGCTGTCCTTTTGATAATGGGGATTGTAATCCAGGTGGTCAGAAAAACTCTCCTTTAGATTTGCATGTAATAATAATAAAAAGTTCCCTTTGAGTTTTGTAATTATCTAAACCCTTTTTGTTTGCTAGTTCAGATTTGTTTTTAGACATCTCAGTCCATTCGAATTTGTAAGAAAGTATATTGTGAGCTGTGAAGGAGGAGCAGGTATTACTATTACAGGTTCTTCTTATGAGGATCTTGCCTATGTATGCGATAAATCGGATGGAAACATCTTGAGTGGACAGTTATTAGAATATGCCGACAGCAACTTATTATAGATAGCTGGAATTTATGAAGCTCACTTCATTATACGCACTAGACACACTAGACACTTTAAATACACCACCAATAAAAAAAAGTATTTATCTAAATATTATGATACATGTCTAATTATAATTCGGTATATCAAATGATCAGTACCTATAAAAAATATCATATATCAGTGATATTTGATTCACTGATTGTCGATAGATCTGTTATTTAACTGCTGACAAAAGCAAGTTTATAATTTATTCATGCATCAAAATTATAACATAAGCAAATATACTTTAAATACAGATAAATAATTAGTAGCAACAAAAATGCCACCTTAGTTATATGATGCGCAATATATGTAAATCACCGCACTTATACTGGAAGTTGTGCAATAAGTAAAGAGATAAACATGCGTATAATAGCTTTAATTTTAACTTTAACTTATTTAACTAAAATAAATGCCATGAACTGAAAGAGGTAAAAGAAAGGGGGGAAGGGTTTACGGCTGGAGGAGAGAACAATCAAAAGTCTGCTGGATGGTTTAATTAAGATCCCAAGATAAATGACGTGCATATTAACTTAAGGGTATTTTTTTTTTTTTTTTTTTTTTTTTTTTTTTTTTTTTTTTTGCAGAACCGACACAATAAAATGACGATAGCATAGAGGCTGTTAAATTCATAAACTTCGAAATAATATTTAGCGTAAAAACAAAAAAATAGTGCATTATATAAATACAGCACTTCATTTTACTTGTTAAATTTGCATTTTCATTTTGTCAAATATACAGATATATGGTTTTATATTATATGCTTATTTTAAAATTAATGACTTTGCTGTTGCTATATTCGCAAGTGATCCAGGCATTTTGTGTATACAATAAAATGGAAGGTGAAGGTGTTAATTTGTTAGCATTCAATTTATTTGTAAACGCCCTACCATTGTAATATTTATACTACGTATAAGAGTATCAAACAGTATTGCTGATACATTTTATTTTGACTAGTCAAATATTTAGAAAAGAAATCGGCCAAGGTGAAAAAGAGTGCTGTCCATATAAAAATTCTGATTGTGTTGCAGGTAGTCGGCGTGATTCTCAAATAGAACTACATGTAGGCATAGTGAGCTGGTTATTGGTCACTTACTTGTAAGATTAAAGCTGTTTATAGCTTAGATTTGCTTTTGATAAGACCAGCATAAAAGAAAACAAAAGAATGTACATCACTCGCTGTGAAGGAGGTGCAGCTATCGTTTTGACAGGATCAAATTTTGACAATATAGAATGTACTTGTTATAAAGCAAACGGAGATATTACACGAGATAAAATGGTTAATTGGATCACCGTAATGTCATAGCAGTAAAGGGCTAGTTGGTGCCAAACTCTTATGAACTCTAGCTGATTCAAAATAATTGGCTCATCAGCTAACATTAATCATTAAAGGATCGTCAAATTTTTTTATAAATAAACTCTAATTATGTTATTATTATAACAAAGAATTGTCAAAACACAGTATAACAATAATGTCCTCACATATTCTGACAGCTTACTCAATTATATCTTGACGAATCTAAGTGGGAATCATGTCATAATTAATTGTTATTAGAACTGAATACCCTACTTGTTCAACATCGGCATACCAAAGACAATTAACCAGAATACAATGGAATAAATAACAAATAAAAATCGGAAGGCATGTATTATGCTTTACGGCCCTGGATGGCATTTATCACTGGATAACTTTAAACGTGTAACAAATCGACAGCAAAAACATTATGATTCTAAGGGCAACTGAAGACGCTGCAATAACTGATCCTTATTGAAAGCATTTGTATATTAACTCTTCAAATGATCACCAATGTTATTATGCGACTAAACATTGGTGACATGAATATTGGGCATAAGATCACAATTACTCTTTCTAGACGATATCTGTTTATTGCTTGCTCCATGTTCATTATTGTTACCAGCAATTTTTTTTTAATAAAGAGGTCAATGATATCATATAGTGGCGTCATACAAAGAACGCTTATCATACAACAATGATTAGTATGGATGACGAAAATAAAGGACATAAGACGAAAAGTAGTGAAAATATAGCGAATGGCATCATACATCTCTTGGGGTTGATTTGTAATACAATTAACTTTAAATAATAACGGCATCATTGAACATTATGACTTTCGGACAAATAACCAATGTGAAATCATACTGTAAAGATATATAAATACATCAAGCACATTTTTTGTAGATGCAGTTTTTATTTTGTTGATTTCAAACATGAAGCCAAATTTTAATATCCTTTTAATACTATCTTTATTACTCTCATGCTACTCGCAGTTGATCGAGTCATTCTGTGTGTATAATCAGTTATCTGGGGATCGTGTCACTTTGAGAGTGGATAATCCTTTTGTATCTGCCCCTCCTATGTAATTTTTAGACATATGTATATATGAATTTGTATTATTGTTTCTAAATAATCTCTTTAATTAGACGTACTTTTAAGAAAGACATCGTCCAAGGAGGAAGAGTTTGCTGTCCATATGATAATGCTGATTGTGTTGCTGGTCTTGAAAAGGATTCGCCAATCGAACTTAAGGTAATACATAACCCCGTTATTTTATATATCAAAGTGCTAATCACCCATTCTTACTATAGCTCAGATTTGCTTTTGACCTAATTACCGTAAAGGAAGCAGATAGACAGTATACAGCCTACTGTGAAGGAGGGGGAGGTATTATCATCACAGGATCAAACTTTAATGACATAGAATCCGCTTGTTACAAAGTCAATGGCGATGTTACACGAGACAAACTTATAGACTGGGTACCTGCATAAATGTCCTTTATAAACAAGGAAGAAAAGTTCTTGTACCATCTACGTTGCACCGATAGTTCATTATTTTGTTGGATCATAAAATAAATATCCCCCTTTTTATAAATGCACTGAACTAGAAGCCGTTTTACGCATCTAAAATAAGCCTATATTCTTGTATTTTTCTTTAGAAGAATTATCTGAAAGGCATAATGTTCTTTAAGGCATGTACCTGTTGGCCAAAACTGCCACAGATTTAATTAATTTTTTTCATTATCTGTGTCGTCAGGTCTGTGACCCTTCATTTCGAACCATTACATTCACAATATCCGACGTTAGTAAGACATAATTCCAGTCATTTATCAAATGCTTAATTTGCTCTTATATATATATTATATTTTCTTGTTTGTTGAGTCGGTCATTCGTATTTGCTGTATCCGTAATTCTTATATGTTATGTATTTACAGTACAGTAGTTTTTACTATGGTGAGACAGTCTCGTGATACACCAACCTGCCGTCTTTTCAAAATTTGTTCATACTTGTGTGAATATCTAATATGTCTATTTATATAAAGTAGAAAATCGTAAGGTCGTCCAAGTTATTAAATTCACTACTTATTTAGAACTTACTAAAATATATTGAAATATTGTTATTGCTCCTAGTAAAATTCCCAAGAAAAAAGCCATTAATAAATATTAGAGTGCAACAAGTAATTTTGGACATTAAAAACGATATTATGGTAACTATAATACAAATACTAGTAACTCTGGATAAGTCCTGGGATAAAAATCACATTAAAAGCAAGAAGATGGTTCATATATTTTTAAAAGCTGCTGAATCACAATGGACTTTCTATATTATAGGTGTCATTGAACATTAACATCTTTAAACAATATAACCATTGTCGAATCATTCATAAATATTATATAAATACATCAATTAAATTTATTTGTTAATTGGAAATTTTATTTTATCAAGCTTAAACATGAAACCATCCTTCAATCTTCTTTTAAAACTACTTTTAATACTCACTTTGTACTCGCAGTTGATCGAGTCGTTCTGTGTGTATAATCAACTGACAGGAGACCGAGTCACTTTAAGAGTTTCTAGTCTTTCTTCGACTACTTCTCCCTTGTAACGTTTTTTTTTTCGTAAATACATTGATTGCTTCTAAAATTTTCTTTCAAATAGACGACTTTTCAAAAAAGATATTGCTCAAGGAGGAAAAGCATGCTGTCCATTTAATAATATCGATTGTGTTCCTAGTCGTAAGGGAGATGCATCCTTAGAGCTGATGGTAATACATAATGCAATTAAAAATGTTTAACTGTTAATCAAATCAATTCTCGACATTATAGTTAAGATTTGGTTTCGATCTGATTACCATAGCGGAGACCACGAGAAATTATATTGCTTATTGTGAAGGAGGGGCAGGTCTTTTTATCACAGGATCAAATTTTAACGACATAGAAGCATCTTGTCACAAAATTAATGGGGATATTACACAAACCAAACTGGTTGATTGGGTACCCGTATGAATGCACGTTTAAGACCAAAAAGGAACCCTCTTTGTGCCATTCAGGTTTAACAAAGGGCAATCATTTTTGATCATTTTTTTTAAATGAAATGTATTAAGTGATAAAAAAATAAATAAAACGTGGTGTGACTAATATGATATTATATTCCATATATAACAGATTCTGTACATGCTCTGTTGAAACATGACTTAGTCTTTTTCCCTCATTTGGGCATTTCAAACGATTGGATATTGAAGTATTTGACTTTTTTTATTTGGCATTATGAACTCTGTCAGTTTATTCTAGTTTGCTATTTCGTTAAACCAGAGGTTTTACTGTCTCTCGGTGTATTGGGGAAGCTGCTATAATGTAGTGCCAATTCGTTATTTTACAGAATTATTTATGAGAAACCATGCTGAAGTGAGTTCTACTACATTTTAAAGTATTCTAAAAAGTATACCACTTAATTTTAAACTTGTTCGTAATCCATCATGAATTCAAAGTTTTTCTACATGTAGCAAACCCGAGAAAAACAAGAAAAAAAGCGCTGAAATTTATATAAATTTTAAAACTGACGTCATGAGGCACATTTCTCGACCAATGGAATCGACCCAAAAATTAAACTACTCATGTAGCAGCTGCGGATTGTTGTGATGGGTTTGGCTGCACCTAAATCAAGTCAAGCAGTAGTATTCCATCATTGCTTATTGACCATTCGAACCCTTCTTCCCAAAACCAATCAAAATTTAAAGAACAATCAGTTTATAGAACATTTCTGTATTCTTAAAAGTTATGCTGACTTGACCAATTTGGATGCATCCGTAAGTAAAGTAGCTTTATCCTTGGGAAAAGATAAGGAACATGATGGAATATTAGACAAAACGACACAATGGGTACACCGAAAATAGCGGGGACACCAGTGACAAGTCAAAAAGCTTGACACCGGTGACAGGTCTACATACTTAACACAGGTGACAAGTCCAAAAGCTTGATACTGGTGACTATTCTAAAACGGGCGCCATACTTCTTTATTAAATCTGACGTTATTTGTTCATCATACACATTCATCCTTCTGTGATAAGCCAGATTATCTGAAACAGTCTTCTCCCTTTCGTGCTGTCCGATCGATCCACCATGGTTTATAGCAAAAAGCTTCGTGATGATCAGTTTTTTTTTTTTTTATATTTTTACTTACAATGCTTACCACTCTACTAAAAATGGAGAGTAAAACAAAAAAACTTGTAGTCCAAAATGGCGAGATTTATCAGTTTAAAATACAAACATCAAGCAACGCTAAAATGATTGAGAAACATTTACTGGTGGGGGACATTGTTCTCTTTCTAAAATTTACATAGTTACATAATGGCCCCAAGTGATTACAGTGATTTTTTTTAGACTTATCCAATGACTGAAAACTTATGACCATATGTATCATTAACCTTACAAACAAGGAAGATCCACTAGATGATGATTCTATTTCTACCATCATATTGTATGACAGAGAATGGGCTTGTTCGTCAGTTGTCATATTAAATTTTACCGTTTAAAAAAGAGTCTGTCATTCTCACTACAAAGTGGTTTTTTTTAGCTGACAATCATTTTAATTGAAGTACATTAGGGGAAAAATGATAACTGGATAAGTAAAAAAAACCAGCTCGTTGAGGCTTCAGCTCCTTGCTTGTGTCCGCAATAAAAGGCTTACTTTTGCATAGAGTTGTTCCAGGGTAAGCTCTAACTAAAGAGCAACATTTCAAGTAAACCAACCTTTTCATCGGCAGTATTGGATCGGTAAACAATATGATTGAGAATACAGCTGACATGCATCTTCATGCCTTGATGCACTTTTGAAGAATGTGGGTATTACGATATCAAAATTTCAGCGTGTGCAGAAGTGCTTGGTGATATCCAAAGCAATATTTCAAGCTATTTTTTTAAATGCATGGCTGTCAAAAAAAAAAGCTTGTCTGAATGTGCATCGTGCCAGAATGTACAAATCAAGGGTTTATTCTATTCGCATTAATAAGCTGAAAAGTGCAAGTTTGACCTTGGCTGTTTATGTCTTGTGGAGTGATGAGTATAAATTTTTTTACACGAAGACATGTTATTTGAGAAACAGGTATTCTTTGGCTTGCACAGTCTTATTATTAAAACATGGTCTGAAGGATTCATGTGAAAAAATGTTTTTATCCGTTACACAAAAAGAACATTTCGCATACAAAAGCAAAACTTTAAGGCTCATTTTCTCGACATCCAATGAAGAAAGTAACCATGATATGCACACGGATGTGATGAGAATTTGACGGATTATTCAAAGGGTAATACATATGTCCAAAGAGTAGTGAAGGAAAAATTAAGTTTGTAAAAGTAGCCTAGACAAAATCAACAAAATAAACAAAAGAAAAAAAATTTGGTATAAAAGGGAGACTGCTGCGAAAAAAACGCCCTTTTTCTTTTTATCTTCTCATCAAGATTAGAATAGAGATGTTAGCATGGCTTCAGCACAAGGAAGACACTCTCGTCTCTGTTCGTTTCCGTTAAGCCTGTTCACTTCATTACAGATCGGGCAGTGTTCCAAAGGCCGTAGTAATCCCTAATAAGATTACATTGAGGAGTCTGCTGGTTGTCAAAGTCGCTAGGCAATGGTCTTGGCTGTTGTCTGTATCGCTTCATTCGGATTTCAGTACAACAATCTGACTGGGGCTTGTCGCCCTCTATGTTCCAGGAACTTCTTACTAAAACTAGTACCACACCCGTTGCTTGGTGGAGGGTGGATTTAGGAGCGTGTTACTAGACGGTGGATGGTCGTAGCTGTTTGAAGCCAGTCGATACGTTCTTAGTCATTGGAGTTGGTGTGGGTTGTTATCTTTGGTCGGGATCTGATGACAGTAGGAGGTTTAGTGCCCGAATGCATCTTGTAAGTGCTTTTGCCTTGTTTACGTCTACGCTAGAGATATTGCATTCTATAGGCAGCCATAGATTGGCCGCCTGTTGGACAGTTACCTCATCTACACGGAATGTTAACCTTAAAGCCAATACTCGTCCAGGTGCGGCTGCTACGATTCAGCTGCCAGGGTAAAAAGCACCACCCCAACATGGTGTAGGGGGTATTTGGTCCTGGTGATTCTTATGTTGCGCATTGTGGGTAGGTAGCATGTAGGATAATCAGGTTCTGTATTGAAGATGGTTTATCGGAAACATATTTATTTTTTTGGGTCAGGATGTGCTTCCACCTTCTCGTGGTCTGGCCTGTTAACCAGCTATTTTATGTTGGGAACTAGGAGAAGCACTTATTAGCATAGTTTATATCATAAAAAGTAAATAAATTATATATTTTTTCTCTTTTTTCCTTTGACTTGACCATAATAATTAAGACTTGTATGCTCATCACAAATTTTATAGACCCTTAGTATAAGAAGAACTGCGGAGAGCAAGGATCCTATTAAAGATATAACACAATGCTTTTATCCTAACAATAGACTACATACATCTTTTTGACATCAGTAGTATACATTCTTCTTTTTTTTTTTTTGTTAATGTCGAGTAATCTTGTATACAAAAAGGAGCAATGACAACCACCAAGAAAAGCTTAATCTTAATGGGGCTCAAAAGCGTGAATGCTTTTACTAAAAGTTTAACTGTTGAAATATTTAAAACTAAGAACGTTACCAACTCAAGTAGCCTTTGTCGCAACCAGACAATGTTTTGCTTGTATGTAGGGGAAGATTGTTTGCTGCTCATCCGAGCGAAATGGATTAAAAATTAACATACACCCCATTTTGTCATCTATTTTCTTTTTGCAACTCTCTTATAAAGGCAACAATGATAAGTGATATCTAAAAGATATTGGACCCACCCTTTCCATTCTTTTCTATACGCCTCTTCTATAAACAATTAGCTGGTAGTTTATTTATTGCATGAATGCATAGAAAAAAAAATATTAACGACTGTACGTTTTTTGCCTACAAGCCCACCATTTTATTCACACTATTTATCCACGCTTTGTATGTGTCGGGGATAATTGTCAGATGCTGTGAAGCAGGACTTAATCGGATATATAGGCTAATTTTGCGATCACGTATGCTTTCAACTGCTGTCAAACATAATTTGAGAAGCTTGACAATCTTGTAGAGTACATGATATAACAGCATGGCAAATGCTGACAGATTATGTATTTTAATAACTTTGAATAATGAAGAAAAGTGGAAACTGCCTATTGGAGATATACTTTATATATTCAGACAGTAAAAGATACGCTTTGGATTAAACATCCTTCTCTAAATGATATCAGGACTCACACATTCTTTTATTCTGTGTAAAATAAGCTAGCGAATACACAGTAAATTGCCAAACAATCAAATCAACTGAATCCCCGGTAAGTGTAAAAGGGACTTATTGATTTTTTCTTTTGAAAAAATGAGTGCTTCCACTGATTATTAGAGAAAGAGTGGTAAAGAGGTTTAAGAAGCCATAAAAAAACAAAGTTTGCCACTGTAAAGAAATGAAAAACAAGAAATGCAACTATTTCTTTGACAAACAATTCTGACGATATTTAAAAAATGGATGAGGTACCAAGTCCTGGTTATGTTGAAATATTGAATCTCAGGGCTTAAATTAAATATTGAGGACATTTAACCACTTGGCACCTCATCCATTTTCTAAATATATGGATTAGGATGCCCGCGAATGATGAGAGTTTTCTTCTTAAAGCATCTTCCCAGCAGTGCCCTAAAATAATAGTTTTTTTCTTTCTTTCTTTCTCTCTTCACTGCTAGTTTAAGCTGTTATCACCAGAAAAAAAAATGATTTCATTAAAACCTTAGGGCTACACAAAATTAGAATTCATCTCCAGCCGAATCACGATGTCCGTCTGGCTAATGGCCATTTTTTTTTTTTTTACTTTTTTTAAATACTGTCATGTCAAACTGGAGTCAATTACCAACCGAAATTTTGTATAAGATTTTCGGCATTCTCGATGCTAGTTGCCTTGACACTCTTCAACTTCAAGAGGGAGTTTCTCAGTGGATGCTTGTTTGTAAGAACTGGTGTCGCATTGCTCAAACTTTATTATATGAGGAAGTCACTGTCCTGTCTATCAAGCAACACGACACCTTTTTAACATGCATGAGTCATTGCAGCACTGGCTTGAATCAAATAGTAAAACGGTTTATGGCGATTCCCGAAATCACCAGTGTCAAATTAGAAGAGGATTTAGGTCTCATTTTAAACGCATTGCCCAACCTTCGATATCTCCAGGGTGGACCCCAAAAAGCATCCTTCTTTACCAGACTCTTGTTTGAACTTTACTCTTCCCCCAACAGACCCGTACAATTGCTTACAATACCAGGATTTTCTCCGATATCGGAACAGGATGCAAGATCATACCAATATGCTGTTTGGGCCCTTAAGAAAACGCTCGCAAGCATGTTTTTACCCGATTATTGTATACAACCCTACCGCATAACCACTCCATTAGAAGACTTTAAAAATTTATCAAAACTCGAACTCTGCGTCTCTAGTCTCTCCCAAATGTATGATATAGGCACAATCGCTTCGAGATGCCCAAACTTAAACAGCTTGTACATTTCACGCCATGACAGGTACAACCCATCTGGGGAGGATCAGATTAAGGCAATAGATACAACCTGTGTACAATCAGTGTATCATGTTTTTGCGCTAAAGATCGACGCAAGCCTAGCTACTGCCAGCCATAACATCATGTGTATTCTCATGAAGCTATTTCCGCAGCTTGACTCGTTGTATATGTATATTAACCCGGTTGCACCCACCTATGGTGAATATGAACGCCAAATTCAAATGATACCCGCCGAGCTTTGGGTACAATTCTTGACCTATGCGGACAAAATAAGGGAATTTTACGGTCGGGGTATGTATATGGATTGCTTAAATCAGGTCTTGACGGAAACATCATACAACACCGGGCTCTGTAAAGAAATCAAGGTAAGGTACAGCAAAGGTAACCCCGTAAATAACTATGGATGGCTTCCTGTTTTAAATATTCATTCCCTAACCATGTACAACGTTGATCGACCTGAATACGTCATGATTGGAACCATTGTATCCTACACTACAAGTGGAATCAGCGTACATTTACCTCATGCGGCTTTAATTGAGAAAATCGGCTTTCAATTGGAACATTTGACTATGACTCTTAATAGGGCATTTGGACATGGTGCTGCATCCGGTCCAATAACGGATTACGATAAAAAACCTTTTGGACACTTTATCAATCATATCTTTACGCATTGTCCAGTTCTACGAGCATTAGTTATCACTGGCGCAGAATTATTATATTCTGACGATGGTGATAAGGAGGCGCCACCGTCTTTAAAATTTCTTCGCCTTCAAAATTGTATAATTTATCACCAGATGGATTTTCTGCTCAACTTATCCCGTCGACTACCTTCCCGATTAGAATTTATGACCATTGACGAGTGCATGTTTTTTAAGAGAAGTGATGACTTGACACCTCATGTGGAAATGCCATTCACTGTGATTGGTTGTCTGTTCTTTTCCAAAAAAAAACTGCCGGTGTCAAAGTACTCGAGGTTGGTGATCAAGATTACAAAGGTATCACAAAAACCACTCTACTATTGCCTGTATGATCAACACAAGTTGCAAAGTCTATCAGGTCAGGAAGAGTTTGAAGTTTGCGCAAAGGACGAGGAAACCCATGCAATACAAATTACTTGCGCCAATGTAGAAAAATTATTGATTCGAGTATTTGGGTCTCCAGTGCTCATCTTTCCTAAAGAAAAGGTTGAATATATGAATGGTCAGCACTACATAAATTCAACTTCCGAGTTTTGGAATGTTTTAATATAAGATCTTCCTTTTTTAATGAATAATAAAAAAAAATGGCATCAAGAAGGACGGAACGTATGATCAGTCCAACTCGGTTTTGTTTTGTCTCTATTCATTAATTTAATTCCAACTACACGATTCTTAATAAACAATTCGTGCAAGATGAAAATAATGCTGTTCATATACTGATGCAAATTTTGCTGCTGTTATTAGACGTATGACTCTTATAAAACTAGACCTACGTATACATTTTATGTATTTAATTAAATCTACTAAAATGGGACTTAATCCTTTTACTTCAATCTACTCAAGGTGGGGAAAGTGAATAGACGATACATTACCCATTGCGAAGGAGGAGCAGGTGCTATAGCCACATAATCAAAATTTAGTGACATAATAACGACCTGTTTCAAAGAGATTGGAGAAGCAAGACATGATTGGACACTTGTGTAAATAAAATCGCAGCCTGTATATTTTAAGCACCAAAAGGTGTAAACAAGATCCAGTCTTCTTCCCTCCTCATTTGGATATTTTAACAGTTTGATTACTGAATTCCTTTACTCTTTTTATGTTTTTGTTTAGATTCATGAACTCTGTCAGGTTTTGCTAGTTTTTTGCTTAGTTGAAACCAGAGGTTTTACTGTCTTTTGGTGTATATGGGAAGCTGCTGTAATGTAGTGTTAATTCGTTATTTTACACGTTTATTTATAAGAAAACATGCTGAAGTTTGTTTCGCTACACTTGAAAGTATTCTAAAAAGTTTACCGGTTAATTTTAAGCTAATTGGTAATCCATCATGAATTCAAAGTTGTTCTACATGAGGCAAACCTGAGAAAAACAAGAAAAAAAGCGCCGGAATTTATACAAAATTTAGACTGACGTCATGGAGTTTATTTTTTAGCCAATGAAATCGGCCCGAAAAATAAACTATTTATGCAAACCCCCTTTTTTTATGAGTATGACTTTCCTTGGTTGGTATCCTATACCGTATATCTAATTAGACAGCCTATAAACCCCATTAAAGTGGTTTAAGAACTTATATACTATCGAAATCCCTTTATTCAGATCTGCTCAAATGAATATCACCCCCAAAATCCCAGAGGCGGTCAATTTTAAATTCAGTGGCGGATACAGCCATTATTCCATTATTTCCACCAGATCCGTGACGGATAAGGTCAAAATTGTTGTTAACCCTCACTGTAATTTTGCGGTGTTATGATATGAGCATGATTGTTTATTGAGATGTGCTGACTTAATCTCTTTGCACATTACACAAGGTATCAGGTATACTGCATGTGAGAGTGATCAATATATTACAGTAAATACAGCACTTATCTAACGATTATTCTGTAGTCATCAATCTCATATCGAGAAAATTGTGGGCACCGTCAGTTATATTATGTTTATTCTCATGAGGTTACTTTCGTTACTTGATATACTATACTTTTTATTTACGTGATACCATCACAAGATAATGTCTAGACCTCCGTAATTTTTTTTTTCCGAACGTATTTTTTGGATCACATGATGGTTTACACATAAGTCTTTTACGTCGATTGACATGCCATATCACCTAAATTTTTATAGGATAATTTTCCATAAAACATACGTTTCAGTAGTAGCTTGTAATGATAAGTGAAGTAGATAGACAACTACCGAATTCTGCCTTGCTTAGGGGGTAGCAAATGTTTTTAAAAGATCAAACATGATGGCTGAAAAAAAAAAAATTTATGACATAAGCTCTTGTTTATCAGCCTTTTTTTTTTTATTACATCATCTTATAAGACTCGTTCCCACACTTTTTTTTTTCCCCCTTTTTCTTTTCCTTTTACACTGTTTTTCTTTTAATGAAAGTTAAAAGGTTAGTATATAATAACTTTTGCCTTCTTTTTTTTTTAAGAAACACTAAAAAAGTTATATATATAAAAGATACATGGCAATTTTTGCTATATTACAGCTACAGTTGGTCTTTGCTATAGGATGGTGGCCTCCTAGGGTTGAATTCTTGGGTTTTAGACACCCAGTGGATGGACAGACTGTGAATGGCTGTGATCACACTAAATGGACGTGATCATACTGGTTTACGACATAAAATGCTTTTGGGCTAAATGAAAAAGCATTTTATGTCGTCTTTATTATTGTGGTTCTTTATAAAGAGACAAAAAAGGTAATATCATATATCTTTTGCTATTACTTCTTTTCTTTTTTTCACATAAGGGATTTCAACTCCAAATTTCATAATTTGAAATCTTAACGTTTTTTTTTTAAAAATCATAAAAATTAACCTAATATCATAGAATTGTCACAATATGTCACTGGTCTTATTAAACCAACTTTGACTGGGTTCTTGCGAAGGCACAGAGACTCTTTGTCTAGCTGGCACGATGACATAATCAACGACGTAGATTTTCATAAATTATGGACGGAAAGATTTAGTCTTATGTACGAAACCACTAAGGCTGTAGTACTGAAGGTAATACATTTAAGCAAGACAAACAGTTTGAAACAGTTCACTAAACTTTATTAGCGTCGCCCACCCACACCAAGCCTTATCGAAATTTGCAAAGATATCACACTGATGATATCGAGCTAAGATGTGAAAGAGTTAGTTAAAGGGGCAAAATATAACGTGTCATGTAACTAATAATTTTTTTTAGAGGAAGACCAAAAGACACTTGGAAATCGAGACTTTGAGAACGCAGCGTACCGCTACCACTGCCACCAATAAACGTTTAAGAGCCGAAATTGAAAATGATGCTACCTCTTCCCAGTCCTCCCAGCAGTCTCAATCGTCATATGAGCCAAATAAAGATGAGATTGGTGACTTGGAACCCACGGTACGTGAGCAAATACATACACACATTTCACTGTGTCTTACCTATTTTATATTTCATTTAGTGGAATATACGCGACTGTGAAATTTGTGCTGTATTAGCTGCTTTCCGAAAACATTCTTTTGGCCTACAGCATAAATTTCGACCCGTATTTATATTAGGAAAAATGGCCATAAAACAGTCATCTTCTTATTTGACGGTAACGATGACAGCGGCGGCACATCGTTTCCGCCTGTTCAATCGGAGCTTCCCCGTGAGTTCAATTTGAATGAATATATTGTTATCAATTCTCAAATAAGAAGCACGAATTGATCAACAATCTTTATTACGTAACTATAAACTATGTCTAAAATAAAGTAATGCATGAGCTAATGAAAACTTCTAAATAGAAATTGGCGGCAAATAAAAATGGGCAAGCCGAGGAGTGATAGTTCTGAAGCACATGGGGCGATCATAATCTTAGAGTTTGCTGCAAGATTCTTTACCGTGTGTAAGTAAATATGCTTTTGTGGATAATCAAGTAACTAAAAAAAAAAATTTATTGATAGACTTCAAACGTACACAAAAAGGGTCAATTTAAAAGCTGTGGATGAATCAATGTATATCAACCTGTCAATCAATCCATTGATAGACGTGATCTTTGATTACAACTCAGAATTATGTAAAGCTGTTTTTTTGAGGCTTTTTCAAACCAAACCTCCGTTTCGGTAAAGAACATTGACCGTTCACTATGGTTCGGTATGCTGTGCTTTGAAAAAAAAATAAAGCCTCGTGGTGCCGCTGGCCTGTTTTTGAAATGAAAAACTTGACATTTATAGATAATTTGGCAGGAAACCCCCCCAGGAGCAATTATATCTTGGGTTATACTGCCTATTATCTGCTTGACACTGGAGGAAACTTTGTTTATCTGTGCATGTGATAATATCTGGTTTAGAAACTGATATTGCCATAGTTCATCTGAACCTTTGGCAATTTTACGGAGTTAGAAGGAAGCAGCCATATTAAGCCGGACATAAAATACAGCGCCATTGTCAACCAACAGAAGATGGATTTTTTTAATTATCGAGGTCAAATGCCCTAGTAGCAATGCTAGCGATGATTTGTTTAAACTGTCGATTGAATTACAAATCGTATTAAATCGTCTAGTGAATATTGGTATTGATTTTCCGATGGTGTTCGGTATCTTAGTTTACGGTAAGTATTGAGACATCAAATATATCTACAAAAACTAATTTTATCAGTTGCCGTAGTACTAGATAAATTAATCTAAACAGATTTAAAAAATTAACAATAACAGTATAACCACCAGGCAGTGATTACACTTGACGTTGCGAAAGCATTTACGATCAATGCCCACGTAATACTATTTGGAACACTCATGTACAATTATAGACTTTAATCTAGAATATAATAAAATATTTTGAAAAAAAAAAATCTATTTTATCGTTATATATTACAAGTCATCAATGGAAATCACAATTTCAAAAAAAAAAAAAGAGTTATTTAAAGCGTTGATTCCATATGCAAAAAAAAAAAGACTGTTTTTTTACATAGTGTGTGTGTAGGGAGTACGATTTTTTTTTTTTTTTGTTCAAAATATTTCCCGCGTAAAAAAAAGGAAATGAAAAATCCATGTAAATTAAGGTTTAGCCTGGCGTGAAAAAAGACATTTCCACGTGGCGTAAAAAAAAAAAAAAAAAAAAAGCCGACATGAATTTTTATGTATGACATGTGGGATGGTTGCACAAGACAAGAACATATTTCTGTCGTACAAAAATACTGGCCGCACTCTTTTTTAAATGAATTACCAAAAAAAAAAAAAAAAAAAAAAAGATTATACGTGTTAAAGAGGGAATGAAACTGTAAAAAGAATACTCCGGGGTTTAATAAAATATGTATCAGGAGAAATAAATAAATTCTCTTTCTTTCTTTCTCTCTCTACCACTTAAACACAACATGAAATTCGGTTCTCGTTTAAAAGAAGCCATTTTGCCAGATTGGAAACCATTTTATCTGGATTATGACCTTCTCAAGAAAAAACTCGGTAAAGCGCAACAAGATACTTTTACTGACCGTGATGAAACTGAGTTTGTAGAAATGCTCGATGCTAATCTCGAGAAAGTAAAAAAAAGAAAAAGAAGCATCAACCACCCTACACACACTAAAAACAACAACACTTGTATTATTAGGTCTATGCATTTCATACTTCCACACTCAACACCATACGTCAAGAAATTAACAAGGCCTCTGTGCAACACGGTATCAAGAAGGAAAAGATCAACAAGTTAGCCAATGATATTAGCCGTCTCGAGAAATTCTCTCGTTTTAATTACACAGGCTTTCTTAAAATCGTGAAAAAGCATGACCGTTACACCGATTACATTCTTCGTCCCATGTTTATGGTTCGTCTCAACCAATGTCCCTTTTGGAAGGAAAATGAAGACCTAGATGCTCTTCTTATTCAACTCTCACAACTCTTTAGCAAGATTCGTGACAGTGATCCTGTAAAGGCCTCCACAAGTTTACAACAACCCATCCTTACTGGAAAGGAGGAAAGACGTACGGTGATCAAACGATTCTTTGTGCATACAGATGATATATTTGAACTCAAGACAAATATATTGCGTCATTTACCCGTACTCGTTTATCATAATCAGGATGGTACAAAGATCACAGAACAAGATATTGATCCACCCATCTCTACATTGTATCTCGATAATATCGACATGGACACCTACACCTCACGTGTTGAATCCACACCAGGCTCTCAAATCATTCGTTTAAGATGGTACGGTTCAGCTCATAATAATAAGTCCATCTCCTTTGAGAGAAGAACACTTAAGGGTGAAAATCAAATTGACACCAAAGAGAAATTTATCATCAAGGACAAGTATGTGTTGGGATTTTTACAGGGTAAAGATACTTTTCTCAAGAAAAGTCTACAAAAGATGAAGGCCAGTGCTAAATCTCAGAAAGACATGGAGGATTATTCTACTCTTGTTCAAAGTATTCAGCAACAAATATTGGACAAGCACATGGAGCCAGGTAAAAAAAAATTAGATTGATCATTTGTCCCTTTCTCTCACCATCATCCACTTTTTTTTTTTTTTTTAGTGCTGCGAACCTATTACAAGCGTACTGCGTTCCAAATCCCTGGTGACTCGGGTGTTCGTATGGCACTTGATACGGATTTATGTTTTATTCGTGAAGATGGTGAAGACACTCGACCTGCAGGATGTTGGCGACGTCCAGATGCAGATATTGATTTCCCTTTTTCTCATTTACCAGCCTCTCATGTGAACCGTTACCCTTATGCTACCTTTGAAGTGAAACTGGATCTTGCAGCAAAGGAAGATGAACCTCGATGGGTTGTGGATTTACAAGAAAGTGGATTATTGGAAGAAGCCTATCAGTTTTCTAAATTTGTGCATGGAATGGCCATCATGTTTGATACGCGTGTGCCTCTTTTACCTTATTGGCTAGCACAAATTGATGAAGATCGTAAAGTGTTACCTGTACTACCCTCACAAATTCCTTCCGTCATGAGTGCAAGAAAGGGAAAAGAACGTGCCATGACAACAGAGAGAAGTGCGCTTCTGACTGAAGGTAAACCCTCCTATGCTAGCATTGTGAAAGGAGGTGATGAGTCTATCCATCAAGAAAGTGGACCCTCCACTGCCAGCTTCATAAGGGAGGAAGAGCCATCATTATCTTTGGACCATGACGATGATGATGATGATGATGATCCTGGATCTTTTGTTTTACCACCGGGTGTCAAGATACCCAAGAAAATAACGACCTCGATTAAAGTAGAACCCAAAGTATTTTTTGCCAATGAACGGACGTATTTCTCTTGGATGCGATTTGGTACGATGTTGACTACTTTTTCACTGGCGTTGTTTAATGCGGGGGATGCGGTGGGTAAGATCTCGGGTATTTTGTATACGTTGATTGCTATTTCAACGTTGATCTATGGTGTAGGATTGTATTATCGTCGACGAGAGTTAATTCGAGCTAGGAAATCAGGACCGTATGATGAAATGTGGGGACCCACTGTGATTTGTATGGCATTGATGGTGGCGGTAGGATTAAATGCTTATTTGAAATTTAGTATCAGTACACCTTCTTTACTTTATTTCTATTAATCGTATTTTTAGTGAGAGAAACACTGCATAAATTAAAAAAATAAAATAAAAACTCTAAAATAATATATATAGCTCTGTATTATGAAATATTTGAGACATTTTTATTTTTTTTTGTTAAACTATGCGGAAAGCGAAAATTAATAATAAAAAAAAAAAAAAAGGACAGGGACCATGGCAGTCGTGAGTGGAAAGAAGCAGCGGTTTTAAAAATAAAAAAAGAAAGAGTTGAGAAGAGAACAAAGAAAGTAGGCATTGTTTATCTGTCATATATCCTATTCAGGATCATGGTATCACCAATGGAATTTTTTTGTTGTTGTTATTTTTTTTTTTAAAAAAAGATGCACACTGTGAAGAAGGTAGAAGGATTGGATGAGGGGGGAGTCTGAGAGAGGAATTTATAATATATATATCGAGTGGCTGTGCAATTGCAAAAGTATCCCAAGTGAGGAGGGACAAAAGAAGTGATGTAAAACATTAAAGATGACATTGTACGTCACCTTGAAGGTAGCACATAGACACAAGAACCGGGAGGGAGTAAGCCTGTGTGTCTTATTTTGCATACTTACTATAAAATTCCATTGAGACTCTTTTTTTTATTTATTTTTTTTAGAGAATTGCGTTTTTCACAAGTCCCAATTTTTTTTTTTTTTTTTTTTTACTTTAAACAATTTTTTTTTTTTCATAATTCTTCTTTTTTCTTCCTTTTTTTTTTTTTGTTAGCCTTCATCTCTCATAACAGCATGCAAAGTCATTCCATAAACCATAACGAAACCTTCCACATTAATTCCTTGCTGTATACCTATAAGTAAGTGTCTATATATCCAGAAGACCTTGGAACCTTAAGAAAAGAAATTAATAAAGAAAAAAAAAAGTGAGAATAGTTCACGAGAGTACGTCTCACCCAAAGAATATCAGAAAAAGACAGAGGGAGTTGAATGCTTACGAAAAGTCCAAAAGGGCCAAAAGGTGAACAAGACAAAAAAAAAGATTGTGCTTGGCAAAGCCATCGTGGAGGGTCAAGAAAAGATGAGTTTACGGGAGTTAAAAGCACTTAGCCGACAAATCAGACCTTGTCATGATATTATGTCAATCAGTCGAAAGTTACGAGAGAACTTGACAAGAGCAAAGAGTAAAATGATGGATAGTCTCAGTAAATCTAATGCAGAAAAGGATCTAAAGATTTATGAATATCTTCTCATGGATGATCTCTCCACTATCTCTTCTTCTGTTCCTTCCTCACCTAACCTCTCTTCCGCTTCCTCTGATTACGATGATGATGATGATGATGATGATAATGAAGAAGATGATTTCAGTAGTGTGACTACCACTGAATCCACATTTCAACTTAAATTAGTTACAAGTGACTCTGGTTCTGTCTCTGTCGTACCATCATCATCACACACTCCTAAATTACCACCTTCTCATGCTATTATGTCAAGTCCATATGATACGGCTCTTTTACCTCTATATACCCCAGACTTTGCTTCCATCGATATGGACTTTTTCTTTCCAAAGTCCACTCCACTTACGCATCTTCATCATCACCATCATACCACCACTAACACCACTGCCGCCAGTGACGTGACTGAGGATCAAATCAACTCTTGGTTACAGAGGGGAGGTTTCGGTGATAGCATGACTCCCCTTACCATGGCAACAGATCAAGAACTAGCAGGTAAATTCATTACTTTTTTTTTTTGGGTGTGAATTAACTCTTTTTTTTTTTGATATATAGATTTGTTAGACTTTGATGTATAAAGCAAAAAAAAAAAAAAAAAAAAACTCCCCCCCCCCTTTTTTTTTATATTCCACTATTTTTTTTTTTCTTTCCACCCCCTTAATTTTTTTTTTTTTACCTACACCACCCCCTTCTTTTTCTTTTTTCTCTTTTTTTTTTCTTTTGTAGAACCACATAAAACAAACTTTTTATATATATATAATAAAATCAACACACACACAAAATATCCAATGACATTGTCAAGAGCCAATCCTTCTTTTTTCTTCCCGAGGTTTTCTTCTTTTCGATTGGGACCACAAAAGAAAGAAAGATGACTTGTCAAAAATCTTTTTTTTTTTCTGTCGTGTGTTTGAGTCTCCTCAAGACAATTAAACATTTTAATAAGTCTATTTAAAAAAAAAGGGGGGGGGGAGGGGTTTACAAAAATAAAGCGATCCATTTTTATGGATTTTTCTTTTTTGTATGCTCGTGTATCGTTGTACACATGTACATTACCAAATAATAAAAAAAAAACCCAGGGCAATTTTTTTTTTTTGTTTATTCAATGTTTGAACAAGATACTCTTAAAACAAAAAAAGATTTTTTTTTTTTTTACATTTCTCTCTCTTTTGTTCAAATGGGTTACCCCCCTCTTCCCAGCCAAAACATAGGAAAGTGTCCGTGCTGATATTTACCAATGGTCTGAATTTTAAATAAAATTTCAGAGAGAGAGTAAATGAAAAAAATAAAAAAAAACAGGGCGCTAAATGAAAAAAAAAAATGTTTAAAGATTGTCATGTACATTTTTTTTTAGACTTTCTTCTTTTCTAACATACATTTTTTTTTTTTGGGGTGCCCTAGAAAAAAAAAAAAAAAAAAGGAAAGAAAGAAAGGATGCGTACAATTCGAGGATTACAGATAACGTCGATTGTTGTGTTATCACCTGTACTACTGCTTTTAATCTCTTTAATTTGGATGTTATGTATCTCAATTTTTAAACATATCATCTCTACTCCATCTTCAACTGATATGATACAACAACAACAGCGATCTTTCAATCATCATAAACATCATATTAAAAGATCTCGATTCTTTACTAAATTAAGACAGTCTGCCATTACTCCCTGTGTCATCATTTTACTCTATGCATTCTATATCTTATTCAAGGTAAAAAAAAAAAAAAACTCCCCTTGGGTTGTGAAAATTTTTCTTTTTTTTTTTCTTCTCTTTTTCTGCTTCCCTGGGGGGGGTGTATATTTATTTTTTTAAGCGCAGTACTAATTAATTTTTTTTTTTTTTTCGTTTATTTGTATAGAAGCAAAAGAGACAGGTATTGGAACCTTCTATTCTAATCGAACCAGAAATAAAAACCACCAAAAAGCATTCAAAACGACGAAAAGTACTGAAAAAGAAAAAGAGATTGGATCTAAATGTGGCACCTAAAGGAAACCATACCCACCATCATCACCATCAGCAACAACAACAACAACAACAACAACAGCAACAACAAATACAAAAAGAGCAACAGCCCATACAGCAACAACAGAAAAAAGAACAACATCAGCAGCCTACCATGCTCGATTCCCCTACACCATCTTGTACAACACTTAAATTTGACAACACGAAAATTGACCTAAACCTTCTCTCACCCGAATCTACACCTCTCCATAGCGAAGATGAAGAAGAAGAAGAACAGAAAAGAACAGAAAAGAACTGGTATTCTCCCTTTATGACAGGATTGGATCTTGATATTATACCAAAATTCTCTCAAGATCATCATGCACCCATCTTTTTCACTACCGATCATTTTCAAAAGACAACCAACAAAACCACACTCATACCCAGTCTTTTACGAGATACAAACATTCAATTACTCGAATCTCATCCTTACATCCCCTCTCATCTTCATTACCACCATCATCATCATCATCATCATCATGCCTTTGGTTCCATTGGTGATAAACGAAAAAAATCATCTCTTCACATTTAATCCCCCGCCACCCCTCCATTCTGTACCATATATATTCTCTTCCCAAACAACATCACATCAAATATATATATATAGAGAGAGAGATCAAGAGATCAAGAGAGAGAGAGAGAGAAAAGGATCATCAGGGGCTTAGAAAATAAAAAAGAAGGAGTACACTTTTTTTAATTTATAAAATAAAAAAAAAAATAAAATAAAAAATACATGAGCAACAATGTAATATTTTTTTATCCCTGGAGTTTTCCCCCCTCGTTACACAGTCTTTTTGTATGAGTAACAATCACACACCCTCACTGGTAACCATGGTGATTTTTTTCTTTTTTTTTTAAAAAAAAAAGCAATCATTCAAAGGAAGAGGAGGAGGGGGGGTCTCCCTTTCATGTTGCATGGTTAATTAAGCTTTCTTTCTGATCATCCCTTGTGAAAATCATCTACCACTGACATCAATAGATCTTGGGCGTTCTCTCTTTATGTTCAAAGTAACAGGATGAATCCCTGTCAAAAGAAAAAAGAGAGAAGTCTCTCCACCCATTCATTTTATAGATTACAAAAAAAAAAAATGATATCATCCATGAACGATATTGGAAGGGAGTATGCATGAGAAACCGCAGGCATTGTTTATGCGTCAAATAACTCAATGTGTTTTATAGATAAAATGCCCCCCACAAACACACACACACACAGCAAAAATATTCGCAGTATGAATTTTAAATTAAAATGCATGAACAAACAAATGTGTAAACAATAAACACTGTAAAGGGAAAAGAATGTGTCATGTGTAGATTTGAACCTTACGCGAATTAAAAATTCCAGCTTACTCTTTTCTTTTTCTGCACTGCTCATGGAGACAAAAAGGAATCGTAGTTTACGAAAATCATTGATTACTTTTGATTGCGTGTGTGTGTGTGTGGGCAATTAAAAAAAAAGTCGATGTCTACACTGGGGATGATCACTGTAGTAGAATAGACAACATGGTTTTTCTTTATCCCTGGATACCATCATTGTCAAATTTGTATGATTTGGGCAATATAAGCGCTGAGGACTAAAATGCGTATAGTGGGGGGAGGGAGGGACCTGTCAAAAAAAAAAAAAAGATTTTTTATTTTTAGTACATTGGAGCCACTGTCAAGTGTAACATTGGATATGATTGGTCCTAAAACAACCAATGATTTCACACAAAGTACGCTCAGCACTTGATTGGACACTTTCTCATCCGTGACGTTTTCATCAGCAACAACCAAAAAAAAAAATATTCCTTAATGGTGTGCATATTTTTTCTTTCTTTTTTTTTTCCATTCCAATTGATCTAAAAAAACATCATCTATTAAACACTATAACCCTTTCTTTAAAAACACATTGAATAAATTCTAAACTGGATGCGAATGTTAAAAGTAAAAACACATAACGAAAAAAAAAAGGCTTTGCATGTACTTACTTTTTTTTTTTTTTCAGGGCGAATCAAACGCATTGAACTTTGAGCAATTGATGGCGCAAGCTACGCAAGTAGCAAAACAACAAGATGCATCATTGCACGAAAGAGCTCGTCAGAAACGACGTGAGGACGATGAAAGAAGACGTCGAGAGGAAAAGGCCGCTAGAGAAAGAGAGGACGCTCAAGCCTTGCTCGATCGAAAGCGTGAATTACAAGAAAAGAAACAAAAACTCGATCAATCCAGTCGAAAGGCTATCGATAAAAGGCGTCACCCTACAGACCCTAAACCACGTACCACTCACCCTAGCCATACCAAGTCGACTGTAACTCAACGCAAGTCAACCAACCTGGCCAGTTTCTTTCCAGAGAAAAAGGTAAAAAAAAATCATTTTTAAAAAATTAATCTGCCCACATTATTAAAAAAAAAAAAATTAGAAACCTGTTCACATGTCGTTTGATGAACTAATGAAAAAGGCAAAAGAACAATCGTTAAGTAAAGGAGGAAAACAAGAACCTAAAGCACCCGTACCACCTAAAAAATATGCCGCTCACGACTCAAAACCCAATGATAATACCCCTACTTTATATCATCGATTAAAACGACCTGAACTCGCCAAACCCACTATCACATCAACAACAGACATGTCTGCTAGGGAACGTGGAAAATTACTTATTGCTGAACCTCCCAAAAAGCTCAACTTACAAAAGAGGGATCGTCGAACTATTGCCGATGTTCAACGAGAGATTCGTCATAACAAGGGCATTTATTCAGATGACGAGGATCGTCCCAGAAGTAGTCATTCCGTCGACCCTAGATTAATGAACAAAAATAACAACAACAACAACAACAATAATAATAATAATAATAGACCATCACAACATAGTAACAGAAAAAGACCTTTGTCTCCGCCACCACCCTCCTCCTCCTCGAATCGTGCTTTCAATAAGAAACCTTTACCCACCCACAACACGATCGATCGAAGACCGCCTAATCATCCTTCCTCGGGTGGGGTACGTCGTATGCCGTTCTCGGGTAAACCTTTGGATTCTGCTTCACGTAGACCTTTACCTCCACCCAGAAGAAGACATCGTGATGAGGATGAAGAATTGGATGAAGAATTAGCTTCTTTTATTGTAGATGATGAGGATGAATACGATGATCCTCGTTATGCTAGGGAACCTCGTAGGAATAGTTATTCGGATGAAATTAGTAAAATATTCAGATACGATAAAAGCAGGTACGGTTGTCATGTCCCCTTGTATACACTGATATATATATATGTTTTATTGATGGTTATTTATAGATATGCTAATGATCCTGTTTATTCGGATGATGATATGGAGGCAGGTGCAAGTGATGTATTACGTGAAGAAAAACGAAGGTAAAAAGAGAGATATCCACACTGTCATTATTACTGTCACTGACTTTATAATTTAGTGAACGTCTTGGTAGACGTGAAGATTTACTTGAGGAACAACGAGAATTGGAAAGGTTAAAAAAGAGAAAGAAGGCCTAAAAAAAAAAAATAACAACCATGCCAACATGGGGGAGGTTTTTTTTTTTTAAAGCGTGTAAATAAAAAAAAGAAAAGAAAAAAAAATCCTCACTCCCCCCACTTTGTATTAAACTTTTTTTTTTTTCATTGTTTCATTTTGTACAACATCAAGCCCTTTTATATTATTTTATTATTATGATTAAAAAAAGTTTATGTGGTTCCAGAAATTAAGTTTTGGGCTCTGGAAATGACATTTTCAATTTGTGAGTGAAGTTGATCTTGATTTACTAGATAGGTTTGAAGTCTCTCCAAGAGTTCCAATTGTTCCTTGGAGGACAGGTTATTTATGACCAAGGCTAGGATGGTGCCTACAGAGATATGATGCATCTTGATAAAACTCTGGTAATACATGAATGCAAATAATCCCATCAGGAACTGACAATCCATACGATCCGTTAATCCTCCATGACCCGGGATGGTATCTCCAAAGTCCTTGATATTAAATGCTCTCTTTACACCAGATGCAAAGAAACCTCCAAATGGAGCAATTAAGGATGCAAAACAAGACATCACCAATGTATGTAATTGAATAGGTGCAATCCAGATATGCGTGAATTCCTTGTTAAGCTAAAATATATCATCACACCTGTTAGCATGTCTCTCTCTCTCTCTCTCTTTTGTTCTAAAGAGACTTACCAAGGCTTTTCCAAGAGCAATCCACATGGTGGGTAACTTCCAAGGGATTGAGACAAATACTGGATTGACAGGTTCACATTCAATGTTGGACCAAGCAGACAAGGATAAATCCTTTAAATATGATGGGCGGGGTGTTAAATTCAATTCACTATTTCCGTTAATCACTTAAATCAGTTTTACCTTTACAGGACAAATCATGTAATTAAAACGCATCAGCAAGGTTGTCCACTATATTTTTTTTAAAAAAAAAAGGAAGGTATGAGTCTGTCACTCTACTTTAAGAGAATTTTTGTTTGTTGTCTTTACCAATAAACCAAAGATCATGGTACAGATCCAACCACCAACAAATCCTTCTACTGTCTTTTTCGGAGACAAGAGTAATAATTGGTTGCGTCCCCAAAAGAAACCACAGATATAGGCAAATATATCATTACAGACAACAAGCGCTGCAGGTAATACAAACCAGATCAATCCTTCTAATATATTATCCACAATAAAATGGGCTTGAAAGACAATTAAAAAGATGGCCATATGGGTCCAACCAAATTGGGACATTTGTTGTCTGTACAATCCTTTTTTTAAATTCATGACGAAAAATACAAAGCCTATCATAAAAAGTGTCTTATGTGATCAGTCAAAAAAAATAAAATAAAACTCCTTCTTAAAAAAAATGATTTCATACCAATGACGTAAAGAACGAAACTAATGAATCGATGATGTGTGGCAAATGGTAATAAAAAAGCATCTACCATCACAATTTCCTTGAAATAATAAATGATGGATTCTCCATACAAGAAATATTCCGTTGTAATCAAGTAATACCTGTCAAAACAATAGAATATCTGTCAGCCTTTTTTTTTCTCTCTCTCTCTCTCAACTCTTACCAGCTCATGGACTTGAACCACCGCATGTTGCCTTTGGCTGATAAATACGCTATTTGAATCACTTCTCGATACACCAACACCGTAATAATCATCACCATGATAATCGCCCAGATATATCCCGACGCCAAAATCAGAAAAAAGAGGGCAATCATGATGAGGGTCGTAATGGTTCGAATCCACCAATTCTGCCATTTTTTACTCGGTGGTTCCGCTGCTAACAATGTCGTTGCTTCTTCTACCACAGACTCTACTACTTTATTTACACTATGGCTCACCGTCTCTTTTTCTCCTGTTGCATTTCTTCGTTTAGGCATCGTTTAATAATAATAATAATAAAAAAAAAAACAGAAAAGGAATTTTTTTATTTCATTAGCCGAAAAAACCCTCTGTCTTTTTCTCTCTCTCTCTTTTTATACTTATGCGCGCGTGCGAGGGAGCGCGAGACGGCGGGCGGGGTGGGGGCAAAAGAAAAAAAAAACCACGTCACACCAACATCATGCAAAACTGAGTTTATAAATGACATAACTGTACCTCATCTTTTTTTTTTTGCCACCCCATATGGAGGGATCACAATGTAATTCCTAGTTAGACTGTTTTTTTTCACTGACGTTTTTTATATATATATATTCTTATACTTGAATATGTCGAAACTCGGAAGTTGAATTGATATAGTCCTGACCATCCATATATTCAACCTCTTCTTTAGGAAAGATGAGCACTGAAAACCCAAATGCTCGAATCAATAATTTTTCGATATCAACGCAAGTAATTTGCAATGCAGAGGATTCTTCATTTTTTGCATAGATTTCAAATGCTTCCTGCCCCGATAGTTTTTCCAACTTGCGTCTATCATTTAAGCAATAGTAAAGCGGGTTTTGTGATGCCTTTGTTATCTTGATCACCATCCTCAAGTGATTTGAAATCGTCTGGTGTTGTCTGGAAATAAATAAACACCCCAACACAGTAAATGGCATGTTCAAATGAGGCAAGTCATTTCTCTGGTTAGAAAAATTGCACTGTTCAATAACCATCCATTCCAATCGAAAAGGTAATCGACGAGACAAGTCCCACATAAAAGTCGTTCGATTTAAAACTAGACACTGTTGAAGGTGAAGAAACTTGAAAGATGTTAGTGGGGCCTCTATATCATTATCATCACAAAATACTAAAAATGATCCTCGGATGACCAATGCTCGTAGCACTGGACAGTGCTTAAAGATAAGATTGATAAAGCGTCCCATACTCTTTTTATCATTGACCGACCTTGTGTGAAGAGAAATGAGATGATTAAACAACGAACTCAAATCCAGAGTCAAACGTTCCAATTGAAAGCCAATTTGCTCGATCAATGACACATGCGGTAATTCGGAGATGTAATTGTTTTGAACATAGATTACAGTGGTTCCATGCTTTTCATAGTCACAAGTACCGTGCATGTTGTGGATCCCGGAGGGAAGTATATTTATAATAGGATCATTTTGATTGTCACTGGCGAGTCTCCCAGTGTTGTACCTTACACTGATTTCTTTACAGAACCCTGTGCTACTAGATATTTCTTTCAGGACCTGATTTAAAGAAGATATAGCTAAATGTAGACCATAAAATGACTTGATTTTATCCACATACGTCAAGAATTCAACCCAAGCCTCAATGGGGATCTTTCGACTGATAGGATCATATTGATAAAAACCCCTTTTATCCTTCTTTGTATACATGAACCATGAGTCTAGTTTTGGGAATAGCACCATCAACATATACATGCTATACTGACTAAAAGTAACCACAGATGCGTCGATCTTTAGCATCGCAATATGAAAAGCTGGTTGAATAGAACCCATATCTATCATCGCTGTTATCGGCTGTTCGCCTTCCATCGGCTGCAATTTTGCATCACGTGCAATGTGCAAGTGGGTCAAGGTTGGACATCGTGAAGGGATGGTGGCTATCTCAACCAGTTGGGAGATATGATAGAGACGGAGTTCAAGGTATGTTAAATTTTTAAAGTCTTCTAATGGAGTGGTGATACGGTAAGGTGTGACACACCAATCGGGTAACATCATGTATCTGAGGGTTTTCTTGAGAGCCAAAATAGCATATTGGTATATTTTTACATCATCTTCCAATTCTATATAATAGTCTGGTATCCTGGCCAATTGGGTGGGTCGGTCAGAGGAAGAGTAAAGTTCAAGTAAGAGTTTGGCAAAGAAACGTCCCTTTTGACGTATAGCATAGAATTCTTGTAGGTTGGGTAATGCGTTTAGAATCAGACCTAAATCCTCTTCAGTTTTGAGATACGGGCTCTCGTCAAAGGCTTTAAACGAATGGACTAATTGATTCATGCCGGTACTATAAAGGGTCATGCATCTTAAGAATGTGTCCTGCTGCTTGACAGACAACATGGTTACATCCTTGTACAAGAACGTTTTACCAATGCGACACCAATGCTTGCAAACAAGCATCTGTTGAGAAAATATTCGTGAACGTTCAAGTTTGTCAACAAGAGTAAACTTGAGAAGCTTGAAAATCTCTGTTAAAACTTCGGTTGGTAATTGACTCCAATTGGACATGACAGTTTTTTCAGAGTTTTTTTTTTTTTGGGGGGGGGGGGTGTTTGGCAACAACAGCAGTAAAAGAAAGAAAGAAATATTTTAAGGAGGCAATACGGGGAGGGGATGCTTTATAAACATGCATTATTCGCGACTATTCTAATCCAATTTTTTTTTTTTGAGGTGCCCAACTGGTCAAACGTCGTCAATATCTAATTTTTGCCCTGAAATTCGATATTTCAGCATAATCAGTGGAAATTCCCATTTTTTTTTTTTTAAAGAAAAAACCTTTACACTTACTGAGGAATCAGTTTATTGGATTGTTAGCCAATCTACTGTCATCTTTTGTAAATTAGCTTTCATTAGAGAATAAAGGACTACGACTTCCTCAATATGATGTTGGCAATTATAGAATAATGGTTGAATAATTGCTGTATATATTACGCTGTATAGATCTCTCTCACGTGGAGTATACACGATACAGTGTGTAACGTACAAAGAGGTTAAGCTAGGACATCTTAGAAGAACGAACATACCCCTTTTTTCAGACCTAAACACATCAATTTCAAAGAATATATAAGTTTTTAAACCACTCTAATGGAATTAATATGCTTTATGGCATAGAATACTAATCAAGGAAGGTCATACTTATAAAAAAGGAGCTTGCATGAATAATATAATTTTTGGGCCGATTCCATTGGTTGAGAGAAAAGCCCCATGACGTCAGTTTTAAAATTTATATAAATTCAAGCGCTTTTTTTCTTGTTTTTCTCGGGTTTGCCTCATGTAGAACAACTTTGAATTCATGATGGATTACCAATTAGCTTAAAATTAACTGGTATACTTTTTAGAACACTTTCAAATGTAGTGGAACAAACTTCAGCATGTTTTTTTATAAATAAACGTGTAAAATAACGAATTAGCACTACATTACAGCAGCTTCCCCAATACACCAAAAGACAGTAAAACTTCTAGTTTCAACTAAGTAAAAAACTAGCAAAACCTGACAGAGCTCATAAATCTAAACAAAAACATAAAAAGAGTAAAGGAATTCAGTAATCAAACTGTTAAAATATCCAAATGAGGAGGGAAGAAGACTGGATCTTGTTTCCACCTTTTGGTGCTTAAAACAAACAGGCTGCAATTTTATTTACACAAGTGTCCAATCATTTATTGCTTCTCCGATCTCTTTGAAACAGGTCGTTATTATGCCAATAAAATTTGATTCTGTGGCTATAGCACCTGTTTTTCCTTCGCAATGAGCGGTATATTGTCTATTCACTTCCCCCATCTTGAGTAGATCGAAGTAAAAAGATGAAGTTCCATTTTAGTACATTTAATTAAATACATAAAATGTATACGTAGCTGTAGTTTGATAAGAGTCATACATCTAATAACAGCAGCACAATTTCTATCAGTATATGAACAGCATTATTTCCATCTTGCACGAATTGTTTACAAGTTGAAATTAAATTAATGAATAATAGAGACAAAACAATAAAAGTTCATTTCTTATAGCTCGTCACACATCATACTTTGCTTGATTACAATAAAACCGAGTTGGACTGATCATACGTTCCGTCCTTCTTGATGCCAGTTTTTTTTTTTATTATTCATTAAACAAAGGGGGATCTTATATTAAAACATTCCAAAACTCGGAAGTTGAATTTATGTAGTGCTGACCATTCATATATTCAACCTTTTCTTTAGGAAAGATGAGCACTGGAGACCCAAGTACTCGAATCAATAATTTTTCTACATTGGCGCAAGTAATTTGTATTGCATGGGTTTCCTCGTCCTTTGCGCAAACTTCAAACTCTTCCTGACCTGATAGACTTTGCAACTTGTGTTGATCATACAGGCAATAGTAGAGTGGTTTTTGTGATACCTTTGTAATCTTGATCACCAACCTCGAGTACTTTGACACCGGCAGTTTTTTTTTGGAATAGAACAGACAACCAATCACAGTGAATGGCATTTCCACATGAGGTGTCAAGTCATCACTTCTCTTAAAAAAAATGCACTCGTCAATGGCCATAAATTCTAATCGGGAAGGTAGTCGACGGGATAAGTTGAGCAGAAAATCCATCTGGTGATAAATTATACAATTTTGAAGGTGAAGAAATTTTAAAGACGGTGGCGCCTCCTTATCACCATCGTCAGAATATAATAATTCTGCGCCAGTGATAACTAATGCTCGTAGAACTGGACAATGCGTAAAGATATGATTGATAAAGTGTCCAAAAGGTTTTTTATCGTAATCCGTTATTCGACCGAATGGAGCACCATGTCCAAATGCCCTATTAAGAGTCATAGTCAAATGTTCCAATTGAAAGCCGATTTTCTCAATTAAAGCCGCATGGGGTAAATGTACGCTGATTCCACTTGTAGTGTAGGATACAATGGTTCCAATCATGACGTATTCATGTTGAGCAACGTTGTGCATGGTTAGGGAATGAATATTTAAAACAGGAAGCCATCCATAGTTATTTACGGGGTTACCTTGGCTGTACCTTACCTTGATTTCTTTACAGAGCCCGGTGTTGTATGATGTTTCCGTCAAGACCTGATTTAAGCAATCCATATACATACCCCGACCGTAAAATTCCCTTATTTTGTCTGCATAGGTCAAGAATTGTACCCAAAGCTCGGCAGGTATCATTTGAATTTGGCGTTCATATTCACCATAGGTGGGTGCAACCGGGTTAAAATACATATACAACGATTCAAGCTGCGGAAATAGCTTCATGAGAATACACATGATGTTATGGCTGGCAGTAGCTAGGCTTGCGTCGATCCTTAGGCTAACAACATGATACACTGATTGTACACAGGTTGTATCTATTGCCTTAATCTGATCCTCCCCAGATGGGTTGTACCTGGCATGGCGTGAAATGGACAAGCTGTTTAAGTTTGGGCATCTCGAAGCGATTGTGCCCATATCATACATTTGGGAGAGACTAGAGACGCAGACTTCGAGTTGTGATAAATTTTTAAAGTCTTCTAATGGAGTGGTTATGCGGTAGGGTTGTATACAATAATCGGGTAAAAACATGCTTGTGAGCGTTTTCTTAAGGGTCAAAACAGCATATTGGTATGATCTTGCATCCTGTTCCGATTCCGGAGAAAATCCTGGTATTTTAAGCAATTGGACGGGTCTGTTGGGGAAAGTGTAAAGTTCAAACAAGAGTCTGGTAAAGAAGGATGCTTTTTGGGGTCCACCCTGGAGATACCGAAGGTTGGGCAATGCGTTTAAAATGAGACCTAAATCCTCTTCTAATTTGACACTGGTGATTTCGGGAATCGCCATAAAACATCGTACTAATTGATTCAAGCCAGTGCTGCAATGACTCATGCATGTTAAAAAGGTGTCGTGTTGCTTGATAGACAGGACGGTGATATCCTCATATAATAAAGTTTGAGCAATGCGACACCAGTTCTTACAAACAAGCATCCACTGAGAAACTCCCTCTTGAAGTTGAAGAGTGTCAAGGCAACTAGCATCGAGAATGCCGAAAATCTTAGACAAAATTTCGGTTGGTAATTGACTCCAGTTTGACATGACAGTATTTAAAAAAAGTAAAAAAAAAAAAATGGCCATTAGCCAGACGGACATCGTGATTCGGCTGGGGATGAATTCTAATTTTGTGTAGCCCTAAGGTTTTAATGAAATCATTTTTTTTTCTGGTGATAACAGCTTAAACTAGCAGTAAAGAAAGAAAGAAAGGAAGAAAAAAACTATTATTTTAGGGCACTGCTGGGAAGATGCTCTAAGAAGAAAACTCTCATCATTCGCGGGCATCCTAATCCATATATTTAGAAAATGGATGAGGTGCCAAGTGGTTAAATGTCCTCAGTATTTAATTTAAGCCCTGAGATTCAATATTTCAACATAACCAGGACTTGGTACCTCATCCATTTTTTAAATATCGTCAGAATTGTTTGTCAAAGAAATAGTTGCATTTCTTGCTTTTCATTTCTTTACAGTGGCAAACTTTGTTTTTTTATGGCTTCTTAAACCTCTTTACCACTCTTTCTCTAATAATCAGTGGAAACACTCATTTTTTCAAAAGAAAAAATCAATAAGTCCCTTTTACACTTACCGAGGATTCAGTTGATTTGATTGTTTGGCAATTTACTGTGTATTCGCTAGCTTATTTTACACACAATAAAAGAATGCGTGAGTCCTGAGGATATCATTTAGAGAAGGATGTTTAATCCAAAGCGTATCTTTTACTGAATATATAAAGTATATCTCCAATAGGCAGTTTCCACTTTTCTTGATTATTCAAAGTTATTAAAATACATAATTTGTCAGCATTTGCCATGCTGTTATATCATGTAATCTACAAGATTGTCAAGCTTCTCAAATTATGTTTGACAGCAGTTGAAAGCATACGTGATCCCAAAATTAGCCTATAAATCCGATTAAGTCCTGCCTCACAGCATCTGACAATTATCCCCGACACACTTACAAAGCGTTCATTTTGGCTTTTTGAAAGAAAAGAAAAAAGAAGTAGCTCTGTTATAAACCATAAGAGATAGACGAATTTCTGGTATTATGATGCTCACTTGGGTGAGTTATAAAATTGCGACACAACTTATCCAAATTTTAGTTCTATATTGTAAAGTGTTAGGGTATGAAGACACCATATGAATAATTTCAAAAAGGTTTACATGTCTGTAATAATGCTCGGTTAAACACTCTCACTAATCAATCATCTATGCACCTCAATTGATTTTTGAAAATAGGTAGCATGGTATTAAGAATAGATTGATCTATAATTTTTATTGCTAGTACTTGACAGACACAAACATTAATTTTTTCCTTTAAAAGGTGTAGATAAATAGTGTGAATAAAATGGTGGGCTTGTAGGCAAAAAACGTACAGTCGTTAATATTTTTTTTTCTATGCATTCATGCAATAAATAAACTACCAGCTAATTGTTTATTGAAGAGGCGTATAGAAAAGAATGGAAAGGGTGGGTCCAATATCTTTTAGATATCACTTATCATTGTTGCCTTTATAAGAGAGTTGCAAAAAGAAAATAGATGACAAAATGGGGTGTATGTTAATTTTTAATCCATTTCGCTCGGATGAGCAGCAAACAATCTTCCCCTACATACAAGCAAAACATTGTCTGGTTGCGACAAAGGCTACTTGAGTTGGTAACGTTCTTAGTTTTAAATATTTCAACAGTTAAACTTTTAGTAAAAGCATTCACGCTTTTGAGCCCCATTAAGATTAAGCTTTTCTTGGTGGTTGTATACAAGATTACTCGACATTAACAAAAAAAAAAAAAGAAGAATGTATACTACTGATGTCAAAAAGATGTATGTAGTCTATTATTAGGATAAAAGCATTGTGTTATATCTTTAATAGGATCCTTGCTCTCCGCAGTTCTTCTTATACTAAGGGTCTGTAAAATTTGTGATGAGCATACAAGTCTTAATTATTATGGTCAAGTCAAAGGAAAAAAGAGAAGAAAATATATAATTTATTTACTTTTTATGATATAAACTATGCTAATAAGTGCTTCTCCTAGTTCCCAACATAAAATAGCTGGTTAACAGGCCAGACCACGAGAAGGTGGAAGCACATCCTGACCCAAAAAAATAAATAATGATTCCGATAAACCATCTTCAATACAGAACCTGATTATCCTACATGCTACCTACCCACAATGCGTAACATAAGAATCACCAGGACCAAATACCCCCTACACCATGTTGGGGTGGTGCTTTTTACCCTGGCAGCTGAATCGTAGCAGCCGCACCTGGACGAGTATTGGCTTTAAGGTTAACATTCCGTGTAGATGAGGTAACTGTCCAACAGGCGGCCAATCTATGGCTGCCTATAGAATGCAATATCTCTAGCGTAGACGTAAACAAGGCAAAGCACTTACAAGATGCATTCGGGCACTAAACTTCCTACTGTCATCAGATCCCGACCAAAGATAACAACCCACACCAACTCCAATGACTAAGAACGTATCGACTGGCTTCAAACAGCTACGACCATCCACCGTCTAGTAACACGCTCCTAAATCCACCCTCCACCAAGCAACGGGTGTGGTACTAGTTTTAGTAAAAAGTTCCTGGAACATAGAGGGCGACAAGCCCCAGTCAGATTGTTGTACTGAAATCCGAATGAAGCGATACAGACAACAGCCAAGACCATTGCCTAGCGACTTTGACAACCAGCAGACTCCTCAATGTAATCTTATTAGGGATTACTACGGCCTTTGGAACACTGCCCGATCTGTAATGAAGTGAACAGGTTTAACGGAAACGAACAGAGACGAGAGTGTCTTCCTTGTGCTAAAGCCATGCTAACATCTCTGTTCTAATCTTGATGAGAAGATAAAAAGAAAAAGGGCGTTTTTTTCGCAGCAGTCTCCCTTTTATACCAATTTTTTTTTCTTTTGTTTATTTTGTTTATTTTGTCTAGGCTACTTTTACAAACTTAATTTTTTCTTTACCACTTTTTGGATATATGTATTATCCTTTGAATAATCCGTCAAATTCTCATCACATCCGTGTGCATATCATGGTTACTTTCTTCATTGGATGTCGAGAAAATGAGCATTAAAGTTTTGCTTTTGTATGCGAAATGTTCTTTTTGTGTAACGGATAAAAACATTTTTTCACATGAATCCTTCAGACCATGTTTTAATAATGAGACTGTGCAAGCCAAAGAATACCTGATTCTCAAATAACATGTCTTCGTGTAAAAAAATTTATACTCATCACTCCACAAGACGTAAACAGCCAATGTGAAACTTGCACTTTTCAATTTATTATTGCGTATAGAATAAACCCTTGAATTGTACATTCTGGCACGATGCACATTCAGACAAGCTTTTATTTTTTTGACAGCCATGCACTTAAAAAATAACTTAAAATATCGCTTTGGAAATCACCAAGCACTTCTGTACACGCTGGAACTTTGATATCGTAATACCCACATACTTCAAAAGTGCATTAAGGCATGAAGATGCTTGTCAGCTGTATTCTCATTCAAGTTGGTTACCGATCCAATACTGCCGATGAAAAGGTTGGTTTACTTGAAATGTTGCTCTTCAGTTGAAGCTTACCCTGAACCAACTCTATGCAAAAGTAAGCCTTTTATTGCGGACACAAGCAAGGAGCTGAAGCCTCAACGAGCTGGTTTTTTTTTTACTTATCCAGTTATCATTTTTCAACAAAAACCACTTTGTAGTGAGAATGACAGACTCTTTTTTAAACGGTAAAATTTAACATGACAACTAACGAACAAGCACATTCTCTGTCATACAATATGATGGTAGAAATATAATCATCATCTAGTGGATCTTCTATGATGTCTTCCTTGTTTGTAAGATTAATGATACATATGGTCATAAGTTTTCAGTCATTGGATGAGTCTAAAAAAAAAAAAAAAAAAAAAAAAAAAATTCACTGTAATCACTTGGGGCCATTGTGTAATTATGTGAATTTTAGAAAGAGAACAATGTCCCCACCAGTTAATGTTTCTCAATCAATTCAGCGTTGTTTGATGTTTGTATTTTAAACTGAAAAATCTCGCCATTTTGGGTTACAAGTTTTATGTTTTAATCTCCATTTTCAGTTGAGTGGTAAGCAATGTAAGTAAAAATATATAAAAAAACTGATCATCACGAAGCTTTTTGCTATAAACCATGGTGGATCGATCGGACAGCACGTAAGGGAGAAGGCTGTTTCAGATAATATGGTATATCACAGAAGTATGGATGTGTATGATGAACAGATAACGTCAGATTTAATAAAGAAGTATGGCGCCCGTTTTAGAATAGTCACCAGTATCAAGCTTTTGGACTTGTCACCGGTGTCAAATTTGTAGACTTGTCACCGGTGTCCCCATTATTTTCGGTGTACCCATTGTGTCGGTTTGTCTAATATTCCATCATGTTCCTTATCTTTTCCCAAGGATAAAGCTACTTTACTTACGGATGCATCCAAATTGGTCAAGTCAGCATAACTTCTAAGAATACGGAACTGTTCTATAAACTGATTGTTCTTTAAATATTGATTGGTTTTGGGAATAAGGGTTCGAATGGTCAATAAAAAATGATGAATTATTACTGCTTTACTTAATTTAGGTGTAGCTAAACCCATCACAACAATCCGCAGCTGATGCATGAGTAGTTTAATTTTTGGGTCGATTCCATTGGTCGAGAAATGTGCCTCATGACGTCAGTTTTAAAATTTATATAAATTCAGGCGCTTTTTTTCTTGTTTTTCTCGGGTTTGCTACATGTAGAAAAACTTTGAATTCATGATGGATTACCAATTAGCTTAAAATTAACTGGTATACTTTTTAGAATACTTTCAAATGTAGTAGAACAAACTTCAGCATGTTTTTTATAAATAAACGTGTAAAATAACGAATTAACACTACAATACAGCAGCTTCCCCAATACACCGAGAGACAGTAAAACCTCTGGTTTGACGAAACAACAAACTAGAATAAACTAACAGAGTTCATAACTCCAAATAAAAAAAGTCAAATACTTCAATATTCAATCGTTTGAAATGCCCAAATGAGGGGAAAAGACTAGGTCATGTTTCGACAGAGCATGTTCAGAATCTGTTGTATATGATATATAATATCATATTAGTCACGCCACGTTTTTATTACATTTTTCATTAACTAATACATTGCATTTTGGAAAATGATGAATTAATTACTACAGACGATTGCCAGAAACTGGAAGTAGCGGTCTATTTTCATGCGACAGCTGGACCAGGTACGAAATTATGTATCGGGACCTCCGGTCCAAGTTAGACTGCTACCGCAAAAAAACTTTTCGGTGATAGGCTCAGATCATATTTATCTGGATGCACATTGTATTTATATGGATGCACACTGAATTTAGCTGGGCTCACACTGTATTTAGCTGTGACCAGACTGTTAATATCTACGATGTCATGAATCATTAAAGAAAAAAATCAGAAATCACGTATTAGATATGCTTAGCCCTGGAGGGCACTAATCACTAGAGAACTTTACATGTCGTGCAACAGATCGACAGCAAGACTATGATTCTGAAAATAAACTAAAGATGTTGTAATAATTGATTCTTTTTTGAAAGCATTCAAAATATTGACTTTTTAATTAATCCGCATTGTTATTATGCGATAAAAAAAATGGTGATTCAAAGGTGATATGATTAAAACCATAAATTTACAATTACTTTTTACAAACAACATCTGTTTCTTGTTTGTTATTTTTACCAGAAATTATTTCAATAAAGAGGTCTAAACATGATATAGCGGCGTCATACAAAGAACACTTATCACAGAACAATGATTAGCATGAATGACAAAAATAAAGGACATCAGACGGAAAGTGGCGAAAATATAACGAATGGCATAATACAACTCTTGGGGTTCATCTGTAATACAGTTGACTTTAAATATTAACGGTATCATTGAACATGATGACTTTCGAACAAATAACCAATGTGGAAACATAGATATATAAGTACATCCAGCACATTTTTTGTTAGATGCAGTTTTTATTTTGTTGATTTTAAACATGATGCCAAATTTTAATATCCTTTTAAAACTGTTTTTGTTACTCTCATGCTACTTGCAGTTGATCGAGTCATTCTGTGTGTATAATCAGTTATCCGGAGATCGTGTCAAACTGAGGGTGGGGAATCCTTTTGTAGCTGCTCCTACTATGTAATTTCTAGTCATCTTGAGTATATGAATTTTTTGTATTTTTATTGTATCTAATATTATCTCTTTGATTGTAGACGAATTTTTACAAAAATCGTAGCTCAAGGAACAAGAGTTTGTTGTCCATATGATAATGCTGATTGTGTTGCTGGTCTCAAAAAGGATTCACCCATCGAACTTAAGGTAATAAAGAGCTTCGTTGCTTTGTAACTTCACATGTTAATGACCCTTTCTTACCATAGCTCAGATTTGCTTTTGACTTGATTACCCTAAATGAAGCCGATAGACAGTATACAACTTACTGTGAGGGAGGGGGAGGTATTATCATCACAGGATCAAATTTTAATGACATAGAATCCACTTGTCACAAAGTCAATGGAGATGTTGTACGAGAAAAACTAATCGACTGGGTACCTGTATAGATGTTCTTTAAAAAACAAGGAAGGAAATTTCTCACATAATCTACGCTGCACTCATAGTTCATTATTTTATTTTATCATAAAATAAATTTCTCTTTTTTATTAAATGCACTGTACTAGGATCCATTTTACGCATCTAAAATATATGTATATTCTAGAGTTCTTTCTCAGAGATATTATCTAAAATATGCGTACTGTCTTTTCCGGCATGTATCTGTCTGCAGATTTAATCAACTTATTTTTATTATCTGTGTCGTCAGTTCTGTGTCATCTCACTTCATCTTCTTTCACAAACCTGTTCTTACTTGCTTAAAAATACATTATATTCATCACTTTAAATAAAAAATTATAGAATTATCCAACATAAAAATACAATACTTTTTTAGTTAACATTCTAAATTTTTTATTACTATTATATATGCAATTTAACTATATGCTTAATTTTTTTCGACTTCTGCACAAAGAGCTGTGATTCTCACTTGACTCACAATTTATATATATTGTCTTTAGCTAGCATTTATTTCATTATAAGGGGTTCCTTTTTTTTTCTTACTTGGTCCTTTTGTCCGTAAAAATATATTAAATATTGCTATTGTTGCTAGTAAAATTCCCAAGAAAGAAACCATATATCAGAGTGGCACAAATAATGCTAGACATTAAAACATTAACAATGATGATATCTCAAGTTTGACGACAAAATAAGACACCGAGCACAATAGAAACAAGGCAATGGCTTCATTTACGTTTTCCAAAAAGCTGCTGTATTACAATGAGTTTTTTACATTATAGGTACTATTGAACAGTAGCATTATCGAACAATATGACCAACATAAGAACAAACAGAAAAAGGCATATAAATACATCAATTAAATTTATTTGTTAAATGAATATTTTATTTCATCGACTTTAAACATGAAGCCATCTTTCAATCTTCTTTTAAAACTGTTTTTAATGCTTACTCTGTACTCACAGTTAATCGAGTCGTTCTGTGTGTATAATCAGTTGACAGGAGACCGAGTCACTATGTTGGTCACTAGTCTTTCTGCACCTGCTTCTCCTTCGTAACGTCTTTTTTTTTTTGTATACATAATTGATTTATGATTGTTTCTAAATATTTTCTTTTAAATAGACGACTTTTTAAAAAAGAAGTTGTTCAAAATGGAGTAGAATGTTGTCCATTTGACAATAGAGATTGTGTTCCTAGTCGTAGAAGAGGTGCATCTATAGCATTTATGGTAACACATAACGCAATTGTATACCTCTAAGTCTTTACTAAACCGATTCTCGATATTATAGTTAAGATTTGCTTTCGATCTGGTTACTATACCGGAGACCACAAGAAACTATATTGCTATTTGTGAAGCAGGAGCAGGTCTTTTTATCACAGGATCAAATTTTGATAACATTGAAGCCGCCTGTCATAAAATTAATGGTGAAATTGCACGAACCAAGCTGGTTGATTGGGTACCTGTATGAATGCACTTTTAAGACCAAAAAGGGACCCTCTTTGTGCCATTCAGGTTTTACAAAGGGCGATTTAAATAAAACGAAGGAACTTTTTGTTTTTCTATTTTTAAGCAGAAAAATAAAAACTTCAATCTATTTCAAATTCAAGGGTACAGTATCAGTTTAGAGTTAAAATGTAGAAACTCTTGATTCGGACATTCTGTTCCTGGATTTCACTCTGCTATAAACAAAATTCGAAAAAAAAAAAGGTATTTAAGCAGGCAAAAGGGTTTAGTGTTTGATGTTAATGGATACAGGGACCAGCCTTTATAATTAACACATCACACGCTTTACATTTTTGAAAAGAATATAAACGTGGGAGTGACTTTTAATTAGAAGAGTATGCCTGAAAGTAATTTTTGCGACTTGTGTTTGCGTTTATTTGAATGCTAATTCTCGTAATTTAAGGTGGATCACACTGTAAAAAATGATTACGTAACATTTTACACCGATTCAAAATCTCCACAGTGTATTTAGCTGGGTTATAATGTATTAACATCAAATTTCTCACTGATTGATAGTATCCACAGTGTATTCAGCTGAGAAGACAGTATATAAGCGCTTTTTTGCTCCCGGAGGTCTATGATGTTTACAGTGGGAGAAAAACAGATTCGCGTTCGCCATTTTTAGGTCTTTTTTAAAATCCGGTATAATTCAAAGCCGGATAACTTTTTTTTTTTTACCCTAAAAATTCTTTCTCACTTTGTCTTATATATATAAAAAAAAGAAGCTATAATTTAATGAGACCCCCATTACGAAAAAAGACCCCAAAAAAGAGAAGAGCATCGTTGGAAGAACCCTCCGAAGTTGTATTGATACCCGAGCCAGTGTTGAATCCCGCCTTGCAAGCCAAAATCGATTACATTCGTGCCAAAGACCAGGAATTCGAAAGTATATCCAAGATTCAACAAAAGAGTGATGAATTAGCCGTGACGACACAAAAGTTGGCCAAGGGCATTGCCATGTTGACGGACGATACAGATAATGTGGTAGATATATTGACAAAGTGGGATGTCGTGTTTGGTGTGATGGCCGATTCCGACCGTCATATAGCAAATACCGCAGACGAATGGGTGCGTTTTGTCAAACCACAGGATCCACTGCAACCATTTCCAAAGAAACAGAGGAATGCATAAATTATCTACTATATACATATAAATAACCTTAGATACCCTTTTTTTTTCTTTTTTTTTTATAATAAATAATTATTTTAGACGTGTTCGAAAAAAACTGTTACCGCGAAGCTACCTCTCATCAAAAGGATATAATAACCAGCGGGTTAAGGGGAAAACATTTAGCTAAACCATGAATTGCGTTACTGTGCAGTTAGTAAGAGTTAGCACTTCAAGGACTGAAACGCGATAACAAAGTATTACAGACAGCTGAAATCATAGGTCCCCCATGGATGTATCTCCCACGCAATCGAATTCGTTCTTTACGTTTTATAGTTACATTGTGAGGTATGTCTAATTATGGTATGAAATAATGATATTGCTTAGAAAAGCGCCTTGTTCATATACGGGGACCCTTTTGGCTTTAACCTGAAACTTTTCGTTAATGTCACAAACGGATGAGTAACAGTTATTTGATTGACCTAAATAAAGGAACGAGCAAGTATGAACTGGACCTGGATAAACAATCAGGTACAAATAAGAGGAAGAAAGGTTCACAACTGTTTATGAACCCAAGTTGGCCTGAAAAAGTGTTTTATGGTAATCCTATAGATTATGTATGCAAAGGTGTAATTTTTTTTAAAAAAAAAAATCCCAGTTGCATAGGAGTTCTTAGTGAAACCATATTCTTTCAATGAGAGGGGGCAAAAGAATAAGTGGAATGTGTGCTTAAGCTTCCTTGCTATCCCTTGATGCATTTCTGCCACCCTCGTTCGTTTTTTTTTTCCTTGAATGATCGGTTTGATTATGCTCAGGGGACAGGTTGCTCCCATTTATCCTTCATTTGGTTAGCCAGAGACCAACTTGTTATACTCTTCTAGATACATGATTATTACCTATAGGATATGCAAAACATTCAAGTGTATATATATAATTTTTTTTTTATTGGAAATGTATCATGGAAAAAAAAAGGGGGATCTACTGAGCGAAAACCTCGCCACCTTGTTCACCAACAAACGCGCTAATCTTCTTGACTTGATTATCCCATTCCTCAAGCTTACGTCTCATACCATCGATTTGATCCTTATCAAGTACACGAGGTTGAACCCAAGTGACGACCACAAGCTGATCTACTTGATCGATCGAACCACGGATTAACTTTAAAGACAATGCCTTCATGACAAGATGCTCTACTTCGTCCACGGAGAGACGGGTCTCAGCAGCAATTTCAGAAAAGGGAATGGATCGGTTATCTGTGGAACGTCTGAATACGGCTTCGATCAATGACATCAAACAAATCTTTCTGCTGAGAGCCGCTTGGTTTTGTTGGAGTAAAGGTTGCTTTGAGAAATGAGGCACCAATGCTTCGAATTTACCAATATCTCCACCGTTAAATGCGAATAAAAGAGAACGAAGCCAATCGTGTTCAGTACCAGTGAGTGAATCAAGAATAGGGTGCATCAACTAGTTTTTATAAAAAGTCAATTTCCCTCCTCTTACACTTTTTTTCACATCATCAATCAATCAAAAAAAAAACTTACCAATTCACCAAAGTTATAAATCATATCACCTAATAATGCAGAAATCGAAAGATCGTAGGCTCTTTGAACTCTATCCTGAACAGTCAATTGTTCAACATCGACACAAGCCAAATATAATAATGCACTCTTGTAATATTGAGCATAGTTGGCCTTGGCCTTGTAATACTCAGCACTGACACGATAGAAACTGGCGTAAATAACGGGTTCCACACTATCAAAGCTTTCCAAAATCTTTTCTGACTCATCGATCGCCTTCTTTACATCCTCTGCTTGGTTCAATTTCAATTTGAAGTTGGCGGATTCCATCACTGCAAGAACATAAACATCTTTGGTGTCGGGTCCTTCCACCTTCTTGATAATCTCACTCAAAAAGTTGACCGACTCTTGTAAATCTAAGCTTACATTACGTTAAGCAACTCCTTTTTCTTATTCTCTCTAATTGTCCTTACCAGTGAATTGGTGTGCGGCTTGAAGAGCGATGGTAACAAGGGATAACTTGTTGATTTTATCCTCCCACTCTGCAACAAAGTTTTGGTAGATGGCGATTTGATAAGGAGCAGAAGCAGGCTCTTGAAAGAAATCTAAAATCTTTGTAGTCAATTGATGCCATAACCTATTCCAAAAAAAAAAACAGATTTATTAAAAAAAACATCAAACACAGGATTACGCGACACACTTACTTTCTTTCATAGAGATCTTCAAAAGTAGTGAAATATTGCTGGAGTTGAGCAGGTGTCTTTTGTCTTTGTTCATAAAGAAACTTGGGAACATCGAAATCAACATCCATATTTTGTGCCATGTTGTGTATATACTTTTATTGAGAATGAAAAAAGGCAAAAATACAATATACAAAAAAAAAAAAAAAAAAAATGAAATGCTTGCGCGTCTCCTGTAACTCTTTTTTACTTGTTCCAAGTTCCGCCCTAATAAAATACGTCATCCTTTCACTGAGAATAGGTTGTCCTTAGGGCTTGAGCTGACAATGGTTTATATTTTCAGGTCCAAAGCGGGGTGGATACTAAAGAAATATTGTCGCAAACAAAAAGATAATACAGTTTCTTTAAACTGATTTATAGATGTGAAAATAGTTTTTTTTTAAATAAAAGATTTGTGGCTAATTGAACACTGACAGGATTGATCGGGCAACCGGGAAGAGGAATTACTTATTGAGAAGTTTATCCAATTTCAATAAATTGTTGCCGGTGTAACAAAGTTAAGAAAAAAAGCTTAATTTTCAATAATATGCCTATTTCTTCATATTTGATAAGCATGCATCCCTTTCAATAAACATTAATTGACTTGAATATATACGACTACAGGACAGAGGTCCTCTATGTGTATTGAAGGAGATATAAAATAATCCAACAAGGCTTAAACTGCGAGGTATCAATGCGTTGCATAATATAACCACACCTCAGCTATAAAAAAATAGCATCGTTTTTAAGAGCAATGCAGAAAGAAAAAAAAGTGTATGACGGAGTATTATCCCCATTCGAAACTCGGTAATACAGAATTGGATAATGATTAAACCTTTGTAGTTTATCAGTTAAGATGTTGTCTCAATAGTATCTTTTGTTGAGACGAGTCTCTTTTGTCTTATAAGATGATAAAAAAAGGTGATATTGTAACAATCAATCAATTTCTTGAAACCTTCTTATTTGTTATAAGAGTTGATAATAGGCACTCGAATGAAACAGGATACAAACTTGTATTCTGTCATCAGATATTCACACTTTTCTACCCACGGTAACCTTATTTGTCTATTTGTAAATCATTTACATATTTTTTTTTGTTACTCGACTTCAATTGCATCGTTTATGGTTTAAACAATCCAGCCATTAAGCCTGTCGCAGAAATTATATTGAAATACAAAAAAGGCCTGGGAAATATACCATTATGTAATCCTTCTCCCCTTTAAAAAAAAACGGGACCCGGAAGGGTTCTTTCGATGGTAAGAAGCTGGATTTACCTTTTACACTCAAATTCCCCGAAGATAATTTATCCACGGAGGGCAATCCATTCCGCTGTACTTCAACCTTGTTACACTAGTGCCATTGGGACTCCAGATATAAAACCTGGGGTAAATATGTAAAAAAAAAAAAAAGGATCCATTGAATATTAATTTTTTTTTGAGTACTACACACAAAATGATGACTACTTCTACAATTAAGCCCAAGGGTGATATCAGCTCTGTATTTTCACACCTTGGTGGTAAAGGCATTGGCCTCGACCCTAGTTTTTTAACCTTAAAGCAAGAAATTGCCCCCAAGGACCCTGCGATTCTTAACAATGCATATCAACGATTATTGACGTCCTTCCAAAAAGAATCCGTCGAGATTAAAGAAAAGGGATCTTCTGTGATTCCTCAAGTCTCCTTTGCAGATATTCAATCTAACGGTGGACAGTTTCCTCCTTCAATCGCACAAGAAATCCGTAAGCGTGGCTGTGTAGTGATCCGTAACGTCGTCTCCCGAGAAGAAGCTCAAGGCTACAAACAACAAATCAAGGAATACATTGGTCAGCATGCCAAAGATCTCGGTGGGTTTCCTACCAACGATCCTCAAGTGTGGGAAGTTTATTGGTCTCGAGCCCAAGTAGCAGCCAGAAGTCATCCCAACTTTAACACGGCCACGTTGGCCCTCAACAAGATTTGGCACGCCGAGGAGAACACAGTGATTGATTTGGAAAAGAATTTAGGCTACTGTGACCGTCTTCGTATCCGTAAAGCTCATGATCAAAGTTTTGCCTTGCAAGAACATATTGATAGTGGGTCCCTTGAACGTAAAAAAAAAAAGAATAAGGAATTGGGGGGAGTAGTATATATATATATATATAGAAATTTGACATTTTATTTAGGCTGGTTGGATCCTGAATATCGAAAATGCTATACCGAGATTTTTAATGGAAATTGGGAGGTAAAAGGATAAGAGAGAAAGGGAGAAGGTCTCATTTTATTGATTAAATTTCTCCCACTCATTATGTAGAACCATGATTCATTTGATGCCACACATCGTGTTGAGGCACGCATGGATTATTACAATTCTCCTGGTGGATGTTCTGTCTTTCGTAATTTCCAAGGTTGGTTAGCCATGTCTGACATCAAGACGGGTGGAGGAACCCTTCGCGTCTGTCCTCTTTTAAAACAATCGACTGCCTATTTCTTGATGAAACCTTTGATCGAGGAAAACCTTTTGAAAAAGTAAGTGGTGGTGGGGGAGAAAACAGATTGCATCTGGGCGTTGTTGTTACAATAGAAAACGGATAATTAAATTCTCCTTTTTTAGTGATTACATTGGCGCACTCCCTGGATTATGTCAAGGTATTGGTAAAACAGACTACCCTGAGATTGTGGACACCATGGTTTCAATGCCCGATGTGGGCTATGGAGATGCTGTCTTTTGGTAAGTGGATGACTGGAGTGTAAGATAAAGATTTAATATATTCTTTGTTTAGGCATTGTGATCAAGTACATGCGGTTGAGCCCAAGAACGATTCGGATGTAGACTCGTCAGTTCTTTATATTCCATCCGTTCCTCTTTGCCGTATTAATTCCGAATATCTTGCCATTCAACGAAATGCATTTGAAAGAGGCCTGTAAGTCATTTTTTTTTTTTTGTTGGAGATACGTTTTTTTGTCAAGTTAATATTAATTTCAACCATAACTGACTAGAACACCACCTGACTTTCCCGGTAACCATTATGAAGAAACATTTGAAGACCGAGCTCATGTGAATAGCATGAATGCCGCAGAACAACTGAATATGGGTATCACGACTTACCCCCCTCTCTCGGATGATGCTACAACAGGTCAAAAGAAGGCACTGGACACTCACAACAAAGCCCTTGGCTTTGCATAAATAAATCCATATTTTTATTATATAATTAACCTTTTTTGATCTTTTATGGAAAGTTACACAGCAAACAAGGTTCGCGTAACCCATTTACAAAAGGGATAAGTAACCCTAATCATATTCAGCCCTTTTTTCCCTTAATTTTTTCGTGTGTGTGTGTGTAAAACCCACCTTTCAGTCTGTATGCAATATTATTTACAATGCATTGTATGCATGGGATAAGGTTAGAAGTGGGTATAAGATGTAAAAAAAAAAAATGTTGAGCTTACTAGCATATTTCACAATGATTTCATGGGCTACTATGCTGCCATACGCATAAAGAAAAGAAAAAACATTTAAGACTATTTTGGGATATTTGTTTTCTAAAAGGCACGTAAACCCGATTCTAAATAAAAACTCGTCCTGTTTTTTTTTAAAAAAAAAAAAGAATGCAATGCGTAAGCATCATAACAAGACGGTCATTCGGGTTAAGAGACTTACGAATTTAGTAGAGTGTTTCAAAAAAGAAAGATGACTCGAGACTCCTTACATAATTAAATGGGTCTTTATGGGAATCTCGGTAAAAAAAAAAAAAAAAAAAGATGACCTCAACATGTGCATGGGGGTATTAGAATGGATTTGTTCGTTTTGACATACAACGTTTACAAGTCATGATTTCCTTTATTTGTTTGATCTCCATTTATTATAGTAGCACAGCATAATCATCATTACTGGTTGTAATTAAATTGTTTCATAATTGTTGTACTGTCAGATATTAAAGGGGGGAAAGTAAAAAGGGAAAGAGAGAACATTTTGAAAGGAGAATGAGACACCTTTTTTTTTTTTTTTATGAAAATGAATAGGGCGAAATCCAACTAAATCCGCTTTGGTTATGTTTATCGAGGTTTCCCGCACCCAAAGAAAAAAAAAAGACCCCTTTGTTATTGTGTGCTCCTGCTTACGGCGAATGGGCGATCCTTTTCTTTTTTTTTTCGCTATAAACAAGACCCCATCCCATAAACAATTGGTTAATCTACGATCGGATATAAGATACAAATGACATTTCACAACATGTCATTTTTACCCGCTTTGTGATAGTGTTGATCCAACTTGTAAATTAAACAAGGGAAAAGAAAGATAAAGTTTAGGTCTTATCAATGCAATGATGAAAGAAGTCAAGGTTTTTTCTTATTAGAATGTTCTGATCAAATGTTGTACATGACAAATAAAACATGGACAGAGAGAAATCAAAGAAAAGAGAGAGAGAGAGAGAGAGAGAATAAGAGATAGACCCTTTCTTTTATATGTTGACATTGCAAATGGACTACATTATCTCTCAGGTAGGAGAAACGATTACATCGTATCCATGGAAACGAGGAGTTACTAAGGCGATGACGAAAGGAGTAGCCTGGAGTGAATCTGTAGAATTATAACGTGTTACATAAGGATGCATTATTGAAGAGAGAGAGAAAGATTCAATGTCTTGGCATTGGGTTGGAGTATGTAAGAATTCATCATTGAAAGATGTGTGTTTCTGAAAGAAAGGGGGGGCTCAACTAAAAGAGGTTGGGTTTATTCTGTGGCAAATGGAAATGTTGATCCTCTAACGCGTGTAATAATAGTAAAGAATATGTTACAATTAAGCATTTTATTGAATATTTTATAGTTGATATATTTATACATATTTCCTCCATTAGTACAATTCGCACGGTTTGAAAGGGGCCAAGAGAGAGAGAATGATGGGCTTCTCATACACACCTTTTTTTTTTTTTTTTGCTCTTGTTATGTTTGTTACTACTTGTCATGATCATGAATGTATCTCCTATTAAAACAATAATTCTTTTTTGATCGCACAGAATTGTCATTATCAGACTCTCTCCTACACTTATTTTCTTCCTTTTCTTTTTTTACTTGCTAAATGGGACCCCCTTTTAGCCCCCCCTTTTTTTTTGGAACCCCCCAAAAAAAAAACTGCAGCAGCAAACAAAAAGTGATACCTCTTTTTTTTATTCCATTTTACTTTTCTTCTAGTTCCACTATAAACAATAAACAAAAAGCGGATGCCTATAAAATCCTGGATTCTACGGAAATTGACTTTTTCTTCTTCTTCTTCTCCTTCACTATTCTTTGGATTATTCAACTTGGCTATGAACGAGTCAAGGCTAAAAACAAACTCTTCATTTGCAAGTGAGGTCACCATCCCCACACATCAACAACACCGAAAGAACAACAACTATACACCGTCGGTATATACGGAAAAGTCAGCCACCATCGCTGCAGATCAAAGCAAATTTAAATCCGTGCTAGCATCTGTTAAAAGAGTTTCTTGGGCCTTATTTGTAAAGTATTGGTTCTTGCTGGGTCTATTAGTAGCCATTGTATTTGCAATTTTATTTCCAAATGTTGCCAGAAAAGGTGGATATATTCGTGCTGAATGGTCCATCAAGTGGGGTAAGAGAAAACCTTACATCCTTTAACTCAATCTTTCGAAATACAAGTCATCTAACAACCAATATTTTTCATTATAGGTGCCGTCGTAGTGATTTTCTTAATATCAGGTTTATCCTTGCGCACAAAAATATTAGCAGAGACAATCTTACGTATCCGACTTCATCTACTCATCCAGATAATCAATTTGATCATCATTCCATTTACTGTCTTTGGTCTCGTCTTGTTGTTTTTCAAACTGCACATGAACATTAATTCCATGTTACTTGTGGGTGTGGTCATTGCTGCAAGCACACCCACCACAGTTTCATCAAATGTTGTCATGACGAAAAATGCCAAAGGAAATGAAGCGTCAGGTAATAAGAAGAAAGAAGAAAAAAAAAAGATTATGCACGAAATCTAATCAATGTATAATTTAGCCCTAATGAATGCTGCACTGGGAAATGTTCTCGGTATATTCGTATCGCCAGCCCTTGTATCCGTGTTTCAAGGCCCTTTAATAGCTGCTACACCTGAAGAGGAAAGCACTGCACAAGCCAGCGGGGGTGTTGATTTCATCCAAGTCTTGAAACAACTGGGTGCTACCGTCTTGGCACCTCTGGTTGTAGGTCAAATCATCCAATGGTTCTTTACTGAACCGGTTGCCAAGTTTAAAGTCAAGTTCAGGCTATCTGATGTCAGCAGTTTCATGCTTTTGACCATGGTCTGGTCCGTCTTTTCCGACGCAGTGTATTCAGGGTCCTTTTCGGCAGTGAAACCTAAAGACATTGTAGCGGTTGCTATCTTGAATGCGGGATTTTATATCATCTTCTCTCTCTTTTGTTTAATGATGGCTAGATTGCCACTTCCTAGATGGATTGAAACACCAGACTGGTTAAAGAGATTTCGATATTCCCGTGAAGATACCGTTGCCATCATGGTAAGATTGAATATATATCCATATATGTACCATTATCCTAAACTAACGCTTAATTTTAGTATTGTGGTGCAACAAAGACAGTAGCTATGGGCGTGCCATTGATCAATGTGCTTTACCAGAATGGAGATCCTGGTACGATTGGTGTCTTATCTACTCCCTTATTATTGTACCATGTTGAGCAATTGATCCTTGGTAACATCGAGGTGGAACTACTAAAGAAATGGGTAGAGAGCGGACAAAGAAAGAGAGAACAGCGAGAGACTCCTGTCATAAGGGATGAAGAAGAGAATGCGTATGACAGCGAAGTTACACACGTGGCATCTCAAATAGGTCCTCACTCACATTCACCCTCTCCATTATCACAACTACATTATTACGAAAAGTAATACCCCTTTATTACATCCCCTCCTCCTCCTCCTCCTCCTCCTCCTTCTTCTTCTTCTTTCTCTTTTTTTTTTTTTTACCCTTCCCTTCTTTTTTTTTATCTTGCCCTTTTGTAAAATCATTTCATCATTTAATTATATAAATTTTTTGTGTACACACTAAAATGGCCCCTGCTGCTTTTTTTTTTGAGTTTTAACTAGACCGAGGGAAATATCTTTTTTTTTTTTTTTTTTTTTCATTTTTATCTTTTTTAAAATGTCAGAAACCAAACCACCCACTCGCCAAGAAAGAAAGCAATGTTGGTTTTTACGCGATCAATACTTTGCTTGTCTGGATTCACTCGACATTAACGATCCCACTGTAGTCGAAAAGAATCCCGAAAAAGCAACCAAATGCCTAGAATTAAAAAAAGGTTATGAAGAAGGTTGCATGGCCAGTTGGGTAGGTTTAATATATATATATATATTTTTTTTTCACAGGGAGAAAACTAAATTCCCTTTTTTTTTAGGTTGAATACTTTAATAAACGCCGTGTTTTGGATTTACGGCAGAAACAGTACTTGGAATTCTCTGCTCAACAATCCGGAAAATAAAGAGAAATTTCAGCAAACTTATGTGTGGAGGTTTAGCTTTGTAAAAATATCGATTCAGCTCTGATAGTGTAGATTAAAAAGAACGGGATAAATAAATAAAAAAAGTGTCTTGGAAAACAATGGCATCATTGTCTTTTAATTAAAAAAAAAGATATCGGTATTCTGTCAGTTTACACGAATGACATTAACGTCTGTGATGATGTCAATACAGTAGATCCAGAAACTTGTACTTTGCTCAGCGTAGATATTTTGGAAGAAAATCCATCAATGATTTAAATTTCTTGACGTTATTTATTCGTACTACTCGTTCTATCAGTACCACACGCAATGCAATAAATATGCATGATACAGATAATTGACATTGTCAAAGAGAACAAATACGTTTATACATTGGTGATGCAATAACGCCTTCCCATGAACGTATTTGCGTAGACAGGCCATAACTGTTCTTTGATTGTTTTTCTGTGTATGTAACCTGTCCCACATAACAGCCACCATGTATGAACAAGTAAACCTTCAATGTGCACCTATTTAATCCGCTTGGATGGTCACTATTATGCTAAATGCCATCTTTTTCATGCGTGACCGTCGAAAATGAATCATTTAAGCCCTTCATTTTTTTTTATTTTTTTGTAAATATGTAAACAAAAACTTTCTTATCAAATACAATGTCAAGTGAACCTTTGACATTAGAGCAACTGTTAGAGGCTCACAAGGAAGAGCAAAAACAACTCACCTCAAAAATCATTGGTTTACGTAAAGGTGTACCCAAAAGCAACAAACAGAAAAAACGAGAAGTCAATTCACGTATTGCTGATTTAGAATATGATTTAAAAAAGAAACAGGACGAAGAGATTAGAGTGTTGAAAGCGGTAGAAGCTGGTATCGACCCTCACGAAGAACCCGTAAGAAAGAAAAAAAAAGAAATCCTATACACTTTCCCCCTCCCCCTTTCGAAACTTTGAGTATTCACTTTTCATTAGATGGACGACGGTATTTCGTTAGACCGTCTAGACGCATTAACCTTGGATGAAGTGACTGACACGGCTGAACCGGTGAAAGAGCAACCCAAGAAAAAAGTCAACAGAGCCAAGGCAAAAATTGAAAAGCGAAATGCAGAAATGGAGCGTTTACGACTGGAAGCCATTAAGGAATCCGAGAACCAGGTTGACCTTGGTGTTATGGAGACGGAAGCTATCACGAAACTAATTGCACCCATGAACTTACGGATAAAGCAAATTAGTGCTGATGGTCACTGGTAAGAATAATAATAATATTAATAAAAGAGGCAAATCTTATGTAATCTTGTGATATTAATGTATCATAGCTTATATAACGCTTTTGCTGACCAATTGAGAACGAGACATGAAGAGAATGTGGATAAAAAGGAACTTCGTCAGTCAGCGGCTGAGTACATGCGTCAAAACCCAGATGATTTTGTACCGTTTTTGTACCTGGAAGACGGCAATTTTGAAAAGTATTGTAACGATGTGGAGCACACAGCTTGTTGGGGAGGACAGTTGGAGGTAAACTTAAAAAAAGATGCTATTTCTACAAAAACACACGCCATAATTTTGTGTTCATTTATAGATCGTCGCATTGGCTAAATCCAGAAAAGTTCCTGTCGATGTGATCCAGATGGGCGGTCCTACCATTAAAATTTGCGATGATGAATACCCCGACAAAACACCCATCAAATTAGCGTAAGTTTAATCTTCCTTTCGGGCAATCGGATCTAAAAAAAATAGCAATCTTAAATTTTTTTTTTTTTTAATTTTAGTTACCATAAGCACCTCTTTTCATTGGGTGCTCATTACAATTCCTTGATTGACCAATAAGACCATCTACCGCGATTATGTTTCCTCCATTCATTGTCCTTTATTTTTGCGTAATTTAATTAAAATCTTGAAATTTATCAAAGTCCACAATCTCAATTGTTATAAAAAGAGACACCATTGTCCTTCTTCTCAATTCGTCTTTCTTATCTTACTCTATTTCTATTTTCTACTAAGAATCATGTCTGCTATTACTACTGAAAAAGCTACTTTTGCTGCCGGTTGTTTCTGGGGCGTAGAACACATTTACAACAAACACTTTAAGGATCTTGGCATTCTTACCACCGTCGGCTATATCGGTGGAGAAGTTGAAAATCCCAATTATCCTCAAGTTAAGACTGGAAAAACAAATCACGCCGAAGCTTGTCAAATTACTTTTGACCCATCCAAAGTTTCCTATGAAACCTTGACAGAATTCTTTTATAAAATGCACGGTAATTATAACCACTCATTCCGCTTTTTTTCAATTAGTGTATTCATCCTCTTCATTTTAGATCCCACTACTGCCAATTATCAAGGCCCCGACGTTGGCACCCAATACCGTTCAGCCATTTTTTACCACGGTCCTGAACAAAAGGCCATTGCCGAAAGAGTTACAAAACAAGTGCAAGAAAAGCACTATCCCGATACTCCCATTGTTACTGAGATTGTACCTGCCACCACCTATTACAATGCCGAAGATTATCATCAATTGTACTTGGAAAACAACCCTGAAGGATATGCTGTAAGTTTTTTTTTTAGGATAGAAAAACAGTTTATCAATCTTTTTTTTTCTAATGTTTCTCATCTTTAGTGTCCTACTCATTATCTTCGTTGGTAATTCTTTTTCCTCTTAAAACCTGCAACAATCCAAAACAAACCCTGTATATTTCAACAATTATATCACATTTACATCCCATTTTTTTTTTATTACATTTTTTCTTTATTATTACCCTTTCCCTTTCTATACATAATTACGAGTTTAATAAACCTCCACCGCAATAAATACATCTACAACAATGCACTAAAATTATATCTGTCAATGATCGATCGTTGCTTGGCCGTAAACTTTTGGAGCCGCAACTGGAACATTTTTTCGTATGGGGTGAATACAAAACTCTTCGAGTTATACTACACAGTTCTAAACAATGTATAAAAAAAAAAAAAAAAAAGTTGATTAATAATCCAAAAAATTAACGGATAAATTTTTTTTTTTTTTTTTTACCCCAGAAATGGCCGGCATCACATTGAGCCAACGTACTATCCCCAATAGCTCGCACAAGTTCATCACAAACAGGACATTTCTCTCTGGGTTTAGGGTTATAAGGACCATAGGGCGAACTGGAATAGGCAATTTCTTGGTACAGACCCAACTGATCGAAATTGTCCTGTAATCGCACATACATCTCCAAACACTGGGCTGTCAAATCGCTGTTGGATATCGTCAAGCCAAAATCACATAGCAAGAGCATCACCATTTGGTCTTGTTCGCTAAACTTACTAAACTCCGTATCCGGTAATCTCGACACATAATCAAACACATGGGCCAAAAAATGGCTCAATGTATTCTGTTTGGCTTCCACACAGGACTGTAAGAATTCGGTTTTGAACAAGACCATCTTGTACTTTTTCAATTCGAGGTCCGCGTTAAATATGATGCGGCTCGCGATCGTGCTCGATTCACAATATATCGCTTTCGTAAGGTCTCGACCACTAAGAGATTCATTTTGTCAGTACATAGCATTTACTTTTCCTTCCTCCTATTTTTACTCTAGTACTGGTTTAACCGCCATATATTCTTTTAATTTACTAAGCCATCTATCAATATGCGTAGCATCATCATCCTCAATTAAGTAATCCAGAACCTCTCTTAGTAATCCTCGCACGGGTTTTACAAAGACTACACAAAACAAATATCTCTTATCAATCATTCAGTTTTGAAAAGGGAGGCTAAGAGTAACTTACAGAAATTTGGATCAGTTACATATGTATCTACATCGGTAAGTAAGTTTTCTGTCAATAATCCACGAGGCTTTTGTAAAATAAATGCCAAGTTTGTGTCTTCTGTAGACTCGGGACGATAATGAACATCCACTGTCGGCCTCATACTACCATCATAATAATAATAATAAATGAGCCATCATTAAGGGGAATAAATCTTTTTTTTTTTCCATTCCACACTTACGCAAAGTAGATTGCTGTATATATATGTCCCAATGAATCTGCTCCGCCAAATAAGTAAGGTAAAGCATCAGATGCACCAACAATATCATCTTCATCAGCTTTCTCTTGTTCATCCATCCACTGTTGCTTGTATTTCTGAATAAGTTTACTACTGATTTCTTTATGTGCGACTTCATCCACGGTCAATTCATCTTCTGCACTCAAATGAAATTGAAGTCCTTCGCCTTCCACCGTATAGCATCTGAAATCAAAATCATTGATCCAGTTTCCTCCTGATAATCCCAATGCCGAGTGTTCCAACACGTGCATTTCCCATTCCTTATCCACGTCCATGACAGCCTCGTCTACTAAAAGTGATGTGAAACGAATTGTAATCCCTTTGGATAAAGCAATACGAATAAAAGGTGAATCGTTTTCAAAATCGTCGTGCACTTTCAACAAGGTGGGAACGGATGAACCTTCATCGAACCATTGGCGTAAAATCGAATACTGAATATCTTTAATCGTCGTATGATTTTCCTCGTCCGTTTCTATCTGGACCGTGACCGCTGTAAGTGCTGCAGTGCCGTTTGTGCTTGCTGAAGCAACATATGCAGTATCTATGTCCGTATCAATGTCAATACAACGCGTCCCTTCTTTTTTTTTTTTCATTAGTCTATCCCAAATACATTACATTTGCCCTCAGTCTTTTTCTGCCAATTAGACCAGTGAACAAGGTTGACATAGGATGTATGCGCTGTAATAGTTGTGCTGTATTCGATACCGTCGTGTCCTAATTTATAGAGGCACAAGTCTCCTGCCTTGTTGGATAATGCAAGAAGACATGGTGAAGTGCTAAAAGGATCTGCCACGATCTTTTTAGACCAAGCAGCGTCTATCAAGAAAAATTAACTACATGTCAAATTTTTTAATCCCCCCCAAAAAAAAAAAAAAAAAAAAAAAAAAAATCCCGCTTACATAAAGTATGATGAGGGTCTCCCTTGGTGGGATGATCATGTGTAATGGCATTGGCATTGACACTCTCGGTAAGGTCTGCATACTGGGAATGAAGGATTAGATCACTACACCCCCACACCTATCACACATATTTCTTTTCTTTACCAGCTGCCAGTCAGAATTAATGGGATCTTTGGCTGAACATTGATATATAAGAGCTCTATGTTTGGTAGTAACAACCACTAAAAAACAACCATTTGTTTGAGATAATCCACTTGGTGACCAGTTGGCACAACGGTATCCTTCCTCGAGCAGAAATGAAGTCTGTATATTATTGCAGTCGTCTATAGTTTAAGATTAGAAGCCGTGTAGGGCCTTTTTTTTTTTGGAGCAGGAATGTATACCTATGGGCGCTGAAGAAGTAAGCTTCAATTCGGGTAAAGTGAACCCAACATGCTTGACACTTTCTTCGTTTGACGAAAGACCTATTAAAATGGGTGTCTAAAATAGAGTAATAACGCGATCAATAACTGATCGACGGTGCTCGTGGGGGGGGGGGGTTCAGTTACAATAATGTGAACATTCATGTCTAGGCAAATAGCCAATTGGCAGTCTTCACTCCATTGAACACAGTCAATAAAGTAAGGTCGATTTTTTAATGAGAGTGGTGTAAGTTTCTCCATGTTTTAAAGGGACAAGAAAGAAAAGAGGAAAAAAAAAAAGTCGGTGTAATTAAAAAACGTCACTTTAACCTTTTTTCTGCACTGCATTTTCATTGTACGTTGATAATTAGACGCAATAAGTGTGTTTCAAGAAAACATGATATCTTTCATTCGCCTAGATGGACCAGGCTAATTTGATTACCAACTTTTTTTTGGTGATATCTTGATTCGGACAAGTTTAGAACAACCCTTCAAAAAAAAAGGGGGAGGAAAGGGATTGTTTCATCATTAATTAGATAATGCCATAACAGGGTTATCTTACATGAATGAAGAAACGCCTTTTGCTCCAAAAAAAAAACCTAAGCATAACTAACAGATGGAAGAAGGGGGTTTATTAGTTATTGTTATCAAAACTTTGTAAACAAAGTTTTTTTTTATTAGGAGATGTTGTTTAATCCGAGATGGGGAGTTAAATTATGTTTTAAAAGGAGTATGTATATTATATATATATATAAAAAAAAGAAGGGAGTTATTGATGTATGATGAACTTTTCGTCATACTGTTTAGTAGATGTCCAAGAAGCTGCAGTTGGCTTCTCATTAATATGAGCATAAAGTGGTACGGTCACAAAGTCAACAGATGGATAGCGATTGAATTGTTGACTAGAAAGTGCATTATAGCGATCATCGAATTCAATTAAGATAGACTATATAAAAGAGTACATGAGTTACAAAATCATATTGCATGAGTCAAATATTTCTTTTTCCTTACATAAACCGAATTCAAGTTGGAGTTGGATGTAATGTTCACTTGTTTATATACGTCGGATAAATCGGATCCATTTTTGCTGAACCGGTAATTAATGCCTCTAATATTTTCAGTTGCATTGATGCGATTGCAAATACTGAGAATAGCGAGCTCAAACTAAATCAAGTTATTAATTTAAAAAAAAAAATTCTATAAATAATCTTTTTTTTTTCTTTCTCGCTTTCTTACTCTTTGACGAAGCACGCGATGTCTCCACATGAACAATAGCGTAGATAGTATCATAAAAAATGGTAAAACAACAAGCCCGCAAGACCATCGGGTACGGATCCAGAGTATGTAGTTACCGAAAATAACAACCATCCAAAGAATCCATATAGCAATGATCCACATAATCTTATTTCCAGGTGGTGGGTGGCTATACACGGATTGGTTAAGTAGGTTAAATGATGAACAGAAATCTTGGACTGATAACTATAGCCTTAATTAATCAACATGAATTTATCGAAAACTAAGTATAATGCTTACATAGCCTTGAAGATCAAATGTATATTGATCATCGAACTTTCGGTTCATTAAAGAGAAACGGACGGATTTCATTAAAAAGGAATGGGATGGGTTTGTAAAGATAAAGAGTGTAATGGGGTTGATAACAAATGCAAAAAAAAATAGAATAAAGGAAAGAAACTAGATAATTCTGATTGACATGATGTTTATATATCGGACTTGAAGATCTGTGACGTTTTTGCACATTCTATCTGTAAAATAGGAGCATTATTATACTAACTTTTTTTTTTATAGACTATCTATACTAAAGGTTGCAGGAGTGACATAAGTATGAATGGAGAAACATAAAGTGAAGTCTCAATACTTCTTTTGCTACTTATTGCTATTTATTTTGTTAATATCTTGTTGAAACTGGCTATATTACTATTCTCCAGAATTGACATTTTACAGTAAAGTTGTGACTGTAGCACCATGTTCCTAGCCTATTTGATCATCACCTCTCGCATTCTACTAAAATGTAATTATGTTGTGGTAGGAGCAGAATACACTTGTTCCGATGATTTAATAATTAAAAAAAAAAGTAGAGTGGTTACAGTTTGCAATTACAATAACTTTTCAATAACATGATTTATTTAATGAATAACATTTCGATGTGGTGAAGTTTTTGCCTGTAGATTTGGAATACCTATAACATCCGAGCTAAAGACGAAAGAGTGGAAGATTAATGGAGCTTTACATTCACGTCTGGCTTGTCGATGATCAAATGAAAACGGTGTGTTCGAAACATGCTGGGATAAGTATTAAGGACGACTTCGTATCCGTTGAACAGATAGGCTTTACAACTAAGCAGGCTAATATCCACTTTTTTCAATTTAAAGTGATTTTTGAAGCACAAAGTAAGCTCTTTATTGTCATTTGTCACCGGTCTCATCCCGCCAGAGATTCGCACTTCTTCTAATAAAGGACAAGATTGAAAAAATACTCGGAAGACATCATTGAATACAGCTGTGTTTGTTTTCTCCCCCGGGCAAAATCCAACCTCAACATGATTGAGAGAATACTCTTTGACTTCGTACTGGCTTGCAAATGAATCTGACTCATCTGCACCAAATTTATCGAACCAAACTACTAATTTTTCCAGTACAGGCAGGTTTGGTAGAATATGGATGAAGAGTAACGTCGCACTTCCTTTCGGCAATCGGTCCATGGTCAAATCCACAACTTTTTGGAACGATGCTGGTAATTGTAAGATTCTTGAATATAAATACGATATTTCCTCCAATCTTCCGACTAGAATTTCATGAATCTTTATTCCCAAGATTGTGACATTTTTGATCAGCTGGGATTTTCTAATCGTATCAACCATGTGTTCATTTTGGGACGTATCGTTCAAATAAAGTGACAGACCTTTCAGTTGTACCTTGTTCTTTTCCATGGCGTTTATCATCTCGTCAGACAAAGGACATAGATTCATATCCAAGTAAGTGAGGGGTTTTGATTCCATTAACAAGCTTGTTACAACTTCTTTAATTCTTGTGGAGAGATAAAGGCTATATGCGCGCTGGGCATACGCATTTAAAGCTATATTTTGAAGATTCTTGTATTTTTGATTGATATACGATACCCATTTGAAAACAAACTCGTCCAGATTATCTGTATTATCGTTATACATCCCCGCTATATTTATAGAAAGATTGAGGATTTCAAGTTTACTGGCTAGAGTGGTTATGTTGACATGTCGTTGATGTCTCCACCTATGTTTATCGACACTCATCTTAAGCGTAAGTTTCTTTAAGTTTGGACTCTTGCTGTGAAAAACTTCGACATCTTCTAATCTGACTGCGGTACTTGTCAATACGAACTCTTCAAGTGACGGTAAATTTTGAATGTGGTCACGAAGTAACTTCAATACCGTGATATCATTTTCTCCATCGTAAGGTTTGTCGCCTGTGATATCCAATCGTTTCAAGTTGCTTAAATTACTATACAGGACGATTTGTTTTGTGAAGATAGGGGATAAAGAACGATCAGTCAAGTATTCTAGATTGTTCCATCGTTTGAATCGTTTTTGATAATCGAACACCTCTGGACTAGGTATCTTGTCTGTATCACAAAAGAGTTCACTGATAAATACATTGCGCACCTTTGGAAATACTTCTGGAAGCTTCATCAATGTTCTTGTGTGCTTGTTACTTGTCCATGATATACAGAGATTATTTACTGTGTTCGCGATACGTCTTTTCTTTACAAATAGATCCATAGCTGATCGAAAATCAAACGGCATATTGTTTTCAATCGTAAGATCGACGTAAAGATTTGAATTGGCTATAATTTCGTACCAAGCCTTACAAACACGGATACATCTGATTTTGTCACGCGTCGACAGAAAGCTTGTGATGAGCACCAATATTTCTGTAGGTATCTGTATCATGCTTTTGGGAAAGTAAAAGATGTTGAGGGTTTTTTTATGAAACAGACTAGATATTTATAGGTTTGATAATCCGACCTATTTTTTTTTTCTGAGCTTACGTCATTTCATCCGTCAATGAAAAAAAAGAAAAAAAAACATTCGAGGAGCTCCCTTTTTCACACAAATTGAGTTAAACACACAAAAAATCATGCTTTAATTTTTTTTATTTTTGATAAGACTCTTCTTAAAACGAGTTGTTTTTCCTCTGGAGTATTTGCTTCCAATAAAGCACGAGTATACTCATGTCGAAGCACGATATCTTCTTTATCTTTGCTGTCACTTTCGTCGTCAAAGTAGAAGCAGCTTCCTCCGGAACCCAACTATGCAATTGCGCTGTGATGTATCATACCCAATTATCCTTTTGATGTGTTATAATATCAACGCACTCCATGTTATTATTACTCATAATGAAGTTGCAAAACCAGTAACATCTCCATTGGCTTGGATTTCTAAAAATAAACGTTTTTTATTTGGGGGTTCAGTTCTCGCAAAACGTCAAATGCATTTCATTGGTTCTTAATTATTCTACCGAATGTGTGTAAATTTCAAGACATTTATTATGCTTATGTAAAGCTTCTTTACAGATATATTTAGTCTTAACATAGCAAATGTTCTTTTGATAAACATCTGTCCAAAGATGTTTTTGAATGTCTAATCCAGCCTTGACAATCTTCAGCAGTAACAGTAGCGCATGCAGCAGCAATTCTGGGTGTAAGCTGATCTACCTTACTCAATTGATGTCTTCTAGTTTTTTTCTTTACTTTTGCGCAACACTCCTTAATAGGATTAAGAAATGGCGAGGAAAAGAGGCTTATAACTGCGTTTGTTAATCACTTTTATACAAAATCAGAGTGGCGAATCCTGTAATTATCCATCACAATGTAAACTCCTTTTTTGTTCTGTTTATCCCATGCGAGAGTGATTCCTCAGGGTATATACAGATGAGACACACAGGCGTGGAAAAGTAATCCGGCATAAATCCTCATTCCTTTTCAGATTCAATCTCCCAGATGTTTAATATAAAAAGCGTTCTCCCTTTTGCGATGACTTTCTCTTTACAACCTTAATAAAGGATTAATGCAGACTCATTTCTTATTACTTCCTTTTATTCTTTTTCTCTATACTTCCATATCTCAAACATCATAGCTAATGAGTCTTTCATAATTACTTTGTTGTTAGCATTATCATTGTCATTAATAATAGTAGTAAATGCATTCGCCAACATGATTAGTTAATTCACCATATTATTTTGCAGGGTACTCTATATCCATTTCATCTGAAAAACTATCATCATCAACCTCCTCAATGGATGTATCAGGGATATAGTTGATAAAGTCTGATATCATTGAAAGGTATTCTCTGAGTGTTATAAAATAAGATGTAAGCCATTTCACTTAGAGACTTCGACCAATATCAGACATTATTGTATTGCTCAGTAACCACATCAAGCACCAAAGATAATCAGAGAAGGGCACACCAGTCATTGCGGCTACGCCTTCGACTAAAGATGTATTGCATACGGTTTTAGGGGAAATTACTGCGAAATTAGTTGTATCAATGGAACTCAAGGAACCCGCAAGTTGCAAAAAAAAAAAAAAAAAAAAAAAAAAAGATCGATTATGATAATCGTAAAAGAAGAGCCCCTTCTAGTCTAATCAAGCACGCATTAAAAACATTTACTTTGCACACCGGAGCGTTTTATTTTGGGCACTGGTTTTTCATTTTGCTTGAAAGGCTTTATTTATTGCTCCCTTGAATTAATACAAGTGTCGAATAAATTCTACTAGAATTGACTGAGACACTCAAATACAAAATAAGAAATATCATATTCCCTCCCTTAAAAGATCAATAATGTTGTTATTAATATCAAGTTTATTTCACACTGTGCAACAAATTGATCTGAACATGATATTCAACTTTGCCTCTCTCTCTCTCCCTAAAAAAAACAAACAATAACTCTAATGTCCTATAAGCTAGCCAATTAAAATGTTTATTTAGAGTGAGTGTAGATTTTTTAAATTTAGACAAATGAGTGGTAGTGATGATGTGGTGGTGACGCGAGATTCATGCATCGTTAATCTCATCAGATTCGGAATCCTCGAAATCTTCATTTTCTTGGTCATTCCAAATTATATCCGTGGTCCAAGAGCTGATAGGAGTTCTCTTGTTCTTACTAGTACCACTGAGAATCCTTGCCATGTCGTCCTCATGATCCATTTGATACGTTCCATACATTGTCTTGAGTTCAATGATGAATGAATAGTGTTCGGAATAAAGATCAAAGCTTTCGAGTGAGCTTCGATCGTGTTCCAGTCGAAGATTGCTCGAATCGACAAAAGGTGGCGCATGCTCGAGTACAGAAACTTGACTCGAGCTTTGTTCGAACTGGCGCAAGATCGGTGCAAGATCAGTGCAAGTTCGGAAAATCCGAACACTAGCAATGACTATAACAGAAAAAATATTATTACACAAATCGAAAGATGTAATAATTAAATCTTACTTCAATGCATGATAGACCGTTGATAACTTTAGCTAAACCGTGCTTAAGTGACGTGTAATTTGTCGGACACGAGAAAGAATCAAGATCTTGCAATAGGTATAAACCCCTGTTGACCAATTGGAGGGAGTAGATATGGACATCGAAACCCATAATCTGTACGATAGGGAACACTACATTCTTAATGTCTTTTGCTGGAATAAAGGGAACCGAGGAGAGGAAATTGTTCACATGACACTTGGTACCAAGTACAGATTTGAGCTTGTCCATAAACAACTTCTTTGGTGAGGCCTTCTTTGCAACTTCGGCGGTTCTACCATCAACAACATCTTCATCCTTAGACATTACGACGATACGTAAATCAGCCTTAAAACGTAAGTTGTTTCTTTTGCATGGCTTTGATACAGTGTCACCCCTACAGAAAATTTTAATACTTTAGTCTGACAAAAAAATAGTAGTATATACATATATACACATACCAATGCAGCATGTAGTCGTCATTATAAAAAAAGGCTTCAAAAATCACGCCCCAGAACTTAATCTGATAACACACCAACTAAGAAAAATCCATATTTGGAAGGTTTTTTGAATCAAAAAAATTAAGTTCAAAGTTCAGCCAATACTTGATGGTCAAATAAAAAATAAAGTTGTAGTTACAAACTGCAAACAACAACAATTGTGATAATCCAATAATTTCTTATTTACAGTTTTTTTTTATTTATGTTTCAGAAGGCACTTGGTTTTTGTAACCACCAAAATAGGCTTCCATTGAAATAGTTGAATTTTCTTCTTTCTTTTTTCTTTTTCTTCAACACTTTTTAAACGAAAGCTAGGTATAAATTATAGATAGACCATTATCCAACACTCAATGTTTAATATATAGCATGATAACGTACCCTTAACAAGGCTATCAGTCAAGGTTTATGCACCATTCCATCGTTGATCCTATTTTTAAGATAATGAGACTATATATACTGTAAGTCTTAAAGTATACGCCTTATAAAAAAATAATAACATTTATCATTCTTTAGTGGTCTATTGGCGTAAGCATAGGTCTATTGTTCATAAATATATATAAAGGTATGTCCTCTTTCGCTTTTTTTATTATTAATTCTAATTTATGATTATAATTACAGGTAAGATATTCCTTGTGAACATCCTTCTATCTGCTGTTTTTCTTCAAATCCTGCAATCATTACTCCATTACAAGCAAATATACATAGATATATCTGTTATCTGTTTTTTTCCCATTTTATTGATTTCTCTCTTATTACAATAATAAAACACGCTATTTTTTAAAATACATTTTCACATAAAAATATGTATGTATTCTTTTTTTGTATAATGTAAACAGAAATAAAAAAAAAGTAAATGTTTGCAGTCGGCTGCTTAAAAACTGGCCTATTCTTAATTTAGAAGGTTTTCTGCACCAAACCTTAATCCATATTTGATTTTTTAAAATTCAGAAACATCAGTCGGTGTGAATCAAACTCTGAATATTCCTTCCTTGATGCCTTGCTAAAAAGATGGGGCTTATCAATATGCATACAGAGACTATATAGAAGAGTCAGTTTGTTATCCATTGTTTACAAACAAACAAAAAAAAAAAAATTGTAATACATACATGTGATCATATATTTTCATTACATAACGACAGTGTGTAAGATTTTGAAAACCAGCCTTAAATTACGAAAATCAGCATTTAAACAAACAAAAGCACAGGTCGCCACAACCACTTGTAGGCATACTTTTCTAAGTAAAAGTTATCTCCACGTTTACGGTCTTTTCAAGAATGTAAATTTTGTACTGTGTTAATTATAAATTCTGATCTCTGTATCCAATTACATTAAATGTTGGACCCTTTTCCCTGCCAAAACACCTTTTTTTTTTTCCGGGTGTTTTCCGGCTTAATGGAATCCAGCCTTAACCTTGTCTTGATTAATGTTTGAGAATCAACTTTCTTTATACATATGTACATAAAAAGGTCAGCTAGAAATCTACATATATATTTGGTCCTATTATAAACTCACTTTTTTCAAGATGTCAGTGATCTCCGTTATATTGTATTCCATATGTTCAATTGATGGCCTGGCATATTTTTCCTTGATTAAATTGGCGGTCTCAGCGCCAAAATACCTCATCTGTGAGTTCTCGGACTCATTTGACAAATCAAGAATGAAATTCTGAGATAGACTAAAAGAAAATAAATATGTTATTGCGATACCATGGACTCAAGTCTTGAATGATACTCACTAAGAAAAGTATTTATCCACTTGCATCCCGGACCATGCTTTTTTTACTGTTGCAAGATAAAGTCTCGAATATAGAGGATACGGCACCAATTGTGAGACGAAAGAGTGCATTTCGCTTTGTCCATAAGTCAAAAACGTCAGCTTCACGCCTTGTACAAGCTCCAACCGCAACACAACCAACTACGTCGAGTGGCTAAGAAATATGTTAAAGGAAAAGCAAAAGGGAAAAAAAAGTGGGTGAACGATTCGTATTTATAGGCTGATTAACGAGAACTGGCTTATGTCAGGATGTTTTAGTTAAAAAAGTGTGTGAACGAGATTATTTTGTAAGCTGATAAACAAGAGATTATGTCAGAATGATTTCAATCATCTAAAATGTTTGGGCCTTTACTTAAAATAGAAACATATGCAACCCCCCACCCCTAAGCACATCGGAACTTGGTAGTTGTCAGTAGTAGCTTGTAATGATAGTGCACCATATTTTATGGAAAACAAAAATCGATTATCCTATGAAGTTTAGACAATATGGCATGTCAGTCAACGTAAAGAGGTATGTGTAAACCATCATGTGATTCTAAAAATACGTTTAAAAAGAATACGGAACTTTAAGAAATAAAATTAAAATAAACTTTATGTACTACAATTGTTTACAGCACTCTCGACTCATATAATATTATACTCAATATATACAACAGAACTGAACATGATTGGTGGAAACATGACCTAGTCTTCTTCCCTCTTCATTTGGACGTATTAAACGATTAAGTACTGAAGTAATTCACTTCTTTTTAAATCTTTTTTTTTAGATGTGTGAACTGTTTCAGTTTATTCTGGTTTTTATTCAGTCAAAATCAGAGGCTTTACAGTCTCTTGGTGTATTAGAGAAGTTGCTGCTACAAGGTAGTGCGAATTCGTTATTTTACACAAATACTCATGAGAAAAACTTGCTAAAATCTATACTACTATGTTTTAACGTATTTTGAGAAGCATACCGGTTAATTTTAAACTGGTTGGTAATTCATCATGAATTCAAAGTTTTTCTACATGTAGCAAACCCGAGAAAAACAAGAAAAAAACCGCCGGTATTTATATAAATTTATAAACTGACGTCATAGGGCTCATTTTTCAACCAATAAAATCAACCCAAAAACTAATTACTTGTGCAAAGTCCTTTTTTATAAGTATGGCTTTCCCTGATTATTATCTTCATATCTTTATCTATACAGCATATTAGCCCTACTACAGAGATTTAAAAACTTATATACCTTCAAAATCAGTGTATTTGGATCTGCCCAAATGGGTTTAATACAAATGCGTTCTTTTTAAGATGTCCTCCTGTAGCTTAACCTCTTTGCACATTACACAAGGTACCAGGTATACTACATTTGAGAGGGATCAATATAACGCAGTAGATACAACACCTATCCAACCATTATCTCATAGCCATCAAATTAATATCGTAGAAAGTGCGTCCTTCATCAATCATATCATGTATATTCTCATAAAAAGCTACTTCCGCGACTTGATATACTAAATTAATATTCATATGATACTTCTATAAGATAATTACAGAAGGTGTCAGCTGGTATCCAAACAATTAAATGAACTGATTCCTAGGTGCTGGATAGTGTTAAAGGAATGCATTGGTTTTTTTTTAAAAAAACACAAGTGTTTTCACTGATTATGAAGGGAAGAGTGTTAAGGAGCTTTAGGACGCCATAAAAAACTACGATAGCACTGTAAAAAAATAAAATGAGAATAGTAACAGTTTTTTTTACAAAAAGTCTTGACGATTTTTAAAAAATGGATGAGGTCCCAAGTCCTGGTTATGCTGAAATATTGAATCTCAGGGCTTAAATTAAACGTTGAGGACGTTTAACCACTTGGCACCTCATCCAGTTTTCCAAATTTTGGATTAGAATGCCTGCGAATTACAAGAGTTTTCTTCTTAAAGCCCCAGCAGTGTGCTCTTAAATAAAAGTTTTCTTTATTGCCAGTTGAAAGCTGTCCTTGCCAAAAAAATTAAAAAAAAAAATCTCCAAAACATCAGGGCTAATTTTTTTTTCGGCTTTGACTCTTTAAAGAAATTTTCATGTCAAACTGGAGTCAATTACCAGCGGAACTTTTGATCGAGATCATCGAGCTTTGTTACCTTGACAGACTTGAACTTCAAAGTGGGGTTTCTCAGCAGCTCCTTGTGTGTAAGAACTGGTATCGCATTGCTCAAACGTTGTTATACAGGGACGTGACCCTTCTGTCTATCAAACAACACGACACATTCTTAACCTGCATGAGCCGTTACAGCACAGGCATGAATCAGTTAGTACATTTGTTTGTAGCGCCTTCCGAGATCACGAGTGTGAAATTAGAAGAGGATTTAGGTCTCATTTTAAACATATTGCCCAACCTACAACATTTCCATGCCAAACCACAAAAGGGATCATTCTTTGCCAGACTCTTGCTTGAACTTTATTCTTCTTCTAACAGACCAACGCAATTGCTTGAGATACCCGAATTTTCTGTAGAATCGGAACAGGATGCAAGAACATACCAATATGCTGTTTGGGCCCTTAAGAAAACGCTCAAAAGCATGATTTTACCCGATTGGTGTATACAACCCTACCGCATAACCACTCCATTAGAAGACTTTAAAAATTTATCACACCTCAAACTCCGCGTCTCTGGCCTCTCCCAAATGTCTGAAATAGCCACAATTGTCTCAAGATGTCCAAACTTAACCAGCTTGAACATTGCACGTAATACCGGGTATAACCCGTTTGGAGAGGATCAAATGAAGGTGATAGATACAACCCATGTACAGCCAGTCTCCCATCTTGTTAAATTGGTGATCGACACAAGTGTGGCTACTGCCAGCCCTTATATCATGCGTCTTCTGATGAAGCTATTTCCGCAACTTGAATCATGGTTGATGTATACAGACCGGAAGACAACCCCAAATCATCAATATCATGATCTAAGTCGGATGATCCCTACAGAGGTATGGGTTCAATTCTTGACCTATATGGACAATATCAACCTGTTTTATGGTACAGGCTTAGTTATTTCTTCCTTTGATCAAGTTTTGAGAGAGATATCAAGTAGCACCGGGTTCTGTAAAGAAATTAAGGTAAATTACAACAAAGCTAATCCCCAAAGTGACAATGAAGGGTTTCCTATTTTAGATATACATCCCAAGATCGTCCGTGACATGGATTATTATTTATATGACATACATGAAACTTCTGTAAGCTATACTCCAAGAGAACGCCGTATCCATTTACCGCATGAGTCATTGATCGAGCAAATTGGCTTTCAATTGGAACATTTAACGATAGATCTGAATATGGTGTTCAGTCGTCCTGTCGCTCCTAATCACATGGCAGGTTATGGTAAAAAACGTTTTGGATATTTTATCAATCATATCTTTATGCACTGTCCAGTTCTAGAAGCATTAGTAATTACGGGGGCAGACTTGGTGTTTTGTGATGATGGTGACAAGGAGGGGCCACCGTCTTTAAAATTTCTTCACTTTCAATTTTGTAATATTATTCATCGGTGGAATTTTCTGTCCAAACTATCTCGTCGATTACCCTCCCGATTGGAATGGATGGCCATTGACGAGTGCGGTTTTCCTAAGAGAAGTGATGAATTGGCACCTCATGTGGAAATGCCATTCACTGTGTTTGGTTGTTTGTTCTTATCCAGAAAAAAATTGCCAGTTAAAAAGTACTCGAGGATGGTGATCAAGATTACAAAGGTATCACAAAAACCACTCTACTATTGCCTGTATGATCAACACAAGTTGGAAAGTCTATCAGGTCAGGAAGAGTTTGAAGTTTGTTTAAAGGACAAGGAAACCTATGCAATGCAGATTACTTGCTCTGATATCGAAAAGTTGTTGATTCGAGCATTTGGTTTTCGGATTCTCATCTTCCCTAAAGAAAAGGTTGAATATATGGACGGTCAGAACTACATAAATTCTTCCCCTGTGTTTCAACATGTTCTAAAATAAGTTATTTTTTTTTTAAAAAATAAAAAAAAAGTAGAAAAAAGGGTCTTCAAGAAAAGCAGAACATATAATCTGTCTAGCTTGGTTTCATTATAATCAATAAATGTGGTTGCATGATTTGCGACGAGTTGTAGAAAATGTAGTTTTATTGTTTTGTGGTATTAATTATCTTCCATGTAGATAGGGTGTTCTCAAGCAAAAAAAAAAAAAAAAATTGGTCCATTAAGGCAATTAGAACCTTACATTTTCATACTCCTCAGCCAAAAAAACGATGGAAATTCTTCCAAATCGCCATCGTCTTTCTCATTCCAAATGAAATCAGTGGTCCAGCAGTTGATCGGGGTCTTCCTATTTTTGCTGGCGCCACTGAGTATTCTTGGCAAGTCATCGTCATCGTCCACCTGGTATGTTTCGTACACAGTCTTGAGTTCAATGAGCAATGACTAGTGTTCGGAATAAAAATCGAAACTCTCGAGTAAGCTTCGATGATGTTCCAGTCGAAGATTGCTCGAATCCAAAAAAGGTGGCGTATGCTCGAGTACAAAAACTTGACTCGAGCTTTGTTCGGACTGGCGCAAGATCGGTACAAGCCCGGAAAATCCGAACACTAGCAATGACTATAACAGAAAAAATATTATTACACAAATCGAAAGATGTAATAATTAAATCTTACTTCAATGCATGATAGACCGTTGATAACTTTAGCTAAACCGTGCTTAAGTGACGTGTAATTTGTCGGAAACGAGAAAGAATCAAGATCTTGCAATACGTATAAACTCCTGTTGACCAATTGGAGGGAGTAGATATGGACATCGAAACCCATAATCTGTACGATAGGGAACACTACATTCTTAATGTCTTTTGCTGGTATAAAGGGAACCGAGGAGAGGAAATTGTTCACATGACACTTGGTACCAAGTACAGATTTGAGCTTGTCCATAAACAACTTCTTTGGTGAGGCTATTGTGCCATCAAAAATAGTAAATCCTCGAATACAACTTGGCGTCTGGCCACAATATCATTTATATTTACAACGAAACAACGAATTGCTGTTAACCACGTCTATCCAACAGAAAATCCTCGGACTGAAGACCCTGACTATAGACTATTAAAATAAAAAGGTTGTGCCTTCTTTGCAACTTCAGCGGTTGTGCCATCAACAACATCTTCATCCTTAGACATTACGACGATACGTAAATCAGCCTTAAAACGTAAGTTGTTTCTTTTGCATGGCTTTGATACAGTGTCACCCCTACAGAAAATTTTAATACTTTAGTCTGACAAAAAAATAGTAGTATATACATATATACACATACCAATGCAGCATGTAGTCGTCATTATAAAAAAAGGCTTCAAAAATCACGCCCCAGAACTTAATCTGATAATCAAACTCTGAATATTCCTTCCTTGATGCCTTGCTAAAAAGATGGGGCTTATCAATATGCATACAGAGACTATATAGAAGAGTCAGTTTGTTATCCATTGTTTACAAACAAACAAACAAACAAAAAAAATTGTAATACATACATGTGATCGTAAATTTTTTTTACGTAGCGAGTGCGGGTGTTTACCGGCTTAATGGAGTCCAGCCTTGACCGTGCCTTGATTAGTGTTTGAGAATCCACTTTCTTTATACATATGTACATAAAAAGGTCAGCTAGAAATCCACATATATATTTGGCCCTATTATAAACTCACTTTTTTTAAGGTGTCAGTGATTTCCGTGATATTGTATTCACCATGTTCAGAGGGTATGTTTTTCAATTAAAACCGGACAGTCCAGGCCGCTGTTAAGAGCCAGTCTATCTGCACCCCCTGCCTCGGGTATCCAATAATATCAAATGGTGGACCCTTTTCCCTGCTTAAATACATTTTTTTCTTTTGAATTTTGTGATCGCAAGAATTACAATGTATCTTTTTAAAAAAAAGGAACTAATAGTTTAGTGTTTTTTTGAGAACAATAAAAGTTATTTTAAACTGACCTTTTAACTTTCACTCATTCAAAAAAAAAAGAAAAAAAAAGAGAAGTATGTTAAAGGAAAAGTAAAAGGGAAAAATAGTGTGTGAACGAGATTATTTTGTAAGCTGATAAACTAGAGCTTATGTCAGAATGATTTCAATTATCTAAAACGTTTGGGCCTTTACTTAAAATAGAAACATTTGCAGCCCGCCCCCTTAAGCAAATCGGAACTTGGTAGTTGTCAGTAGTAGCTTGTAATGATAGTGAATCATATTTTATGGCATGTCAATCGACGTAAGGACCTATGTGTAAACCATCACGTAATTCTAAAAAATACGTTTGAAAAACTACGGAACCTTAAAGAAAACTTTTTATACTACCATTGTTCATAGCACTCTTGACTCATATGATATTGTACTCAATATACACAACAGATTCTGAACATGCTTGGTGGAAGTATGACCTAGTCTTCTTCCCTCTTCATTTGGACGTATTAAACGATTAAGTACTGAAGTAATTCACTTCTTTTCAAATCTTTTTTTTTAGATGTGTGAACTGTTTCAGTTTATTCTGGTTTTTATTCAGTCAAAATCAGAGGCTTTACAGTCTCTTAATGTATTGGAGAAGCTGCTGCTGCAAGGTAGTGCGAATTCAATATTTTATACAAATATTCATAAGAAAAACTTGCTAAAATCTATACTACTATGTTTTAACGTATTTTGAGAAGCATACCGGTTAATTTTAAACTGGTTGGTAATTCATCATGAATTCAAAGTTTTTCTACATGTAGCAAACCCGAGAAAAACAAGAAAAAAACCGCCGGTATTTATATAAATTTATAAACTGACGTCATGGGGCTCATTTTTCAACCAATAAAATCGACCCAAAAATTAATTACTCATGCAAAGCCCTTTTTTATATGTATGGCTTTCCCTGATTAGTATTCTCATATCTCTATCTATACAGCATATTAGCCCTATTAGAGAGATTTAAAAACTTATATATCTTCAAAATCGGTGTGTTTGGGTCTGCTCAAATAGGTATGATACAAGCGCGATCTTTTTAAGATGTCCAAGCTTATCCTCTTTACAAGCTACACACGGTATCATGTATAATACACATGAGATGAATATGTATAGTTAGCGCAGTAGATACAGCACTCATCCAACAATTATTCCGTGTACTTTAACTTATTATCGAGGAAAATGTGACCATCACCAATCATATCATGTATATACTCAAGAAGCTACTTCCGCGACTTGATATACCAGACTTGTATTTACATGATATCATCACAATACAAGTACCAGTGCTAGTGAGTGCCTTCGATTTTTGCTGTATACTGAAAATATTGAGAATTTAAACTTTCATGCTTGACTATTCCCCCCTTTACCTCGCGTCTTTGCATGAATGTAATCTAATTTGTCTTTCAATTCCGGGTTTTGTCACTGTTTCTGGTATTAAAATTGCTTCCAATGGTATTCTCTCATTAAATTGTAGCTTCTTTTTTTTTTAATTAATGGAATGTAACTACAAAAGATGATAGTGGACTGATTACTCGGTGTTGGATATTGTATAGAGAACTTGATTTTTTTTAAATAAAAAAATGTGTGATTCACTGATTATGGGGGAAATAATTGCGAAACAGGTTTGGGAAGACTTAAAAAAACAGGCAATACTCCAAAGGAATCGCAACAGTTTTTTTTTTAAAAAAAATGGATGAGGCCCCAAGTCCCAAGTATGCTCATTTATTGAATCTTGAGCTCAAAGGATGTTTGACTAAGTGGCAAGTCATTCAGCAGTAGCACCCTTAAAAAAATAGTTTTTTTCGTCTTTCTTACTGCCAGTTAAAAGCGGTTGTTGCCAGAAAATTAAAATATATAAAAAAAAAAAACTTTAAAACGTCAGGGCAATGGCCAATTTTTTTTTCCCTGTTGTCCCGTACTTTCTTTGAAAACTGTCATGTCAAACTGGAGTCAATTACCAACGGAACTTTTGATCAAGATTTTCGAGCTTCTCGAATCTAGTTTTTTTGAAGCACATGAAAGTCAACGGGAAATTTCTCAGCAGATGCTTGTTTGCAAGAACTGGTGTCGCATTGCTAAAATGTTGTTATATAAGGACGTGACCATGCTGTCTATCAAGCAACACGACGCTTTCTTAACATGCATGAGCCATTACAGCACCGGCATGAATCAATTAGTGCTTTCGTTTAAAGCCTGCTCCGAAATCACGAATTCCAAGTTAGAAAAGGATCTAGGTCTGATTTTGAGCGCACTGCCCAACCTACAGCAGCTCGATGCCAAGCCCCAAAAGGGAAGTTTCTTTACCAGACTCTTGCTTGAGCTTTACTCTTCCACCGACAGACCAACTCAATTGGTAACGATACCTACATTTACTACAGAATCAGAACAGTATGCAACATCATACCAATATGCTGCTTGGGCCCTCAAAAAAACGCTCAAATACATGGTTTTACCCGATTGGTGTATCAAACCATACAGCATATCCACTCCATTAGAGGAGTTCAAGAATTTAACAGACCTCGAACTCCGCATCTCCAGTCTTTCCCAAATGAATGAAATAGGCACAATCGCTTCGAGATGTACAAACTTAATCAGTTTGAACCTTGCATGTAAAACCAGGACAAACCAAATTACGGAGGATCAGAGTAAGGCGATAGATACAACCTGTGTGCAACCAGTGCTCCATATTCTTATACTTAGGATCAATGCAAGTGTGGTTACGGCCAGCCCTGAAAGTATGCGTATCCTCATGAGGCTATTTCCGCAAGTCAAAAAATGGGAAATGTATGAAAGTTCGCATAGAGCCATCAAAGATCAAAGTATGGAGATACCCACCGAGCTTTGGGTACAGTTCTTGGTCTTTTTAAACAAGATCACGTTAGTTTATTGTCCGTGTTTATATATTTCTAGCTTAGATCAGGTCTTGAAGGAATTATCAAACAACACTGGGTTATGTAAAGAGATCAAGGTAAAATACAACCACGGTCACACCCATAATAGCCGTGGGGATATTTTACGCATACTTCCTTTCCACGGCATCGGCGCTCATGACGATGACAGACATGATACCATTGTATCATATGTACCGAGTGAATCTGACGCTCTACCACATGAATCCTTGATCGAAAAAATTGGCTTTCAGTTGGAACATTTAACTATGAATCTGAATAAGGTATTCAAACGTGGTGCCATTAGTAATGCAAGGGAAAGTAATGTTTTAGGGCCTTTTGGATACTTTATCAATCATATATTCAAGCACTGTCCAGTCCTAAAATCATTAGTGATTACCGAAGCAGATTTATTACATTGTAATCATATTGATCTGAAGGCGCCACCGTCCTTCAAGCTTCTTCACCTTCGTAATTGTAAATTTTTTCATGGCGTGGATTTTCTGTCCGACTTATCTCATCGATTACCCTCCCGAATGGAATTCATGGTCATTGATCAGTGTATTTTTGTTTTGAGAAAGAATGAATTGATGCCTCATATAGAAATGCCATTCACTGTGTTTGGTTGTCTGTTTTATTCCAAAAAAAAACTGCCAGAACATAAGTACTCGAGTATGGTGATAAAGATCACAAAGGTATCACAAAAACCTCTTTACTATCGCTTGTATGATAAACAGAAGTTGGAAACACTTTCAACAAAGGAAGAATTTGAGCTTTGTGCAGAGTATGAGCAGACAACTGGCTTAGAGATTACATGCTCTGATATCGAAAAGTTGTTGATTCGAGCATATGGTTTTCGGATACTCATTTTTCCTAAAGAACAGGTTGAATACATGGATGGTCAGAACTATATAAATTCTTCCTTTGAGTTTCGACATGTTGAAACATAAGATCCCTCACTCCCTTTTCTTTTTTTTTTAAAAAAAAAAAATGTCTAGCAAAACGCCATCAAAAAGGATAACAAATTTTATGATCAGTCCAAGGTTTCATTGTTATAAATAAATGCAGTGTAAAATAACGTAAACTTTTAGTTGTAAAAACCCACTTTTCATGATGTGTAACGAGTTGCAAAAAAAACGGAATATCTTTTATCTTATTATTCATTAAATTAAATTTTAACTAGACGAGTTTTTAGAAGGAGAGTATGACAAAACCTTTTTTTTAAAGGCTCCGCGTACTTAAAATTTAAGAACTGGGGATTTAGCTGAACGTATCACTACGCGCACTAAAGTAAATACTGGTGACAAGATGGTTAGCCTCCACCTCGGGTCAGATTAATATTAATTTGGTGTTCTAAATTCGCTATCAATTTACTTAACTGTCGGGTCATTGGGAAAGGAGGACTATTTCATTTGCTTTATTGGGTGATGATGTGCTTTATACAGATAATAACTGTGAACATAGAGCCAAAACGATAATTCTTGGTTTTTAATTATTTAATTCTATCTGGCTTCTTTCTGTATTAATTTATAACGCAGTTAGAAACTGCCCAAATCCAAAATAAAACAAAACTATTAACTAGCATATGTTTAGTACAAAAATAAGCGTCGCACTTTGCATACATTCTATACCTGAAGGGCTGGGATTATGTAAGAGCAAAATAATTGGACGGGACTCTCGGCAGTGACTACTTTTCTGGGAAACTATCCATCCAAAAGCCCAAAAAATTTTAATAAGAAAGTCCCCTTCTTTTTCGGTTCATATACTTTATATTTCGACACCATGGCACAACCAAAATTAGAAGGTTATGAGTTTTACAACAAGACTTTAAAGTCCCCCAAGATGATCTTGGCTCCCATGGTTGATCAATCCGAACTTGCTTGGAGAATCCTTAGCAGAAGATACGGTGCCGATGTCTGTGTCACTCCCATGTTCCATGCCAAACTCTTTAGCGAAGGCAAAAAGTACAGAGACGAGCAATTCAGCACCAATGCAGAAGACAGACCACTTATTGTCCAGGTAATTTTTTTTTTTTACAGTTAGTTTGTTGGCTAGAGCCCGCCCATAATTAATTTTTTTATATACTGTAGTTCTGTGCCAACGATCCCGATATTCTTTTAAAGGCAGCAAAGATGGTTGAAAACGATTGTGATGCTGTCGATATCAATTTAGGCTGTCCTCAACATATCGCCAAGAGAGGACATTATGGATCTTTCTTACAAGATGAATGGGAATTGATTGCAAAAATGGTGACCATCTTGCACAAGGAATTAGCGGTTCCTGTCACCGTCAAAATCCGTTGTTTCCCTACCGTTGAAAAGACGATTGAATACGCAAAGATGATTGAGGCTGCTGGTGCACAAATGTTGACAGTGCATGGTAGATTGAGAGAGCAAAAGGGTCACAACACCGGTATTGCCGATTGGGATAAAATTAAGGCCGTGAAAGAAGCTGTCAAGATTCCTGTCGTTGCCAACGGTAATATTTTATACCACGAGGATATTCAGAGATGTTTGGATTACACGGGTTGCGATGCAGTCATGACCGCTGAAGCCAGTCTTTACAATCCTACGATTTTCTCATCAGAGGTGAAATTCCCTCCTTATACTTTTGACGTCGCAAAGGAATATTTGGAAATCTGCAAGGACGTAAAGACAAATGGTAGCTCGATTAAGGGCCATTTATTTAAAATGTTACAACCTACTTTACCTCATCATAAGGAATTAAGAGCTCGTCTCGGAAAGGCTCGTAAATTGGAAGAGTATTTCGAAATTGTGGAAGAATTAAAGGCATTAGTGATGAAAGTCATTGAAGAAAAAGGCGAAGAAGAGGAACAAGGACAAATGGATGCCAATGGTATCCGTAAATATGCTTATTGGAGATGTCAACCCTACTTTAGACCCGAGCTCCCCAACAACGGAAATCATGAACAAAAAGACACAAAGAAGCGTAATGCTGATACGGCCGATGATAAGGATAATATTAAGAAATTAAAGGAAGAGACACCTGCTGAGATGAAGGCTGAGCCAGTTGTTGAGCAAATGGATGTCAAGCCAGTCATCGAGCAAAAGGAAACTGCACCGGTTGCTGAGCAAAAGGAGACTGCACCGGTTGCTGAGCAAAAGGAGACTGCACCGGTTGCTGAGCAAAAAGAAACTGCACCAGTTGCTGAGCAAAAGTAGAGAAATGTAAATACCACAATAAAATAGAGTCTTTTTTTTTTTTTCTTTTTTTTTTGTTAGCAATATATTTATTATTTTTAAAAATGTACAAATTAAAATGATTTAATGTCTCCAAATCTTGAGTTGTTTATCTTTACCACCACTGGCAACCTTGTCTCCTCCAGGGGACCAATCGACAGCAAACACTTCATCTAAATGACCAGGTAAATCCATCTTGATCTTCATCTTTCTGATATCCCAAATCTTTAAAGTACTATCTTTACTAGAACTGATCAATAAACGAGAATCACTGGACCAACTGACTTGATAGACTGCACCAACATGACCTCTCAAATTACCGATGAATTTACCAGTCATACCATCCCATAATTTAACAGAGTTATCGAATGAAGCACTAGCCACTAATCTACCATCAGGAGAGAAGGCAACATGGTTGACTAATTTTTGATGACCAGTCATACGTGTGATGGGTTTTTTGCTCTTCTCAGGTTCCCAGTAGAACATTGTGAAATCATCAGAACCGGAAACAAGTCTTTCGGCACCAGCACCCTTAAATGTCTTATATCTTGCGAGAGCAGCAGCTTGGGCTTCTTCTTCTGTCTTATGACGCTTACCGGTATGATCGAAAGGACCCGTTCTAAGCACAAAATCGGTACTGAGAGCTAATGTGTTGACCCAATGACCATGGCCTGCAAGAGTTTTGACAAGCATACCAGATGAGTTCCATACTTTAATAGTTTTATCTTGAGAAGCGGTATAAATCAAACCTTCGCCACTCCATTTAATGCAAGTAACGGCGGCTGTGTGTTGAGCAATGGAAAAGACCATTCTTCTTAAAGAGGTATCCCATACACGCACTGTATGATCCTTGGAAGAACTGGCAAGACGGTTTGCCTTGGAATTTAAATGATAAGGTTCCCAAGCTAAACTTGTGATCCACTTACGATGACCCTTTAATCCATCGCCAATTTGCTTACCACTCTTGGGATCCCATAAACGAACTGTGTTATCCATACTACCAGAGGCTAAAGTTGTACCATCTGGAGACCATGCAATGTTTAAGACCCATCCAGCATGTCCCTTCAATGTATGGCGAGGTGTTTCCGTATTCAAATCCCAAATACGAACAGTACAATCACCAGAACCGGTCGCTAATTGAGAGCCATCGGGACTGAATGAACATGATAAAATCGCTTCGGTGTGGCCTGCTAAAGTAGATGTACAACGTGAAACAGCTCTCACTCTGAAAATTGCTTGTGGTTGATATACAATCGTTAAGGTATCTTCGGTCGATTTTTCTTTACGATCTACCCAAAGATCCTTTATAATCTCATCATCGTTGACATGGAAGGAGTAAGGAAGAGGATCTTCACCCTGAGCAAAAACAAAACAAAAAGACAATGAGCATTCAAGACTGAAATCTCGGGGCGTAACTTTGTTCTTACCTGATTCAAAAGTTGATTCAATAACAACTCGAGTTGCTCAGGTGTAGCATCGGCGGGTAAATTAAGAGGAGGTCCAGTTGTCTCGCCGTCGGCAGTCTTGAATTGAGCAACCACCTTTTGTCCAATGGGCATGGCTGCTGCTGCAATAGCATCGAGCTTCTTTTGCCTAATCTTTGCTGCCATTATTTATAAAGATTTATGCCGGTAAAACAAAAAGAAATAAAAAGTTTTACTTGCACCAGTGGCTTCATTTTCTTGCATTTTTTTTTTTTTTCCTTGATGAAAAGATCAGTGACGGTTAATGTGACCATCCCGAAATTTGACAGCAACTTGGTGCACGACATGTTTTCTTACAGCATGAAAGTTACATATTTTAAGCATTTAGCTAAAAAATTTAATTTAAGTGTCAGTACAGCCAAAGAGTTCGCCTCCGTACACCAAATATAATGACTGTATATTCAAGCACATCTACTTTTTCTAATTTTAAAGCCGATATTCCTTACACCGGTCTTTAAACATCAAAATTACAGAAGATCACATGGAATACGAATTCCCTTACTTGAAAAAGATTCCAAGTACCTTTTTTTTCCAGGTACACAATATAAACAGGATCGGCTTTAATTCAAATCAACTATCATACAATGGAATACAATGGAATACAGAAATAATATTTTCAATCACTAAAAGATAATACACAGATAAAAAAAAAGCATGAAAGAAACATCATATCTACAATGCTGTTTACCGATTCTTCTAGCACGTACTATTTTTGAAGTAATGTTAGTAATATTGCATTCATAAACAAAAGAGAGAGCATACGTTTCCCAACAAAGTGGGATAAAATCGGGTATGAAATCACCCTTGTTTGCAAAAGCCAACGACCATGTTCCAAGTACAAATGCAAAAACAAAACAAAAAAATAAGAAAATCAAAAAGAAAGCTTGAATTGGACATGTATAATCGATCAATTAATTCAACGTCAACATCATTCAACCTTTGCAAAAAATAGTGATCAAGGAAAAATTGGCGGGGTTTGTTGGGAGTCTAAGCCCTAAACCTAGGATTAAACCTAAATCCGTAATGCGCAATCTTACAATGAGAGGTCCGAACGAGTTTTGAAGCGAAGAGTCGGCCACATATATTACAACTATGATCCCCAGGTTTTCTTTTTATAGGCTTTTTACCCATTTTATGAATTCTCTTCATATGTGTACGATAAATGGGAATAGACTTGTAAGTTTTACGACATATATTGCAGTAGAGAGTACGTTCATCTATGATTGGGGGGAGATCTCGGTTGGGTGTGTATTGTGCAGGAACTTGGCTAGTAACGAGGTGGGTGGTCTTTAAGTGGCGTGAGTATCCCTTTCTGCCAATAAATGTTATCTGACAGGAATGGCAAAATAAGTTTAGCTTGCGTGGGGACGCTAGTACTTTGTAGTCATTGACACCGTGGCAAGGTTCCATGTGCATGTTCAAATGCTCCAAATTAATAAAGCACAGCCTACATTGGTTACATTTTAAACTTTCAATGCTTTTCTCTAAAGTGAGTGTTTGAGGGGGATCAGAGTAGATTCGCACTTAATGTTGCTTTTTTAAGTTTACCTTCAACTGAACCGGACAGTAGATCTTTAGAATCTTGGTCTAACGGTTCTCTTTTTATAGTAACGCGTCGAGAACTTGTCACTTGGCGCAAAGTTATGAAGGCCTTGTCGTCTTGTTCTGTTTTAGTATCGATGTTATTTAAATCTGTAACGACAAAAGTTTGAGATTCTGTTCTAATTTGCTCTGGTTCTGGCCTTTTTTGATCGAGTCTTAATTCGTCGTGGTGTTGACTTTATTTTCATTGTTCTTGACAGAAAGAGAGAAAAAAAAGACGTTGGTGTAACCCAAATTCATTTAATAATCAGTAACCTCTAGGCTAAAGACTTCAAAGCCTCCATATACACGGTGTATAACTAACACCAAATCAAACATGCGTATTTGCTCATCTGAATGCTGTTGTAAGGTCAATGTGACGTATAAAAGAATGCATCATAATGAATTGATTTTCCATCCATTTAGTATACAAACGAAGTGATTATTTCATGACTCTCTAAGAGCAATACGATTTTTATGATTTTTGTGCGATTATTTATTCCGTCGCCGATATCATTTTATTCCAAACATACACTGATAATTTATATGAAACACAAAAACCCCTTAAACAACAAAACACTGAGATTAAAATATCAGCCAATAGAAAGTCAAGGATAATTCTGGCATGATTTTTCATTTTCATTAGGTATAAGTATAATTAAGAGTTTTTTTTTCATTTTCATTAAAGAATAGGTTGAGCCCAGGGAGCCACTCCCAGACCTGTTCCCCCCTATTACCGGCCCTCCAGGCTCGAGGTCTGGTACACTATGCTCACAAATTGAAACTGGCCTTGCCCCAACTTGATCACACTGCCTTCATATGAAAATGCCGACAACGCTTCGCAGACGCACGATTGGTAACGCTAGCACTCCTCCCTTCAGGCGTGCAATAGAGTGAAGAGAAAAAAAAGGGACGAAGTCGAAAAAAATGGGCCTTATTTATACCTTTTTTCACAGTGCAAATTTTAGTTGCGCAGCAATCATGCAAATCTGACCTGAGTTTCAACATTAACAGTCCCGGGCTGTGTTTCTGGATAGTTCCAGACAAAAAAAGTCACTGACAGTGACTTTGGCTCGTTTCGCCTATGCGTACCCACTAGCCCTACTAAATTGCTTTTACCAACACTTACTCTTTGTTCATGTCACTATACCTTAGACAGCGTATAGTTTGACATGATTTACCATCGTTTAACAAAAGACCGCAGACTTCTAAAAGTTTTGGAAATGTGTCGTTTATGACAATTGTATGATTAGATATCAAGTGGACGATTAGGAAGCAAACCCATTTCTACTCCATTTACAAATCATGAATAAGAATCTCTTAACGCAAAGAGTTTGCGATGAGGAAGAATGTTTCTCTTCTGGATCAAGAAGCTATGCCCGTTTTTTGTTTGGCAAATCTTTATAACATTTCCCCATTTACTATAAAGTAGATCCAGGAACCAAATATCTTTTTACACGCGGACAACGAAATACGCCTGTAATTGCTCCCAAAAGGCTTTAAAATTACCGGAGGGAAAAGATAGATACTTAAACACAAATACACAAAGGGCTTAACAAACTTAGACATCTAAACGTATCCATGGCTAAAAAGATGTAGTGGTGACAATTGTGACTGAGTGTGTGGATTCGAGCATATATTTAGACGAATTTGTAGTCTGCTTAATATCAATTATGATGAAGATCGAGTTGAAATTCAGGAAATATTTTCATCCAAATGATATACAAGAGGGAGATATACATTTCGCATTGAAAGGTAATGGAATATACATATATGTATGAATTATTCTCTTTTCGCAGCAATATCTTTCGAGTAATTGCTAAAGGTGGTAAAAAAAGAAGATCGATCCAACGAAAAAAGGCTGATGGTGGGATTCGACTAAACTCACAAGTCCTTTATGTTGTTGAGTAGATACAAAAAACTAGCTAAGCATAGCTTAGATCTGAAGTATTCAGATATGCCAAACATAGGTGTCATTCAATTGAGCAGTCTCAAGAATTGATTTAAGTAAAAAAAAGTCGTATCTGCCTGGTCTATGAAATATTTCAAGAAATAAACGGTTAAATTATTTGAGACTAAAACTAGATATATTTTTATTAAATGGAAAAGGGATTCCTTTTTATTTGAGAGGATTAAAATAAATTGTTATCCGGAAGGATCAGATTGGAGCGTGGATTAGAACTAGACATTGATGTATTGGTCAGTTGATGATCTACGTTTCAACGCTGGGTTGCTATTGAGTATCAAGTAAATTATAGGCTGGATATACAGTGTGTATATATCAATCCTCCTCCTCCGAAGAGTCCAACATGTCTTCGTCCTCCTCCTTTTCCTCCTCATTTTTAGGCCTGTAGATGGTGCCACCGATCCTAAAAAAAAAAAACGAAACGCATCGTTCATCTGGAAAAAGTCCACTCTGGTTGTGGGGTTTTTGTTTTCAACAAATGTTCTTCAAAGGCACAAAAGGAAACAAGAGTAGGGCGCAATCGATGAATTCTTTGGTGTAAGCAGTAAAAAAAGTGATCCTTTTCGACAGGTTCGACCCCAAAGGTATTTGGTGTAAGGTTTTTGTCTTTTAAAAATGAAGAAAGCCAAAACGTTGGGCTCATCACCACCACAAGTTAAAGACGTCGAGTCACTGGGGGCACCATCAGCCAAAGAAGAAGGTTGGGTCCACCACCACCACAATCCATTCGGTTTTCTGCCCTATCACGATTACGATTGCGAGATAGCGAACACCACTCATAGCCATGATATCGCAAAAATTAGAGTATCTAAAGCACAATTACTTTTTTTTAGGGGACAGACGGAGTGCGCGTAGTGGTAATGCAGGATCGAATACCTTAACTGACACCAGGAGGTCAATAATGACTTTTTTCCTTTAATCAAATCCTGTAAACATATGGCAATCATGTCTGCGAGCTTTTTGGCTTACGTTCAACGTCTTATTTGAAATCTACTCTGATTTTTTTACTTAATGTAATGATCAAGCGAGCGCAAGAGTGAAAGAGAAACAATTCTATTGTCACAGAAGAAGTCTAAAATGTTCCATATCCATTCATTCGTAACTATTAAATTGCTTTTGATTGTATATTCTTGTTTCTGATTCTTAAGAAACAGCCAATGTATTTGACTTTACGTTGTGACTACTAGCCAATACGTTTAGCCAAAAAAATTTATCGAGTTGGTCAATAATTTGTACATGGACAATTTTAGAAGGATGACCAATTGGGACACAAACCCCCCAGGTATTACAAATCGCTAAACTTGGAATATGCAACACACATTTCTTAATAATAATAATAAAAAAAAGCCGGACAGAACAGTTTAGTAATTTGGTGATCAGAATCATGACAACCTCTGTTTGTCGTACATGGTTTGTTCTTTACACGTTGAACGAGTCATTTTTAAGAACGTAATACATCATGACTTATAAAAAGCCACAATCGGTCTTTGAGAAAATGACCCAATTTATCACGGGTGGTCTTTGAGAAGATGAACTAAATTATCACAGGCAATGACTTTCTAGAAAGAACATGGGCCAAGTAATATGAAAACCTTGTACCCATTTCACACACATACAAATAACGATTTTATGAATGTTATTTTTAAAAAGAAAAAGAGAGTTTTGTTTGTTTAGAAAAAATACATTTCTGCCCCGTAATCTTTATTTTTTTTATTTTGTGGAGAAACTTTAATTGTTGTTTGCATGTATATATTTTCCCACATGATTTCATTACTTTCTTGATTTTTTTTTTTTTTTTTTTTTTTTTTTTTTTTTTTGGGTTCGAGATCTTTTTGTTGAGGATCTGATAAGTAGGACTTGCAAAATAACGGGAAATATGGAGTTCAAATTTCACCATATTCCGATCTGATTAGGGGATTCAAAAAAAAAAAAATAGGTCTAAGTTTATTTCAATAAGAGGCAGGGGTAATTGTGAATTAGTGTGAGTAATAAGTATTTGTTTGTTTGAAAAAGGGGGGGGGGGGAGAAAATAAAATAAAAAGTGAATGCACTTGAAAAAATAATAATAATGAAAATGATGGAATATGCGTTATGAGATGAGTTTAGAGGCTGGAACTCGTATTGCTATTGTAAAGAGATAATCGACGGGATAAACTGAGTTTCTTTTGACGCCATTCTTCTTCAGAATCTTGTATACGGCGTACAACGTCTTCTTCTCCTAATAAGCTACCATTACCCACAACAAAAGATTTAGCAAAGGTGTATTTCCAAAGCACCTGGGCATCCACTCCAGCACCCTCCAGCATATGTTGCAGACGAGACAGTCGTGTATGGCATTCATGTGTATGGGATTGAACATAGCGAACAAGACCCTCTGACAACACTTGCTTTTCTTGTACTTCTTGCTGGTGAATGATGTGATTCAAGACAGGTTCAGACAATGGGTCATACTTGAAGCATCCTTCTTTTGCCAGTAAGCCATTCAATGTACTAAAACTCTCTTCATAGATTTGACCTTGTGGACTATTTGATTTCACCATGCCAAGTAGTACCCAATCCAATGTGACACGAATCCATTTAATTTCCATTACAGGCGCAGAGGGCATCGGCGTAGAAGAAGCAATGGATCTATAACTATAATAGGATGTTGGCAAGCCGATCATTTGTTGTTGATTAGTATAATCAATATCCTCGGCGAATGCCGATTGTCTGTATGACAAATTCAAAATCAGGCCTTTATCACCCAGGAAACGATCGGCCGTCTGGTGATGGTTTGCATGCCACGAAGGTAATTCATAGGTCTTTTCGATGGAAGAATTATACTGATGGTGATATAAGAACATGGCTTGATCTTGGGGACTCAATTTTTCAACAGCAGATGGAATTTGGAGACTGCTGTTGTTATTTGAAAACCACCCAGAGAAATGTATTTTCAATAATCGGTAATAAGCACTCCATTCACTTGCTGAACTTCCCAGAGACAAGAGCGAGTTGGATTTAGGCCTGAATTCGATCACACGATTCTTGGCATCGTATTGGTAAGCCTCCAATTCCATAGTGCAGTTACTCTTTTTTTTACCGTCCAGTTTAATGGAGATGGACTGTCCCAATGTTTTGATTTGTTGATAAATGTGATACTCGCCCATCACTTGAAACTTCCGACAGACACCACGAATACGGTAAACTTCAGGATAAGATAAGAAGGAAAACACATTATAGATAACCTCTGGTGCCATATCATTCATAGCCGTGGTAATATTATTGCTAGTCATGTTATTAAAAAAAAAATATAGATGCAGGACAAAAGGTGGGAAAATTAAAATTTTAAGAGGCTATCATATAAATGGAATATTGGTTTTTGTGTAACAAAAAAAAACGGAGTTTCGGCTCCCAAATACTATACAGCTGGAAACGCTGCTCTTTTTTTAGGGCGTCCCCCCATAAAAACTATCGCTAAAGTATAAACGTACTATTCCTATAATACCGCTCTTCTACGACTCCGCTTTTATCTCTTGGAAGTTAGAGCTTGTCACCAGTACTGATTTTTTTATTTGAATCAGAGATGGCCTAATGTTGCGATGGGAAGCTAAGTATTGACAGCAGTAGAAACACGAAGAGAATACGCAAAGCACTACGCACAAAATACGAAAAAAAAAAAAAAAGTGGCTCAAAAAAGAAAGAAAATTTATAAATAGCATTTGTTGCTTGACCGATTCGCCAAATAATAGCAGGCCAAGTTTTAGCACAAAGCACATGAGTGAGTATGCTGTACTTCCAATAAAATCAGTTTGTATGATGTGATATCAATACCAATGAGAGATGATAGATAGCCACTTTAAACTGATGGATTTACGAGAAAGGCAACATTATTTATACATGGAAATAACTGAATCGGATAATTGTTTAACTGGTAACTGGATTCACAATCTGTCAGCAATTGACTGGTTAATATTATAAAAAGTCCTTTGAGCCGATGCATACTAATCAAGACATGATCTGTATCATTAACTGATGCGATTCGTGACTCGTCGTTTACAATGATGGGTAAATATTCCTTTATTTAACTGCCACTAAGTGTGCCATATCAGTCAATATTTAGAATCGTTTACATTTATGCATATTTTTGCTTCCATGCACCTTTTTTATTACCCGGCTTCTTATGTTCAACTAAGTGATTTCTATGTGTATATGTCTATATTCCGTTTCGAAATTGATCTTTAATATAATCTACCTTGATGCCATTAATAGAGGGTGCGAGAAGGCTATAACACTGATATATCAGTACTACCCTCCCCCATAATTGTAAATAATGTCTCACATATTTAAAAACACAGCAATCCGCTAGCCATTTATAATAAAACACTGTATACATGGATTAAAAACAGATAAACAATTGAACGCATTTTTTTTTTACGTCAACCTTTGTTTACCGTACACTATGAGTACCCTTTTTACTCTCCTTTTATTTATCATCGACCGTTTTGATGCAAATGTGCATAAATATGGTACCTTCTGCAATGTTGATACCAATGATTACATCAAACTAGATCTAAATGATAAACAATTAATAGACCCGCAAAAAGGAATAAGAGCAAGAGGTGGGTGTACACGTCGAAAGAAGCGGTGAACTGATTGGGCAGCTTTAATGAAAAAGGTTTCAGCTGAAATTCTTGATTAGATACCAACAGGTACGCATTGTTTTAAAGTGAACGATCTACTAAAGAAGGAAGAAAAAGCAAAAGAAGTATGACATTGCTTATGGAAAATATAAGATATTAAAACGGACAAGCCATTCGTCTGATGTTTAAAGGCTGTACATAAAGCTACCTACTTGGATCACCACATTTCTAATAAGGTTGCATTATCAAAGCCAGTATGCATCACAACAATATAGTGTGTTTCATGCACCATTTTATGTTGTCAACTGTATGAAGCCTCCAGATATATACCTATAAGTAAACCAGATTTTCTTTATAGCATGCTTTTTTCCAGAGACCACGTCGAGTTTTATGAGGCATGTACAATAAAGAACACAGAGCAAAAAAATAAATAAATAAAAAAAAACAGGTTTATTACGTAAGCAAACGTTATTTATTTGTCGCAGTCCCCATTAGGAGGACCTGTCAACCAACGCTCAAAAACCTTTGTACAATCAAACTGCTTCTTTCCCAACTTTTCGTTGACCTTGTTATGTCTTTTACATAACCACTCACTCAAAGCTTCTCTGCTAGCAACATTAATGGGGTTCTCTGCCATATCCTTTTGAAAGTCATTCTGGGAGATAGAAAGGCAAGGTTTGGATTAGTCATGCAATTTCGCGTAGCTACTTTTTGTTACCTTGCAGAACCAACATGGATAATTCTCGGAAAAGGATTGGAAAAAAGACTTCATGCTTTCTTTTTGCTTTGGTTCAGGCTTTTCTGGATAGTATGCCGCCATTGTATGTAATAGTGTCCAAGTGTGTCTTCCCAAGGTTTTCACGTCAGCGGGACAATTATTGCGTTTCCACTCCTCATCCATCACGGGTGGTTCCTCTATTTTGTTGTTTACCTTGGGTGCTTTATCTACCTTGGGTGTCTTGCTGTCTGCTTTACTCGAAGGCTCCTTTCCGATTTTCGTCCATGTTTTAAAATCGACACACACTCTACAAGGCTTGCCATCCTTCATGGGAATTTTGTTGCCGGTTTCGGGATCCACATGTACTTTTTCCTCTGTCATGGCAATTTAATGTCTAAAAATAAATATAATATATGAAAAAAAAAAAAAAAAGAAAACCCCCAGCCCTAAAATATGTTTCTCATTTGTACATTTCACTCATACCGCAACTCCGACGCTTGTTTTAAATTATTAAAAAGAGACTTCCTTTTGTTTCCCTTCTTTGCCCATATTCTTCTTTTCCTAACATGGCTGATGAGAAGAAGAAAAAGACTCCTTGTGAAGGTAGAAAAATAAAAGTGGAAATAGGCTGACTTGGCTAATACAAGTTTTGAGAGTTTAGAATGTCGAGACCAGAAACGAAAGTGTAATGGAGAAATCCCTTGTGAAAGGTAAAAACATTGACTCTTCCCAACCCCCCGCGAAAAAAAAACCAGAAAGCATACTGACAAACCTTGACTTTTAGGTGTATGAAATTCAACTTGAGTTGCGTTTACACTTCCACTCGATCGCCCTTTGACGAAGAATACCTGGATATTGCCAGACAAGCAGCACTGGTAGAACAAATTCAGACCATGCGTAATCAGATGGAAGATATGGAAAAATGGATGTCGCAATCTGAGAGGAGTCACAGCATGGATTCGGCCTATTCACCTAACCACAGTTTACCTTCATTAATGGAAGATGATCATATGGGCAGCATATCCAGTCTTGATGAAATTCACTCTGTCGAATGCCTTCCTTCTATTCATGAAGGAAAACCTTACTTTGACTGTCCCTTACAACGGAAACAACTGATCGGCTCCTTGGGTGCCGAGGTAAATGCCTTTTTGACAACAGATATCACCACAGAGCAACAAGAAGAAGCAAACAGCTCCAAAATCACACCCTGGACCTTAACCTTCGAGAAAGGAGACATTATTGTTCACACGCATGTAAAGACGCATTCGGATCTGCTGGATAATTTGTACCACATGATGGGCACAGTCGAATTATTAAATTATATACCACCAAACGTACCCAGCCATTTTCGACAGAACAGTCTGATGGGTGTCCTGAACGTATTGATACGAAAGAAATACGGAAAAATGCAATGTCGAAATGTCGCTCGATCCGTTCAAATATATATCACGCCAGATTTATCCAGCGTGAAAACAATCGTGGTTGCACAAGCTCCAGATTCAATCCAAGTGACAACAACCAAGCTCTTGCGAGCTTACTTACAATGCAAGCATCTTCAGCAGTTAGCGATACATGCACCTACATTCATACGATTGTTCATCGACCGAAATGACGGGATAGAGAACTCACCGGCGGCCATGGCACTTTGCGCAGCTATTTGTACCTTTCGATGTAAACACGTGGCAGATTGTCTTCCTTCAATTTCATTGGTCGAGTATGGTAAATTCTACTTTGACCGCGCGCGGGACCTCTTATCAGATCTTTTTGATCAGTTTGATCTAGAGACATTTACATGTTACACATTCATGGTCGTGTACAAGCTTACACTTTCCCACCGTAAAGAAGCACTTGCGTACGCTGATATGGCTGAGCGCATCAGTCTGATCCTCGAACCCTCTTATGATCACATCATACAATCCGATGCATCCTTACAAAAAAAGGGCGAAGCTGTCCATTTTAAACGACTATTAAATCATTTACATCGTGTCCTGACCTACCAACAAGTGTCACGTACAGATCCAGGAGAGCATATGAAGGTAGCCAACCAAGATTTGCCATTCTGCACACTGATGAAGATGGGTGAAGGAACTTGGGTCACCGCACAAGATGATTCGGTACAAGAAAAATGGTTTTCGAGGTATCATGGCTACGTGCTACAGTTTCATCGTTCATGTCATTTAGCAAGCAAATCTGCGCGATCATGTGATCTTCATCAATTGGTCAACATGATTGGACATCAGGTCGAGATGGCCATGCGACATTGGTACGCCCAAGTACTTCCTGCTGAATTCAAACTTTCGTTACCGCTTTTCAATTCAACCATGGATCCTCAAGAGTTCTATTCTACGCTGGACCGTGAATGCTCCCATAGTGTCATCCCCATCTTGACCACACTGACATTATACGAAGAATGGATCATCTTTAGTCAAACCTACTTACCTAAAGCCGTGCCCTCGCCCGAAAATGACTGGGGACGACTCAACGATGTTTGGAAGGGAGGTTCAGATGTGTCAGACAAGAAGAACAAGAAATGGAGGAAACGGATCGATAAATTGATGGAATTACGACAAGCGATTGAATTTGAGGGTACCGATCAGGAGTATTTGGCAGCCGTCAATCATATACTGGGTTCAGCCGAAGCACAAGTCAACTGCAAGTTGCTCATCTCGGGTTTAGATGCAGCATTCATTACCCTGGATCTGATAAAATACCTAAGGTCACGGACTCAGGATTGTTACTTTGATATCAAGGTGCTGATCAACGCATGGCAACTATTACTCACCGTCTCCAAATTACACACTACTTTCCCTAAAGAGATTCAAGCGTTCGTGCCGCGTATACATAAGGCATTGACAGACTGTATGCAAATCGTAAAAGACGAACTTAAGTTACAACCTTATCAAGGCAAAGTGGGTGACTATGTCCATGTCATGGAGAACGATCTCAAGTCGCAAGTCGTTGAAGATGACGATGATTGTGATTGTACAAGTTGTCCCAACGCTTAAAATCACCCCCCCCCCCCTCACATAAACCCTGCATTACATTGACATGTTATTATACCACCTTTATTCTTTTCTTTTCTTTTTAGATATGTTATTCACCCCCCCCCACTTTGCTTTTATAACTATTAAAACTTTATTATCTGTATAACATAATAAAATCATGTTGTCTAAACCCTGATGCAACAAACATTTTTGTTAAACATTTTCCCGAAACTACATGTTCATGAGCTTCCAAAATGCGGGAACGCCACCATTTACGTATTTCGTGATTTAAAAGGGCCAGAAAAAAAAAAGTGTGATTAAAAATAAAATTTCATCTACGGGGGATGTCTTGATGTCCAAAAGAGTTGCTTGCTGTAAGTGTAAAACGGAGGGCATCCGATAATCTTACGAATAAAAACTAATACATTAGACAAAGATTAGTCATATCCCCCTTATACACGAGAAATTTTTTTCTTCTTCTAATTATCAGTCCATTGGAAACGCCTTGATATTCACCATTGTTTACTGTTCGCCCTTATGGAAGCACTTTAATGTCCTCACCTTAATAAAATTCCAAAGCTAAGTATATGTAAGCTTTTTTTTTTATAGAAAATCATATGTTTAAAACTAGTTTGCATTTATATTTAATGTTGAACAATTTTTATATAAACTTTTTTTTTTTAAAAAAAAAAAAGTGTAACTATAACAATTGGTTAATGGCACGTAAATTTTTTAATTTTCTGAACTACCAAAGTGAAACCATGTTACATTGTTGCACAAATGACATACAACAATCAAGGGACGCGCTCATAAGCACCGAATATCCAAAAAAAAAAAAAAAAAAAAAAAAAAAAGTAGAACAAAAAGCTATGATTTTTGAGTTATAATCATGAAAGGAGGGGATATTTTATTTCTTTTAAAAAAGATAGGGGGCTTATAAATTTATATATATATACATAGGGTCAAAAGATGGGGGGGGGAAGAGAAATAAGTTTTGTTTTTCTGGGGAAGGGGGGGGGGTTTACTCTAATACTAAATCAGCAACAACGCCAATTACTTTTGGGGGGAAATCACGCTTCACCATCTTATCCAAAATCATTTTGGCCTTATCGATTTTATCGTCTAAAAGATAGGCTCGAATCATGGCTTCAAACGTACTCGGTTCTCGAATAACCTTATGTTTTTGATGATACTTATCATCCGACATGGCCTCAAAGATCTTCTCCGCCTTGTCCAACTGGTTCTTTTCACCATACCCACGAATAAACAGATTCTCAATATAGGGCGACCCACTCTTTTGCAATTGATGGTCCTTTTGCAACTCTTGATAGTAAACCACTTCAGCCTTCTCGAGCGCATCGTTACTAATAAACGTATCAATCATTGCTTGATAAACAGCTTCATCAGGATGGATCTTGCATCGCTTCATTTCGAAAAATACACGCTCCGCACTTTGTACATCGCGTTGAAGAATACCATAAGAATAAATAAGCGTGGCATAATGCGTCGCTTGAGGTCGAAGTCGATCACAGCGGTCCATATCGCTCAGTAGCTTATGTGCCATTGGCATATCATAAGGTGCAATATGTGTATACGCTTCCATCAATAACTTGTAACTGTGAGGAGAAGGCTTGATATGTCTTCGTCGCAACTCTTGAAAGTACTCAAGTACACGCTCTCGATCCGGATGCTGACGCACATAGAATTGCATCATGTTGTTAAAAGGCCCTACGCGAGGTTGGTAGCTAGGCGATGATAACATCTCTCCAAACAAACGTCTTGATTGTCCCTCAGAACCAGATCGTACACTAGCCGAGATAATAGCACCGTACGTGATCGAGTTAGCGGGAATCTTGAACAATCGCATTTCATCAAAGAGACAGAGAGCAGAGTCCAGTTTTCGCGCTTTCGCCAATTTCGAGATAACAACATTGTAAAAGAAAGTGGTGGGTTTCACATGATGCCGTTTGGCTTCTTCGTAAATAACAAGCGCGTCCGTGGCTTCATCCGTGGCACATTTGGCGCTACCCAGCAAGAGACTGGCATATCCATTGCTATCGGGGTAATGACCCATGGCCTTGATACGATCGTAATACACCTTGGCCTTTTCCATTTCACCATTTTGTGCGTATCCAATAAGAATACTATTGGTCGCCATATAGATGGCTGCATCTTTGGATTGAATGTCCGGGATATCCTTGAAAGCATAGATCGAATTGTTGTACAAGGTTAAAGCGGTTTGAATATCACCTTGTTTACCAGCCAAAGCAATCACATCCCGCATCACTTCAGGTGAAGGCAAAAGTCCTTTACAGATAATACGGTCTTCAAAGATACGAATCGCTTCACGGCTATTGCCATTCATAATCGCCTTCAAAACTTCGTTGGAAATCAATTCGGATTTGGTCAGAACAGGGGTAGGAGGAGCAATCATCGTTTGTTCTTCATCTTGTTCTGCAATTTGAATAATAATATCATCTTCTTCATCATCATCATCATTAGCCCTTTCTTCTTCTTTCGTCTCATCTGACGATGAAACACTCGTGGTCGTGCTGGGAATACAATCAAAGGCGGACTTCCATCGAGATTCAGATTCAATATCACCCAGACGCTGTAATTGAGTCAATACATTATGATAGAGTCCATCCGGCGCTTCAATATCAACCGCACGCATATCTTGAAGCACTTGCATCACAATATCTCCCAATGATGAAGGAGATTCTTCAGGTCGGCTATAGACAACAAAGGCAGCATTAAACAACAGTTCGAAATCCGCCGTGGTCAACAAATGTTGCGACTCCCCCGTTTGATTAAAATAAGTATCAATCAACGCCTTGGACATTTCAAATGGTGGATTCACTTTGACCATCGACATGACAGTATGCATCGTCTGAAGTATTTGTCGTACAGCCGTACAATCCAGAATAATTTCCAACGCCGCATCCATCAGATGATGCGCTCCCTTAGCAAGAGACCGAGACGACATGGCCTTTTGGATCGTGTGTAAGGCACCAATCGCCTGTGCTACTTCGCCCGCCTGAGAAAAACTCGTAATAATGCGTTCAGCAAGGACCGGATCAGGCTCCAAGTTGGCTTTGGTCATATCTTCAATCACACATAAGGACTTGTCGCGATCGTTATGAGCTAAACAAAGAAGAGCATAATTGGCTAAATTTCCGTAGGCCTTGCTGATATCGGTCTTGATCAAAGCATCATAGATACGTGTGGCTTCTTCCCATTTATTGTCTTGACAATACGCAGACAAGATGGGTCCATAACTGCTGGCATCTGGAAGAGGGAATTTAGTGCTGTCTTCTTCGTGGCCCTTGACCAGACGATCAATTAAGGCTTCTGCTTTGTCCATCGCATCAGTTGCACAGTAGTGACGAATGATAGAGTTGTAAGGGATGCAAGTGAGCTTGATGCCGTTCTCAACCATTTCATGTTCAACCACACGAAGCGCACCGTCCAAAAGTCCACACTTCAAATGACAGTCGACCAAGGCATTAAAGATATAAGAGGTATCATGAGGACCAAGATCGGCCTTGACTTGAGTATAAACACCGTAATAATAAAGAGCCATCTCAATGTCATGTGCACGGCCAAAGAGATTGATTAAAGCAGCATAGGTAGCAGAATTAGGTTTAGCCTGAACATGAGGCTGTTCTAATTGGCTGTAAACAAAATTGGCATCGATCGTACCACCATAGTGGGAGAGAACACGAAGTAATTGATTAAAGATCTCGACCTCAAAGGTGTTGATAGAGATACCGTCGGATACAGCATGGTGGAATACAGCAAGCGCTTTCATCAGGTTGTCTTCGGCTTCAAGAAGACCAACGTCTTCATTTTCATGACCGATACGTGCTGACTGTCTCTTCAACATGGCAACGGTCTTTTGCACTTCGACATCACGCTTACATAACGTGCGAATCATCAAGATAAAGGTGTAGGTATTAGGCTGAATGTTGTATTGAATCATTTCATTATAAACTTTTTTTTTTTAAATAAAAAAAAAAGAAGAGAAGAGAAGAAGAAGAAAGGTGTGAGTACAAAACAATATACATACATATATATATATAAAAAAGGGAAAGTTTAATTTTAATAAATTATTACTTTTCATCATGGTAGTCAAAGGAGTTCCTTCACGACGCAGGATAGCATGGGATTCCAAAACCAAGTTGTAGGTATGATGAGTCATTTGAACCGAGTTTTTCTTCATGGAGATAAATTCGTTCATGACAACACGTATATTGCCATTTCTCTTTGCTGCTAAAATACGGTTATTATACTCGTAGGTGCTGCTGACTTTCTTCTTATTACTGTTATTATTAGTGGTGGTGGTGGTGGTGGTATATTGTTGAGGAGTAGCTTCAGGTGAGTTGGGCGGTGTTGGGAAAATCTTATCTTCATTACTTGTGCTGCTGGTGGATAATGTGGGTTTAGAAGAACGATGCTTGTTCTTATTCGTATTCGGTTTATTATGTGGTTTCATATAAGCATATCTGTTAGTTGTTGATGTAGATGTCTGGATAACTAATTTTTCTGGTGTCATTTGGTTGTTAAGCATTATCTTTTTTTTTCTGTTTCTTTTAATAAAAAATGAGAGTAAAGTGAAATATTGAGAAAGAAGGAAAGAAAGAAAAAAAAAAAAGAAAGAGAAAAGAAGAAGAAAAAAAAAAAAGGTTTACACGAAAATAATTAAAAAAAAAGACCCTCTTTTATAATTTTTTTTTTTTTTCCCTCAAACATCCGAATATTTTTTTATTTTTGGGTCTGGTGGAATTCCATCTTATCAGATTGATTTCTCCGCCTACATGTTTGTGTAATGTATTTTAACCCTCCTCTCTAATTCCTAGTGACGGCCCCATAGTAAATAATCTGATCTTTTGTCCAAGAAAACAAATCAAGTAAAGGAAGCTCAAGAAACAAGTGTTTGTAACACCATTTTCTCTTGTAGCTAATTTTTTTTTTTCATTAATCTGATTCTAAACATGGCGGGTCGGATCGTAGTAGAATAAACAATCAGGAAAAAAAAAGGATCTGATAATTAATTTTTTTTTTCTATTGTAAATTAGTTCTAGCGGTTTTAAAACAACGATCAAATTCGTCATCTTGATCGAACACGATAGATCTATTCTCGGTAAGTAGTTTGTACTCGTTATATCCTTACCATGGCTGTGACATTTAAAAATAATTTTAAATACATCTTGATCTTTCTTCAAAAAGATCAGATAAAGTATGTCCACGAATAAAAAAAAAAAAATACTAAAAACATTAGGTTAGCCTTATTTTACAGGGGGGGCAGGGGGGGGGAACAAAAGCCATGTGAGACTCTAGACCGGGATTAAGTATTAGACGAAAAAAAAAAAAAAATAGGGTCTAAAAAGGTATGGAAGAACATTTTTTTCATATTATATATTACCCCATACCCCAGCTTTTCAACATTTTTTTGATCCAGCTATATCAAGTTATTATCTAGGCTATAATCTTTTTTCTATCACAGCACAAAGGTGTTTGTAATTATGTACAACATATCCATTTCTCTTGGTATTTCTGACCCTGGATAACCAATGAAACAAAACGTGGTTATCAGATCTAGTGGGATCCTACTAAAAAAAGATCTGATAACTCAAAAGGAGGGCCCGGGTAACTACCACTCAACTCCACCCCCCCCCCAAACACACATCATAAACAAACAAGATCTGATAATTATTGCTCCCCCCACACACGTCCACCGTCATTTAGATTAGTACTTTTTGTCCAAAAACAGTGTACCTGCGTTTTTTTTTTTTTTTTTTTTTTTTTTTTAATGCGAATTTATTGAAACTCAAACTTTACCGATTGTGAACACACACACTCCAATGGTCGGGCCACTTTTTATAAGCTCAATGTAGATATAAGGTTTCGTCACATTCAAAAACCCTTACACAAGAATATAATATATATATATATATTATTCGAATTTATTACAATAGCCAATATTTACGTTTATTCTATCCGGGATCAGAATGCGTGTGCAAGGGAAGGAATAGGGTCGTCTGTCTCTTTTTCATTGTTACTTTTCCCCCCAATTGTTTCTGTTAAAGAAGTACAATTTTCCTTATTTTGAATCCCAATCTAGATTGTAACCCGTTTTTCCTCTAGAATTCTGCACATGTTAGTTACCAAATGTTTTGAGAAGCTGCACAAAAATATATCTTATTGAAGATGCGCCATTCACGTTCCAATGAATTCTTGTTTCGCCAAAAATAGGCATGTAGGAAACGTAACATTTTTATTTTCACCGAGTATATTTTACAAGTATATATATATTTCGTGTCCTATTTTGAGGTAGCTATTATACCCTCGGTGCAGCCATTCTACCTTCGTTATTAAAACAATACCAAAATGAAACATCTGTCCGACGTTTGGAGATTATAAATATATAAACCAGACTTATTTACGGATACAAAAAAAGATGCACTAAAACATTAGTTTATGACATGGTAAGTTCAACGACACCGATATAGAAAAAGGCGGACGGTAAATGTTTATATTTTACCTTCACCCAAAAAAAAAAAAAAAAAAAAAAAAAATTATTAGTCATTAAATTGAAATAATATTATCCAGACTTGATGTCAGTTTCTATTTTTGTGCTCTGTTCTTTTACAATCGTCACTGTCCTTTAGGTTGAGTGAAGGAGCCTTCCATTAAGTAACGTCATGTCAATCTCATCTAGCGCAGAAATTTGGCTGAAATTATTGAAAGACTCCATTTATTGATATGCTTAAATCACTTTTCGTAACAATTACAATTCAGAATTCTCTCTCAATTTGTTTTCGTCTGATAGAAGACCGGGATAGAATCGTGTAACAGTTTTTTTGTCTGCATTGCATGTGAATAAGAATCTGTTATTTCTTTTATTTTTTTTGGTCGGCTATATAATATCAATGGCACAAACAAGGGTAGCCCTATATTTTTACAGCCTTGATCTCTTTTTCTTTCTATGTTTTCTTTGTAGTACATTACAGTTGTAAGAAAAGCTTAGATACATTATAAAACAAGAGAAAAGCTAGGTTTATTTTTTAATGTATACGGAATTTAGGAGACAACAGCTCTTTCCTCTTAAGAAAGGTTATTTCTTAAAGTAGTGTAAATAGGAAGAACAGGTTGTCATTTTTATTCAAGACTCTCGTTAACTCTGTAACCATCATCCCATTGTTATATAGCGTAATTTTAGCATTCAATAGACAACTCTAGATTATTCTCAACGCAAACGAGGATGATTGATCTTTGACGCAATGTAAAACAACGATGAAACAGATTTACCCTGTTTTAAACTTTTTCGAAACGTCTAATTTCCTTCTTCGTAAATTATTGTACAAACCAACAAAGTATGGCCAACTAGATAAAAAAACAAAAAATCTCTCAAAAGTGTTCATAAGTTTTATATCAAAGACTCTGGGATTACCAAATTCCCCAGCATCATTTGAATACAATAGACCAATAAATACCCAACATAGACATTATTTTCTCTTCGGAGCAAGTATCCCTCGCCATTTCGTCTTTTTTTCTCTCCAGGTTATGAGGTCCTGTTAAATATCCGAGGTTCTTAGGCTATGAAAAAGAACCCGGTAATCACACTAATCAATACTTCATCTATCTTTACATTACCGAGTTTTTTTTTTATCCTTTGTGCTTCTATTGCTTACTTTTTGCTCCGTTTCATCCCCTTAACCGTTTTTGGATTTTAAAGGGGACTAACTCTAGCAAGATCAATGTTTATATAAGCAATACTGTTTATGTTGGCCAAACACATGATTGGTCCTCCTAATGATAACTTTTTCCCCTCTCCATCCATCCCCCATCACAAGTTATGACAAGCTTATTCTGTAGTCTTCTATTCGGGAATGCTTAATAGTTTTTTTTTTTGTATTTCATACACAGTTTTCACCTTTTGGATGAAGGCTGATATTTTTTTTATATATAGCAGAAGAAGCTTCTTCATAGAAAAAAAATACATATTTATCATTAGGAAGAAAGCGAGAATAAAAAAATACGAACTACTACGTGAATGTGGATTACTTTGATTCATTTCCACCGATAAAAATAACAAGAGAACCAAAAAAGCTATTTTTCTTGGAATGATTTCTTATTCATAAATTGCGTACCTCTTTCAAAATAAAAGCACTTATTGCTGCTTTAACGCGTTTTTAAAAAGTAAAGGGGGAAACAAAGATAGAGTCTGCGCCATATATTTGGACGATGGGTTATGCAGCGCTGCACTATTTTTATCCGCGAGGAAAAAAAAAACTAGCTTTAGCATTCTATTCAAGGTATCACTTCTTTTGTTACATCAGCCTCATGTATTATGTGTATAATCTAACAAAGAGTGAAAGAAAAAGGACCTTTTTTTCCCCCAAAATAAATTCCTCAGGTTTAAATATCAAACAAGGGAGGCGACGTTTGTCCCTAAACTTACTTTGAGGGTGCACATAACAATTATAGGTAACCTTTTTTTTTTATATATATAAATAGAATGTTCAGTGCATGTACTAATAAATCTATCCATCATCTATCACCATGAATGATGCATCTATACTTGACAAACTATTTTCAATTTTGACAAGCTCTCAACACCCATTAAAAAAAAAAAAAGAAGCTTTTTCATTCATCAAGTGTTATTTTTAGCTTGTTTCTTTTTTAATCGAATTTGGCGTAAAAAAATAATAATAATCAACATTTTAAAGCGGAAAGAACATTCCCCGTCAATAATATGCACACTTTTTGCGTGTGCAAAGCAAAACTCTTATGTAACTAACAAAAAAAAAAAAAGTGTGTGCGCAGTCCCCAAAATAAAATCTTTAAACTTTATGGTTATATCCCCCCCCCCCCCCCCCCTCGCGTGTATAGACAGCGTGGTAAAAAAAAAAAAAAAATACAAGGTCAGATTTTTTGATCATGTCAATTTATTCATCTGTTTCATCTTGCAGATCCTTTTATTTTTTTCTAAAAAATGGGTAAACGGAGGTCTTTTTTTTTTTTACATGAAGTCGCCCCCCCTCATTCCTGAGAATAGGTTCATCTCTTGGACAAATCATCCAATAAAAAATCACTTTTACCGCAACAAAATAATACAACAAAAATCAGGGCCAATGTAAATGTGGTACAACAAATGGGGGAGGGTTTATGTCTGGTAAAAATCACGAGTGCAACCAGCTGTACAACCTGTTTACAGCAAACAAGCAAACCTTGTCACTTATGTAATATATTTCTGTCGAGTGAAAAAAAGGTCCATGAAGGATTCTTTAAAAAAAAAAAGTAAAGGGTGCAGATGATCTTTCATATGCAATAACAAAAAAAGGTGGGGGAAGAAAGAAGCATTTATTTCATAACATATGCATGTGTGTGTGTGTGTGGGGAATTATCCAGTCTCATGCTTCATATTGTCCGGTTAACCCAAAACCTGTTCATCCCTTTTCTATATTCATCTCTCACACAGACAAGGATTACTTAGCTTTCAGAATTTATCAGTACATTGCTCATACTTTTTTTTTACTTTCATTGCATTCAACAAGTTAAACCCTTTATAAGGTGCATGTGATGACGGCATCACACAACCAAAACCCCACACTTTTCATGTGACCCTTCTTTTTTGGTGTGTGTATAAAATATGCCACAGTTTGTGTGTATTGCTATAATACCTTGTGCAGATCTGAAAAATGACTATAAATAATGTAATTCTCCTCTCTCTTTTTTTTTTTTTTCCTTTCTATTAATTTTTTTTTTTGTTGTTTTTTGTTGTTGTTAATTCACACGGTATATACATATGATATTATCACCTATACCACCCCATGAGGAGAAATTGGTAGACGAACCACTTTTACCGGAGAACATTGCCAATATGGTCACAGCTATTTCATTAGCCACTCGAATTTCACTTCGATGTTCTTCCTTACTTTTTGATGCCATCTTTGAAGCCGCAAAGTATGGAACTTCTTTATCCTTGGGATTATCCAGGAACGCTTTAACGAATGCCATCATCACCGCAAAGAACTTGCACAACAATGATCATTTAGTATGCGCTTCTCCAGATCAAGAAGAAAGGTAAAAAAAAAAACCCTCATCTTATATATTTTACACCCACCCCCTTTTCCCCAAAACCGGAACCTTTTTTTTTTTTCATTATAAACCAACATCCTAATTTTTATATAAAGACGACTCTACAATAATAACAGTTTGTTTATAAAGGTGCTTGAAAAATATACAAATATTGGACTTTATATTGTCAGTCACACCTTTTCATTGGCAGAATTGTTTGCCATGTCAGGTTTACAATTTACTTCCAGAACAATTCAATCTAGTTTAAAGGTAAAAGAAAAAGAGACAACGAAAAAAAAAAACTGATAAAATAGAAAGAAAAGTAACACCTGTAAATTCTAGGCAGCGGAGGAATCGGTACGAATTGTAGACGGCATTTTTGGAGCCAATGATACTTCTAGAGCCATTGCATCATTTATCACACTTGTCCACCGTGAGCTCGTACAAGACCCCGAATTCGAGCTGGCCAAACAGGGAAAAGTAGCTATTTTGGCAGGCCTCACCAAAGCGCTCACTGCATTTGCGGTCTTACAAAATGTGACACATAAGCGAATGATGAAACAAATCCCCATCACAATCCTTTGGGAAGGTCTCGTCACCGATGAAAAGGACGAAGTCGATACCGATAAAATCATTCAGTTCAAGAAAAACGAATCCACTACACCTGTTGTCACCACCAAAAACAAACTGAGCGACGATACAATCATCATTCAGGAACTAAACGCTTTATTACAGCGTGAAAAGGATGAGGCCAACGTCTACAATGTCACTACCAAAACTACCTGCATCACAACAAAGACAACAACCATCTGTCCCATCGATTCCGTCTATAATAAACGCATCATCGTCAAAACAAATGATGAAGAAAATGGCTCGTTTCTGGCCACCCTCCTCAACAACAATAGCGATACAGATGATCCCCCTCAATTCATCTTAAGCGCTCTCTCCGAAAAGAGAAGAAAACAAAAGGTCGACCGACAAGAAAACCTAGATTTTTGCCTCTTAACCGATGATATACCTCCTCCCATAACAACCGAAAGACGTTACTCTTCCCCTGGTCAACGTCATGCCTCCTTTTCTTCCTCTTGTCTGGTCACAACTACCACAGACACAAAAAGAAGATCCAATTCCATCTCTAGCTGTACCAGTCTGTCCATGACAACCAGTTACAATACACCTATACCCAGCATTTCTTCCTCTTCCGTCACTTCCGTCACTTCCGCCGCCGCCGCCGCCGCCGACAGCAGCAGCACTAGTAGTAGTAATGCCATACCCCAGGAGGAAGAAATCATGTATTACGATCATGGTTGGAATTTCCCCAAAAATCACATCATCAACAATATCGAGCATTTCATGCGATACGCTAGTGCAGCCTATGGTGAATCGTTTATGCGTATTCTCGGTATTGGAGATATACCCACCATATTACCTAATTCTCATCATCATCATCCAAACCATCATGCATTTGCACATCATACTGGTAACTCCGTTGAAGATATCCTGTTATCTAGCTATACCGACCGATCCCCTTTACATCTACATAACCCATCCATTCATGCTCTTGTCCATTACGTGACGGTAGATCATGCGTCCAAGGCAATTGTGTTGACGTGTCGTGGTACGTTAGGACTGAGTGATATATTGACAGATTTGAGCATGAGTTACAGTGAATTCAGTCTGCCTACGGACAAGGAAAAGGTGTTTAAGGCGCATCGTGGTATGCTTGATGCAGCGCAATTATTATCAAAAGAAAAGGGCAAAGTGTATCAAAAGATTCGACAAGGATTAGAAAGTTACCCTGATTATGGATTGGTACTTTGTGGACACTCATTGGGTGGAGGTGTGGCGAGCTTATTATGTGTTTTATGGAGTCAACAAATCATCCATGATACGAATGAAGTGGTGTTATTAGGAGATAAACAAGGGGGGGATAGTCTTATGCCATCGTTTGTGACGTCGAGTCAATCAGGTCTTCCTGCAGGACGACCCATTCATTGTTACGCTTATGGACCACCCGGTGTGATGTCCCTTTCGCTCAGTAATTATTGTTCGGGTTTGGTGACCTCGGTTGTGCATGGCTATGATATCGTCAGCAGTTTGAGTCTGGGACTGGTCAAGGACTTTAAGAATGTCGCTACCAGTTTACATGAAGAGGCTGATGTGGCAGAGGAAATCATTTCACGCGTGGTGGGTCGACTTCAGAAAAAGAAGGATGAAGAAGTGACGGAAGATGACCAATGGTTTTGGGCCATGATTAAGACCATGCGAGCCGACATGAATTCAGAAAAGATGTATCCACCAAGCACAGTTTATCTAATTGAAACAATACCCCATATTAAAGAACAACACAAGGTTGTCCTTTGTCGTTGTGAAGATGTAGAAGCTCGTTTCTCTGAAATTGTCTTTACTCGTACCATGTTTATGGACCATTCTCCTTTAATGTACGAACGAGCCATCAAGAAACTATGTCGAGGCTTTAGCAACAAATAAATTTTGAGTCCCTCCCCACCACCCCTGTTTTTTTTTTTTTAATACAGTTCCGGTTCGCACACACCTTTTGAATAAAAAAAAAAAAAAAAAACGTATTATTTTGATTGGCCGGTATATTTAATCGCCGACTTTTTTCTTTAGTATAAATTAAACGGAATCTCATTTTTTGAAATCTCACTATTCTCTTTTCAATTTTGATTTTAAAAAAAAACTCAAAGGGGGGAAAATACGTTTTGAATTTTTTTTTTTTTTTTTTTTAAACTCCCACTAAGTGCACACCCTTAAAAAAGAAAAAAGGAACCATTTTAAACACCGATACATAAACAAAACAACTTTCTTTATACTGCTTAAAGAACTATTAAGGATCACACACCCTAAGCATAACAGAAAAAAAAAAAAAAAAAAATCCATTAAATAAAAAAAAAAAAAAAAAAAAAAAAAAAACAAATCAATGGACTTATCAAGCATGTTGAATGGATCCAGCTCCAAATCAAACAACAGAAGAAATAGTAACAGCGCTACAAATCATTTGCCTGCTCCCACTGCACCAGTTGTTAGTAAAGCGGTAAGTTTTTTTTTTTATTTATTTTTTATTTTATAAATAGGAGAGAGAGAGAGAGAGACAACAAATAGATTGAAAACAAAGGTCACAAAAATTTAATTTTTTTTTTTTTTTTTTTTTTTCACATATAAATGTTATTTTTTTTTTTTCCAGCCTTTATATCAATTAGGTGCATCATTACACCTGGCTATCTCCAGAGATAGTACAATCACTCCTCCTCCTCCACAACCACAACGAGTAGCTAACCCTGCTCTACCCATCAATGCTCTTTTACCTTCTCCTTTTCGTCCCAGTGGCTCCAATATTATATCGCCTCGCATTAATGGTATAAATATATCTCAATTTTTTTTATAAAAATCACTCAACTTTTTTGTATGTACATTTTTATTTTTATTTTTAGCACCTACCAGATTATCACCCACATCCGCTACCAGTAGTATGGTCTTTGGTCCTACTTTATGCAGTAATCCTAACCTTTGGAACCCAAAGTTATCTCTCAAACTCGTCATGAAAGATCAACCACTTAACGTGAAACCCCCAAAACGGGCCAAATACAATAATGAAGGTGATGCATCTACAAACAACAATTTGGAAGTTCAACTGAAAACACACGAAGTCTTTTATCGTGGCGATGAACCCAAAGTATTACTGGAAGACATGTATGAAATCCAAGGCGCCTACCCTCGTGGCTTCTTTGTCATTATGGCCAAAAAAAACATCCAACACAACTTTGTATTTACTTACCCTGATAACTACTGGTTTGAAGACCTGTATGGATTAAGAAAGAGTGCCTATGTCGGTATGCGCACCGCCGACGGAGAACTCTACGAATTGCATTTGAAACCTTCTAGAGATAAAATGTGGTTATTCGGCTATCTCATTAAACACGTAGACATGATACGCATCGTGAAGGACTCCATGAACGAAATCATCTATCAACGCAAGTTACCCCTCGTCCTGGATTTAGATGATACCCTCGTCAGGTTGGTCGGCGAAGGAAATGAGAGATACGTACCTGAAATTGATATACCCAAATGTAAAGATCGTGTCGCTGTCCTTAAAGATGGTAGAAGAGTCGTATTAACCGAAAGAGTACATGAGTTTCTCGAATGGGCTCAAAATCTCTATGATATATCCGTTTGCTCCCTTGGGTAACTACCTCCAAAAAGATCCCATCTTCCAAAATATTTAATCCTTTTTTTTTTTTTTATTATTATTATTATTATTACAATAGCGACCAGAATTATGTGGAAAACGTTGTGAACGTACTCGATCCTCAAAGAACCAGAATTAGAGGTATTCTTTACTCTGCTCGAAGTGAACATGACTACATCAAGAAATCACCCGACCCAGGACGTCCCCCCAAAGATTTATTGGCTCTGTATTCTTTCTGCGCACTCAAGGATAAATCCATCGGATCGTCCTTTTCATTACCGCTTATCCTTGACGACGAGACAAGAATGTGGCCTCTGGAGCAACATGATAATATCATTGAAGTCAAAGGTCAAGCCAATATTCCCGTCTGGTCTGTATCATTATTCCCAGTTGTACAAGATACGTTAGCCTATGTACATCAAGAATTCTTTCGTCAGCTTGATATCTGGTATGCCAAAGTGCACGAAGCAGAACAATATGGTGTTACCTTCACGCGTCAACCTCCCAGTGCTACCTCCGTTTACAAGACCTATCTGCGTCATATCTTGAGAGATATGATTGCAAAACCTCCGTCTGTTCATCCATCACATACTACTTCTGTTTCTTCTGCTCCTCCCTTTTAATAATCCCCCCCCCCTCCTCCTCTTACTCCTCCCATTCCCCCCTTTTCCACTCTCACCCTCTTTTGTAATATAAAAACATATCACATATACGCAATGACAGAAAACAAAAAATCCTTTCATGTTAAATATCACACTTTTTTTATTTATTTTTTTGCTTTGCATATTTTATTGTAGTATTTTTAATGTTTTTTCTTTTTTTTTTCTTTCACCATTCAATTGGAGAGCATAGGCATTTCCTTCAAATGATGAAAGGACTTCTTTTTTATCACACGTAATCATGATTCATTCTACACACCCATTTAAAAAAAAAAAAAAAAAAATATCGTCGTTTTTTTTATTTTTACAGTCACACTTGAAAGAAGTAAGTCTGGGTAAATACTTTTTTTTGCTAACCTTTTCATTTAACTAGGGCAGTCTTCTAAAGCACAAAGAGATTAAAATTGAACCCATCTGTCAAGTAAATACGTCGCGCTTCTTTATCTCCTTAGCCTTTCCCCCCCTCACCTTTTTTTACACTACTATCCTTTCATATCTATAAATCCCACTTGATGCTTTTTTTTTATTGGACTATGTAAAAGGTCTTTCATTTTTCAACAGTTGGAAAGTAGATAGTGTGTCAAAAAGAGGATCCCTTGGACTTCTTTCACATTAAATCATCACTATTTTTTTTTTTGGCTATCTGGATTTAGTAGCCCCCCCCCCCAAAGAAATAGTAAAACGGTAAATGACACTATTTATCCTAATAGACTATGCTGCTGCGTCGTATGAAAGAGCCGCATCAAGTGAGATGTTGAACCCACGTTATCCATTAGGCATGAAAGAACAACGGAAGAAAGTCCTTTTTTTTTTTTCTTGACCTGACTCCACACTGCTTCCCCCCCCCCAGCAATTTTGTTATTAAGTATTACTGCGATTTTTTTTTTTTTATTTATTTTGCAAAAGGAAGGGTCTGGTTTAAACAAATTTTGGGAGCATTTCGTCTGAAAATTCATTTTTTTTTTTGTTTGTTCGTCTGAATTTCAACTGGGAATGGTTATCCTTTGCTTATCCGGGTTTACTTTTATCTTTTTAAAAAAAAAGTTACATCATGGTTGCCGTGTTCACATAATCTGTAGACAAATATATACCTCAACAAGGATGAATGTTCTTTTATTCATCTTTTTTATTTTATTGTTTAAAAAAAAATAGGCTTTATTTCACTATATAGATTTTTTTTTTTGTCTTTTTTTAAAAAACTAGGGGGGGGGGGGGACGTTCTAAACTTTGACTCTCTTGTTTGTAGCAGATACACTAGATTTGGATCTCTAATCATTTTAAAATATACTTGTTAATACACTGGTTTTCCCTTTTATATATATATATATATATCAATTTTTCTTTTTTTACCTTATCGCCTGCTTTATGACCATGTTCCTTCTCAAGTTGTTGGACATACTCAGTTGGTAAATAACTCTTTTTAATGGTTTCCGTTTGGATGGTACCGGTAGGTAAAGTACGATACAATCGGCTCGATTGAAGTGATACATGGCCTTCAAAAGCAACTAAAGGCCATGCAGCATCCTTACATTTGTTCTTAATAAGCACACCAGCTAAATCACACAACACATACGAATTCTACCACACACACACAAAATGAATGAATAAAAACATCTTTATAAAAAAAAATAAAAAAAAAACTTACTTGACTCAACTCGGGAGATACCATGTCCTTGGACAATTTAATCTTTTGAACAATATGATACAAGAACGAAGCGTTATCAGGATTAGCCACACAACTAAGATAGAATCGAATATACTGAGCAGAAATATCAAGATCCTCTGTAGCAACCGAGAAATCAGGATGATGCGCCAAGATATGGATCAATCGTACAAGCGATGAATCCAACACAGAAGATTCACCCCCCTTCACATTCATCATGGCAGAGATACGCTTCTGAATAAAACTCTTCACTTGCTTCAATAACACCTCCTCAGGCTCATGCGCACATAAGAAAAGCAACGCGTAATAACGTGGATGGATCTGCTCCGTCTGAAGTCCCTTCATTAAGGACTCGGCAAACTCGGATCGGACATAAAAACAAGTATCTTGTAATGTAATACCCAATCGTTCGAATTTGGGAACAGTCAATTCGTTTGTGTATTTAGCATACGTCGTGAGTGATACAATCGCTTGCGATCCACCAAGGCGAAGGTGAGATGTTTCCGCAGCACTTTTTTTTTCAGTCTTGTGTTAGTTTTCACCCCTCAAAAGACATAAAATAACAAATAACAAATAACAAAACTTACCAAGTGCCATCAGTAATAGCGGCATCACAGGATCTGTCCAACAAGTCCCAAAGAATCGTAAAAATCTTATTGGAAATATACTCCTCGGGTTCTACCCTTTCTTTACAAGCAATTAAATAATTAACCAACAAGCGAACACCAATAATCTTTTGTTGAGATAATTCGGGTAAATCTTCATAGACACACCAATCATTATTTCTTTCCTCAGGCTACATACACAAAAAAACAAAAAAAAAACAAATTGTTAAATCATTTCCTATGTTTCAAAAAAAAAAGGTTACCTCGCTTGTCTCAGCTTGCAAAAGATCCGATTCAATAAATCGAATAATGGAATCAATCGAAGGTGTAATTAAATCAGGCGCATACAAGGCGAATTGTGCAAGTCCTGTAAGATTAGCAAGTAAATTGGAAGAATCCAGCAATAATTCGTCACACATATTGGCGGCTAAATCAGCAAGAACAACACCTGCATTCTTCATGTTACCCAACGCGGTAGCGGCGTGTTCTGCTTGAATTGTACTACCATTCGCAATGTAACTCATCAATCGTTCACTCACATCACTATTCAATTCATGTTAGTTTCTCTCTCTTTTTTTTTTCGTATTGGATAATCATCAACTCACGGTTTGTAATTCACTAATCCATTCTTGGCCTTACTAATTTCAGCAAGAATCTCAAGACTTTCATCAGCTAGAATAATAATTTTTTTTTCTCTGTCAGTAAAACCTCTTTTTGTACTCTTGATAATAATAATAATAAAAATATTACCAGCACTGTCATTGTCATTCATGATTTCGGCAATAATATCCTTCGTGAAAGAGTTATACATGGTAGGATAGGTGATGGAGATTTCCTTCAATAACTCTTGAGCAAGAACGGCTTTTTGAGTAGATACAGTACGTCTTCTTCCTTTTGTCACCTTGGACAATTTTAATAATTGCGGTACGTTGGTCTTGTTCAATAAAAGTGGACAGGCTCGATTCAAAAGAGCTTGGAAAATCTCTACAATCGCTGATTGATCTTCATTCAAACTAGCCAACAATTTCGTCTTGGCCGCACACACACGTTTATAATCACGATCCAAATCAATACAGGCTTTCAAAAGCTTGATATCCTTATCACTCTTTCGGTTCAAGAAAGATCGAAGTGCGTTCAATGTTCTAGCCTTGTCAGGGAATTGGGCAGCCAGATATTTCATAAATTCATCCGATCGCAATACCTCGTGTTCACTCTGGTTTGCGTTATTCATGTGGTCTTGACACAATTTAGCATAGTTCTGCATGTTGCTGTTGAAAGCGCTCTTCTTGCGGACAAGACCGGTAAAAGCAAGCTTTTGCTTCTCCTCCAAGGACTCAATCATCGTAATCAATCTTTCGGTTCTCTCTGCGTCATTCTCGATTTCGGGTAAAATAAATTTATGCAATGTACTTTCCAAATTCATACTAAATACATATGCTTTTTTAGTTAGTACGCCCCACCCAAAATATATATATATATATATGTATAAAACTTTACGTAACAGAGGGATCACCAACATAAAGACGATTAAGAATCGTGTCAGGAATCCAACCAATTTTTTCGATAGCCAATTTATCATTGGCTTCAATACGTAAATAACAGTTTTGGTAGATGGAACCAATGGTGTTCATGGCAACAGATCGAACAGAACTCTTCTTATCCTTGGTTCTTTCCGCAACGGATTTCAAAAGTTGGATATCCAAGGATTTCAAGTCGTTTTCCATTTCAATCTCACCAAGTACTTTACAAGCAGTTGAACGCACCTTGTCATCGGGATCCGATAATTTCTCCTTGAAACATTCTATCCGTGAATAATAATAATAATAAAAAAACATGGTGAATATCTTAAAACATCCTATATTTCTTCTTTGCTTTTTTTACCAATTAATTCAGGAATGGATTCGCGGTGGTTTTTATAGATATCAACACACATTTCTAACCACTTTGTACGTAACGCAATGGATTTATCATCGCGTCTTCCAAGCCAAGTCTTCCAAATGAGAGGGTATTTCTCTGCCACCGTAGAGGTAGGATCAGCAAACAACTGTCCCATCATCTCCGTCGCCAATTGTCGTACGTTGATTTGATCCACTCTCATTTCTTCTTGTAAAAGAGGCAGTACGTTCAATAACAAATCCGATGTCGTGGCATTGATCTTTAAAATCAATTGATGTGCTTTCTTTAAATCCTCAAATTCTTCAACAGAACTTTCACTGCTACTGACGGTGATCAAAGCGTCCGAAAAGTATTGGCATACTCTTCTTTGGATGATGTTGGGACATGCGTAACAAATATCCAAGGCCATTAAATAAGCTGGGTTGGTAGATCCCTTTTTTTATAGAATACTTTTAATATCAAACACCCTTCCCCTTACAAAAAAAAAAAAAAAAAAATTGGTTTACCTTTTCAAACTTTTCGAATTTCTCCAAAATAAGTTCTGTTAATTCTGTACCTAAAAGTCCAACATCTTCAAGCAATTGAATCAAGACATCGGTCATGCAAAGTTCGACATTTCTAGCCAACGTGCCCCTATTGCATATATATATATATATTAGTATTCGTCATACACCGCCCCGTTTTCCCTTTCTTTGGGGGCGTCGTTTTGCTTCATTAAAAAAAAAAACTTACTTTTCAGTCACCTTGAAGAAATCGTCAGCTAAAGGAAGCACAATGTCGTCGGCATTATCAATCTCATTCAATAAGAGAAATGTTTTCACCGATTGCAAGTTCTCCAAAAGATAAAAGTGGTATTGAAAATCAGGTGATTCTGTTCCAAACTGACAAAGTTGGCTCACGAAAAACGTAAAGATTTCCTACCGACCCCAAGAAAAAAAAAAAGAGAGAGAGATTAGCCCATTTATTCTCCAGTGTTTTTTGCGTCCATTCTGCTAACCCGAATTTGTTCAATGGTGTAAGGACATGTAGGTGCATGCAGACGAATAATATCTGCAAGACAACACGCTGCTAACGCCTTGTTCGTCTTGTTGGTGTTCTTTAAAATTTGTTTATGAACAAGTTCTTCGGTCACTGTAGCAAGCGACTCTTTATCCACATTCTGATCCAGCGCTTTTAATTCCTCATGAAGTGTCTATTTAAGGTATTCCCTTCTTTTTTCAGTAACCCCGTAGTATATATATATATATTATAAATAAAATGGCCCATTTACCTTCAACAGGGCAGTCAAATCGCCAACTTTGTGCGCTTTGGGTGTACCAATAAGGGTTTTGGAAAAGGCTAATGTAGGAACTTCGGAATCAGAGAACTCAGTTACCTGAGTATCCATGGGTTCATCAATATTCATAATTACAAATATACAATAAAAAAAAAAAAAAAAAAAAAAAAAGGAAAGAGTTTAGAATATATTTATAAAAATTCAAAAAAACGGAACCTGTTTTTTTTTTCTTCTCCAGCGCGTTGGTCTCTCTGAACGCGTTCCCCTTCAAGTCACAAAAAAAAAAAAAAAGGTCGCTCTTTCAAAAGTGGATTTCGTTTCTCTCCCAAGACATTAAGCATCTTTGAGCTGCATAGAAATACAGTTTCAAGCCAAATGAATAAAACGTTAGAATAGATGTGTTATCAAAACATATAGGTATATCATCAGGAAGGGTCGATGGGTGATACCAGGAGCAAAAACAAACAAAAGCTTCAGGATATCAATTACAAAAAGTCTAATTATACACTGAGTAGACCATCTTTCAATGCTATTTTACATCTATCTAAATGCAAGCCATGTTTGATCTAAACACTGTTGTCTCTTTGCAATAAAGACCATCTTTTTTTCAAAGATGCCTCCAAATTTTTTTTTTTAAATAGGCGACACGACCCGCTTAAAGTCAGTGTTATTTTGTTTTTCCAGGGGTTTCTTTATATATATATATATTTTTCCTTTTTGCAAAATGTCCATTGCAAGAATCGCAAGTGCACTGAGAACCAGTGCTAAAAAGACGAGCCAGCCATGTCTCAACAAACGTTTCTTCAACACCCGATCCAGACACCACTTGCACCGTACCGAGCCCAAAGAACCCAACTTCTCGACCAACCCATACAAAGAAGCCATGGATCGTTTCAAGGATCAAGCCAAAATGGTAGGTAAAATGACTGGCTATACCATTCTATCCATGACAACAGCGATCGCCTTTGTTTGGCAATCATCCCATTGGTACATTGAATATGTCATGCATCCCACACCTTCCGAATTAGGTTATCAGGCACGTAATTTACTTCACGGTGCCTATATCCGAGAATCCATCGCTCCCGATTTCGAAGTCGCCTCATTCTATGTACGAGAAGCACTGCGCATCGCTCTGGAAGAGAAGCATCTACCCGAATCCTCCCCTACCGTCATCGACCTCCGACTTCGTCTGGCTCACGACGAAGCCCACGCCGGCAACCTTTTGGAGGCCATCACCGAATATACCCGCGCCTGGAAATTAATGCTGGACGTCCAAGAGCATTCCGTCCGTTTGATCCAAGCTGCCAAACACGTGGGTGACTTATACTTACGCATTGGCGATTTTGCTCGTGCAGAGGAATTCTTGGCTTGGTCCCTTCATCAGTTACCACAGGATCAACCTTTGCTCAAATCAAAAATCACATTGAATTTGGCTAGTTTATACGCCATGCAACGTCACTTTCAATTGGCTCTGCCGTTACTTTCACAATCGTTGCAATCCGTACCAGACGAGGCCATTTGTTTAAAAGCCATTGTGCAAAATCAACTCTCGGAAGTCATGTACGCCTTGGGTAAAACTGACGAAGCCATGGGCTGGGCCCAGGCTGCTTTGGCATCGTGCGCTCAAAATGTGAAAGACCAGGATTGCTTGCAATGTGGTGGCGTCGCATCCAACAATTTGGGAAAGATGTTGGAAATGAAGGCTGAATTTGAAAAGGCCCTGGAGCATTACAATCAGGCCGTGACTTATTCAATGTCAGTGCATGACAGTGAAAGCCATGACAGATATGTTCTTAATGCAGAAAGGTTAAAAGATTTTTTGGCATCGAAACAATTAGAAGAAAACTGAAAGAAAAAAAATTATTTATTTGTATAAAGAAGACATAAAAAAAAATCATATAGGGTATTTTTTTTTTTTTTTTTTGGAGTAGGAGGGGTATAGAAAGGAGTGTATGAAAAAAAAAAAGAGGCTTAAAAGGGATCGTATGGGAAATTCTTGCTGTGGGTATAAATATTTACAATGGAAAGACAAAAAGGTATAGGCATACTTATCTCAGCTGATTGGGATGCAAGTCTTCTATCAACTTATCAATCTTTGACACCAAGTGCTATAAATACAATAAGTATCATTGTCATCACATGTTCTTCATTTCATAAAAAAAAAAACTTACCGATTTAAAGCCTTGAGCACCATCGTAATTTGGATGAGAATGAGGATGATAATGACCCATCGACTTTTGAGAGCGTGGCAACTGTCCAGATTGAACATAATCATCAAACATACCAATAACCTCATCCTTGAATTGGGACAAATGATTGGCCACCATATTGGGTGTGGTTTGAGAACGGTGTTGAGGGAATTGAGGATTCACAAAAAGGTTAGGATGAAGGGGAGTCTTTCTATTGCCTGTACCACCAAAATGCGATCGTCTTGATCCGTCAATGGTGCTCATCAGCCTTTCGTCATTCGCCATACTATTGTTAGTACGATAACTCGAGTCGTAGGGAGGTGTAAACGTATGGTTCTCGAAATAACTGAGAACACTGCTCGTGTTACTACTGAGGGAACCGCCCATTGTCAGACCACGAGGTGGTGTGCGATCCGTCTCACTTGATGCAGAAGACGAATGATGACTATTATTACTACCGCCACTAGAAGGTCTTCGCATATGCTCCGGTGAGCTCTGGAATAACATCTCATCAAGTTTAGCCGACGAAGAAAGCGAACCAGTGTACTGATAATTGTAACAGGGTCTTCCATTCGAGTTATCTTCATAATTGGTGCTACCCACAAACGGTTCGATAAAAGTATGATCATCACGCACATAGATTTCAGAAAGAGGTCCGCTACTATGTCTATGAGGCTGAGTGTGGATCCTGGGGAGTTTATAACCTTTATCCGCAGCAACGGCAATAGGAGCACTAGTAGCAACAGCAGCAGCAGTAGCAGCCGCAGAAAAATATCCTGCCGAGTAAGTCCTGTTGTGAGACATAGTGGTGGGAGCATAATGCCCACGGAACTCGTTCTCCGTATGTTTGTTTACGCTGGCTACTTTAAAGATAGGATCAGGTACACATGATGCTGCTGCTGTCTGATCATCGTCATCATCTGTTCTTTCATTGGAGGAGGAGTGTCTTGATGGGGATGTTGATCGGGACCTAGCAAACAATTTACCGATACTCATATTGCTGGCAACTCGCGTAAGAGATTTACTTCTGGAACGAGATCTGGCTCTATCACGTAATAAATTGTCATTCACGCAAGAATAAGCTTCCGTAGCTCGAAGTCTTCGTTCATAAAAGAACACTAAAATAACAACAACAACAACAAAAGTTTAAGTATATCAAAATAGAAAGGGGGACAGTGTTATTCATTGGGTACTTACAGTTATTCCACAAGGTATCGATAAAGTCAAGAGGAGCGTCCTTATTTCTTTGCTTGGTGTCAACAATAGACTCGTATTCAATTTCACGACTGATTTCACGGATAGGAATTAAGCTTGTTCGGGAACGAATGGTAGGTTTGTAACCCCCCGATTCATGATGCGTAAGAAGAATGACAATCCAGACATCATCCGTCAATAAGGAGTTTAGATCGATATTGGCAGCAGCATATTTGTCCTCGATGTACACAATCAAGATATTATTCTAAAAGACAACAATGAGCAAAGAATGATTTCATAAACGTGGCAAAAAAAAATATACCTTGTGTTCGGCATTTGAATAAGAATCCTGATCGTAAAAATGAGAGTATCCTGGTAATTTGAATTTGTCTTCGTGGTACAATTCAGTGGTATCTAGTAAAGTACATAATGACATGAATATGATGACAAAAATAAACAGACATTACAATTTAAAAAAAGTCCCGAAAATACAACACACCTTCTAATTTAGCAATAGCTTGTTGTTTTTGACACAAGGAGATCAAGTCGTTCTTCTTTTGTTTGTAGGGACCAGCTCGTGTGGAATTGGTACACATCGAAAACAATCTGTCACTTCTTCGAAAGTAATTTTCACATTCTTTTTCGGTAGCATTGGGGTTCAACTCTGGTAGGCAAGTTCTTAAAAAGAAGGAATCAGGTCTCGCTAAACAACAACAAAAAAAAAAAAAAAAAGGGTTATTCGGTCCGTTCGATTATTGTACTACCAATGACTTTTTTTTTTTATTTGGTGTAATCTTTTTACCTTTTAAACCATTAAAAATCTCGACACTTCGAATGTCAACCCATCCCTTAAATTCGAGCGGCAAACCAGTATAGACATCTTTGGCCTTTTGTAAAATCGTATTGGTCGATCCAACCTTGACTTTCTCCTCAATATTTTCAAGGTATTCCTTGGACTGAAGATTAAAATTTTTGCGTTTCACAACCATAATTTTATCTGTAAATACGAGTAGGGTCACTGGCCGGCTGGTCTTTCCAGTCAACAAGGAGAGTTCAGATGCATCAAAGTAACCTAGTAATTTTCGGGTTTGAATTAAAGAAGCCTAATCATAACAACAACAAAAGCGGATTAGTCAATTAGGGTTTGTTTATGTATGTTTAAATAAAAGTAAAAAGAGAGATCGCTTACCGGTGCATCACGAATAAGGTGGTACAAGTTGAGCAAAGAGGAGTCTGAGCCATAGCGCATGTCATTGATGTTGGACACCTTGGATGCAGCTTCTTGTACTCTGGCAATATCTGGGTCATTTGAATTCATGGCATCTTTAATTTCTAATGCATAAGGTGAGTAAGATTAAAAAAAAAAAAATGAAAAAAATAATTAAACTTTACTTCTGATCAGGAGTTCATAGTTGCCCATACGTTGAACAGGTCGAATTAAAACATCATTCACACCAAAGTTCTTCTTGAGACTGTTGTTGACAAGAAATTTATAATAAACTTTATTTTGTTTCTTATTTTCGGTGTGACAAGACATGGAGTTGGGTTTCCCCAAAAGGTATACTTTGTAACAGTTGAAGGCTTCAATCTACACAAGGGAAAGTGATGTTAGTACTTGAATAAAGTGATACAGCAGACATGCAACTTTTTTTTTTTTTTTTTTTACATGACTAGTCAAAATCTGTCCAATTGTTTCAGTTGTTGTTCCATATTGGTATTGTTTTAATGATGCCAAAAATGCCTTGTTCACATCAACAATATCGTCCAAATTAATAAAGATTCGGTTAAATGAATACTGATCCAAAATTGAGGTTTTGTTGGGATCGACAATGGATTCGCGAATAGGCTTCATGATGGTGGTGACAAGATCTTCAATCGCACTGACATAGGCTTCTTCCGTTTCGATGAACTCTCGAATGGCTTTCATGGCTTTGGTTTCATACATGAATGCATTTCGGGATGTGATTGTGTTATCAATCGACTATAATAAGAAATTTATTTATTATCAAGCTTTAGATAATAATGCCTCAAAAGAAGCTTTTTTTTTTTTTTTTTTTTTTTTTTACCTCTTGCATCAGACCATTTGATTCGGTTTGTTGTTGTTGTTGTGGTTCAGAGTATTTATGACCAAAAAATGATTTAAAGTGTTCCATTTGCTTTTTAGCATCTAAGTAAATATGTATAAGCATAAATGACATTGCAGCTAGTCCCCTAGTCGCACGCGTGGGGGGCGACGTTATAATATTTACAATCATTTCTGTCCATTTTGGGAATAAGAACATCGACATGCTGAGACTATGGGAAGGGTACGGGATGAAAATAAAAAAAAAAGGTTTTGTTTTTTTTTAAATAAAAAATGATGACGATTGTTTTCAGTAATTGATATAATTTACCAATGGGTTTTTTGTCATGTTTAGAATTTGCTTTCCAATTTCTTTGCATTGATCAGAAATATTGTAATCTTTCATGATGGGTATCGAATTTTCCTTGTAAATTTTACAAGGATATTTAAAAGGTGTATCTTCCAAAATCTAAATAAACTCTTTGTTAATGGCTTGTTCAATTCGACACAGTGATGAAGGGCTACCTTGGCTGTTAAAGTTGATGCATCCATTTTTTTTTTGTGTGTGTGTGTGTGTAGGTGTATGTGTTAAATACAGATATATATATATATAGTAAATTTACAGAATGTAAAGAAAAAGAGAGAAGAAAAGAAAAAAAAAATATGGAGGAAAAAAGGGAAGGTTATATAGGTTTTTCGAATAACAACAAACAATTTTTTTTTATCTAGTTTTTATATATGCTGCTTTAGTAGTAACACACACATAAACACTTCGGAAGCAAAAAGTGAAAAAAAAAAGCTGTGCCTCACCTGTAACACCAATTTTTTTTTTAAAAATAAAAATAAAAAAAATAACAACAAGTCCCTCCTGAAATCAAACCCCTCTTGCGTATTAAGCTATAATGGTGGCGATTGCAGTGAATTTGTCATTTTGTACAACCCTTTTTATTTATTATGATTTTGATATGAAACGTTTTGACCATAATTACAGTTTGGTGCTTGTCAAAGTTTTTATAGAAATCAAAATAAACACGGTCGATTACAATTTCAATCTTTTTTTTTTATTATTAAAAAAAAAAAATTCGCATGCAGCGTAATATCACTTTTTTGTTTTGACAATTACTCTGCATGATGTTCAATCAACTTTTCTGTTGTTTGTCGCCAATACTGTGCACACAAATAGGGGGTGCGGTTGACAAAAAAAAAGGGGGGGGGGGAGGGAGAGGAAAGATCAAGGTGAGGAGAGAATCTGTGGGACATTAAATGATGCCAGCAATGTCACAGGACTTCTGGTGGGAATAGCGTAACACAACTTGTATCACTCTCTCAAAGGGTTAATTTTATAACTTTCTTCAATGAAAACAATGTCTGTTGTTAATTCTGATAAATCTTCGGGATTGCTTAATTCAGTAAATATGACGCCTACCACAGACAATGGGTAAAAAAAAAATTTATTAGAAAACTCCTCTCCATAGTGTTTGTAGTAAAAACGTCATTCTATGATAATAATAGAATGACGTAAATCCAGACTCATCTCACCCTGAAGGTCAATGCTTTATCCACCTGTTTTTTTTTTTTTACCCGAACTTACCGCAAAAATGTTGTCCACTGGAAATTGTATTACCAACTCTCAGGCTCCGTCTTCTATTGATTGTTACTGTTTCCATAATGTGTGTCGGTTCGCGAACGGATTGCTTTCCGTCATCACATGTTGGGCACAGCAACCTAAGAAAAAATAATAATATCAAAAATGGTCAGGCTGCTGATTTATTAATTTAAACAAGATAGAAAAAAAGAAAACAAATATATTATCACTACTTGTGTGTGGGATAATAATATGAAAGTTGCAAGCTTTATATGCTAACATGTGCAATGAATTTATTGGAAATGGGGTAATTTTTTTTTTTTTTTTTTACTTGTGTGGTATATTCTAAGGGATATCTAGGCTAGATTGTAGGTGTAAGTGGGCGTGGTTTTAATTCGACTTGAGGCCAAGCAAGATCTTCAACAACATGACTTTGATCGGAGGTGTGTTGTTTAGTTTGTGTCATGCCACAAGTGCAGTTTGAGAAGGCTATCCCTGCAGCTTCATTTATATTCGTTGAAATAATATCTGATCCCGATAGATTTTTAGCTGAAATGCGCACACTTGTCTCGGTCCCTGTAGAATCCGAACTCTTTGAATGGGTTTGCTGATGATTTGTTTGTTGTTTAAAAATACTGCCCACGCTATATACACTGCTGCTGCTGGAACTGTCTGCGTTTTTGTAGAATTTCTCGGGTAAGTTTAGAACCTTTGGTTTTCTTCCAATCGCTGCGGTCGTAGATAGTTTTGCTTCGCCTTGTACAATGTTTAAGAATTCTTGTTCATCAAAATACTTTAATGCTGCCCAAGATGGGTTTAAAAATGCAAAAGTTCTTTTTAAAGAATTTAGGTTTTCTATCTTCCAAAATGTCAACAAAATAAAATCTCAAACTTAAACGCCACTTTCATCAAAAAAAAAAAAAAAAAAAAAAAAAAAAACTTACGTCGACCGACACCGCCGCGCGATTCGATTCCATGCAAAGGCTTTGAAGGGGCAGGCAATGTTCCTTTCGATCCTTGATTTAATGGAGCCTTGTTCTTCTCAAGTCGACAAATATTTCTAGCGATACAAACACCGGCCAAAGTAGCAGCATAACCCGTTTTTTCCTCCGTAACGTTGGTTACATCCCCACCCGCAAAGATGTGCTTAAATTTATAATGATCCAACTGCAACGTCTTCTTCACTCGCACTTTCCCCCAATGATCTACAGAAGATTCAAACCCGACATCCCCATCCCCTTGAAAGATTTCACTGCAAGGCGTTGTACCCGTAGCCATAAACACTTTATCATAACCTGCATAGCAACACCCACTTGATCCCAAATAAGAATTAGTATCACCCGAGTCAAAATCCACAATCTTTTCATTCAAAACAACTTCAACACCCAGACCTTTCAGATAGTTCAGAGCATTCGCTTGTCTTTTTTCCGAGCTTCGTCGCACCAGATTAGAGTGTGAATCAACGATTGTTATTCTTTTCTTTTTTTGGTAAGGGGAAGGGTATACATGTGTGGCTATTTCGCTTGCAAGTTCGCATCCCACCAAACCACCACCTACAGCAAAAAGAAAATGAGTCAGAAAAAAAGTTTTTTTTTTTTTTTTTTTTTTTTTTCTTAAAAAAAAAAAGGGAGGGGGTTGCAACGGTCTACACTACCAATAATCAAAACTGATTTAGATTGCTTTAATGCGTTGTGCTCTGCCGCAAGTTCAGATAATCTGTAAAGCGATGACGTGTCAAATGACTTTAACTTTGACATATAAGTACTTCCCGTAGCAATGACTAGATAGTCCAGTGGAACCTAATAGAATAATTGTAAATGAAGCTGTAACAAAAAAAAAAAATCGAATGTTTATATAGTTAGATTACATATTCATTATTGACTTTGACGGATTTGGCATCTTCGACAACTTTCTCGGCATACCCAATAATGACCCGGCCCTCCTTTACATAGGCATCGTGTCTTACTCTCAGTGACGACGTTTCTTCAGGTCTCACTAACAGCTATAAATAAAGCATATATGTAAGCGTTTGTGTGTGTGTGAATCAGAATCCATATGGAAATCACACAAAATAAGGTTGACAAACCTTGATCATGCCAGGGGTATACTCAAATGAGTCTGAAAAAAGTAACGTTCTTTTAGTATATTCCAGTGTAGGATAGACATTTAATCTATTTACCTTTGGTATCAATCAAAGTAACATGAAAACGTGGCATGGGATCTAAAATTGAAGCTACAGTGAAACCCTGCGTGTTTGTGTAACGTGTTAGCGATGTTGGGTTACAGTTTTTTTATTTTTGGGTACATCAATGCTTACTGTAAATCCTCCTCCAATGATCACCACCCTTTTCTGGTATTTGTTACATGTTGGTGCATGAAAAATTCTAAATCATAATAATTGTTTTTTTTTTAAAAAAAAAAAAAATAATCGTCTGTGCGTTTGAAGAGAGTTTTTACCTTTCAAAGCTGTGAATCTTGTCGAATTCAATGATCTTTTCATTCTGGGTGTGATTATATAAAGTCAGCCTATGCAGAATAAATTCGAAATTTAAAATAAACTGCCCATGAATTACCAAAAATATCTTGACTTCAACTTCAGCATCTTTCAGAACATCCTGGGCATCTGTTTTAGATATGACTTGCCACTTATGTGCGTGAAAGAAGCTATCAATACGTTCTTTGCTCTTTACATTTAATTCCAATGGCGAATCAAAAGTTAAAAAAGTTTTCCAAATTCTAAAATTAAATTTTTTTTTTTTTTAACTGAGCAAAAATTTCTTTCAAAAATTTCTTTTCCCCTCCCTAATACCTGTGAACAATGATTTCAATATTTTTGGAAATTTTTTCATGTTGTAATTCTGATAAGGCTTCAATAAACAGCAAGTTTTCATGAGCATGAATTCCCTGTAAATAGGTCTCGAAATAAGCAAGCTGCTCAGGTGAAGAAAGAATGTTGTGCAATCGTCTGTTTTCATCATTTTCCATCGTTGATATAGTGGCGCTGTCCAAATTGTCAAAGGTTATTTCCTTTGTCGTCTGTCTAGCCATAGATGTTGTAACAATTGCCATAAAGTGCCCAAAAAAAAAAAAATGTAAAGAAGATAAAGAAGCAGATAGATCTTGTAGAAAACCCGAATAGGAACTACTAGTAGAGATTTCTAAGACACCGCTCCAGTTTGATTCCAACCTGTTTCAAAAAAAAAAAAAATTGTTCATATTCCCCCGGCTAAAAATCAATCTGCATTGTAACCAGTCCCTTTTTCCTCCCTCTAACGGGTTAGAATCCGGTAATTAGTCAATTTGTCACGTTTTATCCCCTTGTTTACTCTGCTATGCGTCATTCAGCATGTCCTGACGCTTTCATTATCAAAGATTGGGCACGAATCTGTCATTTAATAATGTACCCGGATATTTTTTTTTTTTTTTTTTCAAAGCGGGACGTGTAAAAAAAAAAAAAAAATCTTGTCCGTTTAGGCCGAAATGGGCGAAATTATTTATTACCACTTTCGGATAATATTTTTTAAACATGTCCCATACCATTTTATCTTATCTATGCATATTGACGATATCCCATGTGTCTATTTGTCAAGGAGGTAGAGACTACTTCAATTTATTAGGCTAGTTTTATTTCTAGCTCATAATATACATATGGCAACAATTAGATAGAATGAGTCTAGGGGTGAAATAAAAATTTCCTTGCGAAGGCCTCAACAGAAATAATTCGATCGAAGCTGGACCTTTCTTTTTTTGTGGAGAGGGACCACTAAAAAAAATACTGCGCCGGCGAAAGATAAGCAATAGTAATGTACCAGGATCACGTTAAAAATGCCTTCGCAGTTTGTTGAGTAGTCGTCTTAGCAACATTTTTGCTGCAAACAAGTTTGGATGATCTCAATATCAATTGACTGGTATTTAAACATAATGGATGTCGATTAACATTCTACTATAACCGTCAATACAATAACTCATAACAAAATATGTAAAATAAAAAGGATTCTTGATTTGACTTTAAAGGTTCAGTTGTTCATGCTCATAACAACATTAGTCACTCTTTATGAGAAGTCATAGAGGCAAGCGGTAATAAAGAACAAGTCTTTAAAATACTTGATACGATGGCCAAATTACAATGAAGATCTGTATTTATATTTGACAACCTTATAAAACCTGTCATTAATGAACCTAAAATAATTGATATATCAATGCATAGGTCAAACTTCCGCATATTAACGGAAGCTGTGCGGGTTGTTTTTGCACGAGAAATATGTCCACAAATGTTATTGTAATTGAGTGTTTTCTTTGGTGCATTTTTTGGTATCTCCTTTCTTGAAGGTCAAACGACACTCCCCAACTAAGCGCCTATGGGTGGGCTCAAAGTACTACCAATGTTAGCTCTAGCCATAATATGTCTTGATTGTTCTCTGTCATTCCGATCAGCAATAAAAGTCGAAAATGGTGTAAACGCAAACATATAGATCCCCCAATATTAATGTGCCAAAATAAAAGATGACAAGCTAATGACATATCCTATTTCAGGGATATCTCCATTGGAAAAAAGACACGGATATGGAAAAGACTTTATATGCAATCCATGGAGATCGTCCATCATTTAAAATCTGTAATATCCATGATCCACAGACATTTTTTTTTTTCCTTTTGTATAAGGATATTATTTGAAAAACAAAATTCTATTCTCACATGTCTGATTTTTTCTGTCATGTAGCTTTTTTTCTTCTTCCTGTAGAATATCGCTTTTGATTAAAAAAAAAAAAAAATTATTGGCAGTGCATCAGGCACCAGTAAAATCATTCCCCCTACTTCTTCTGGAAATGCCATTCACAGGTGTCATAATTCATGTAGCATCCTGCTGTAGGAACTCATATCAATGATATTGGGCCTGGTTAAAAGACCGTATTTATTGTCCAGCGGTCCCCTTAAAAACAAGTGTATTTCCAACAAGAAAGCCCCAGTTGAAGGTAGCCTTGAACTCAATTACACTTTTAATTGACAGACATAATCTCGGCAAAAGAAGTAATAAATCGTCTCGTTTTGGCCTTGGTGTCCATCATGGCAGGTCCTCATTTAATTCAATTGGGTTGGATTGCACTTCAAATTATATGTCCAAGACTTCCTAAAAAATAGTCATTGGCTTCTTCTGTAGGGTTAAGGACAGTTCAAAGACTTTCGACATTCAATAGGCTTTTACTCAAAGACGATAGTGAATGACTAGAAAGCTATAAACTTACGACACAAAGCTACACAAAGGGAATATGTAGCGCGAAACAAGCCGGCTCGGAATTCTATCATTAGACCGGACAGTAAAAAAGGTACCAATTTTATGGGATGGCATTTGCCATCACGCATTCATCCTTTGCATTCTACGTGCCATGTCATAAATTGTTGCGATACTCTACTTTTAAAACATGGCACACCCAATTATGTTGACTCTCCCAAATACACTTACGAAGTTTCACCATTCAACATGAATGACCATTCCATTGTTTTTTTTTTCGAATACGGGTCACAATGGACCATCCAAAGGTTAAGTTGCAAGTGTATGGTCAAGACACAATGATATCTCTATTCTATCTACGAGGAACGAATAACAGGGTGTTAGGTAGGAATGTTTATTTCGTGTTTAACTTGAAGTTGTTTCACCAGGAAGCAATACCTACTTTTACGCATCTACAACTCCCTCAATATACAGTAAGGCAGATCCAGAGCCCAAATATCTCTTTACCAAATGACTACAAAATACTCCTTTGTCTTCTTGGGAAGACATGTATATATGAACAAATTATAACCAACACTACAATTGAGGAGATCAAAATTACCAGAAAAAAAAAATATATATATCCAAAGATTTAGACGCTCAAATCCGAACTTATAAGGAGTACACAGATATGGAAATCTACACAGACATAGTGGAAACAGTTGGAACCGAAAATATGGATTCGAGCGCAAAATTAAACGAGCTGGCTGAATTTGTTCAAGACCAAAATAATGAAGATCGAGTCGAGGAAGAACAGGATATACCTATGCCGATCCAAATGTTGCCCCGAGAGACGAATACAGATCACTGTGATGTAATTGGAAATACATATGGGAACACTCGATTAACGATCCGGGAAACTCGTCTGATGTAGATATCATATCTGATATCATAGTCATTGTCACGTAACACCAGCTTGTACCTTGAAATGACAACACTACATACGTACCAATATAAGTGGGGATAATCATATCAGTAAGCTGTGTGATACCGATGGCGGTATTACAGGATACACAGTCGATATCGAGATTCTGTATGTTAGTATGACCGACTGAGGATGTGGCTAAACTGGATATTGCTGGCACATGATGAGGAAGTCATAATATGTCATATTGACGGATCATTAAATTTAGAGGCATATATGCCATTCACCTCGATAAGCTTGATGATAATCATACCGCCTCCAAAAAAAAAAAGCTAGAGAACCCCAAGACAAAGATTTTACCATATCATTCTCAATAGAGCATAAGCGAGGTCAAAAACAGTAAGAATAAAATGGACAGAGATTTAAACGATTAAATCCTAAAAATGAAAAACCAGAATGATTCAAACTGCTCAAGTTTATAAGACATATTTTGGCACGTATATAAGTATGCTTTGAATCATAAATCTAAGAATTGCCAATGAGGGTATTTTAGACATAGACAATTATGACAAATCGGGGTTCTTGTTACTTGTTAAGTATCAACAAGTTCTGTTTACTTTCTTCCTTGAAGACTTTAATTAAATTGCATGTGATGTTTTGAGATAAAATAGATAAAATCAGATTAAAAGAAAAACAAAAGAATCCATCAATCCTTTATTAAGGTTATAAAGAGAGGGTTATCCTAAAGGGGAGGACCCTTTTTGTTTTAAAACATTTAAGGTAATGAATATGGTAAATAACAGACAATGGCTTGTTAATATTGTTTTGCATGGAGAACAAAATAAAAAATAAACCAAAAGTGATACTGTTAGAACTTGGACACCACTTTATTATGGACGAAAAAATATAATTCAAAACGTATTAAAAAATGTATTCAAAAAATATTGATGGTCTATGAGAAAAACTATGGATATTTATATAAAGAACTGGTAAGCGCCTTATTGGATTATGATGTAATAATCTGATGATAGTAAATAATCAACATGTCTTTAAATTTAGCCCTTCCATACTGAGTATATAAATATTAGTCAGAAGGATCAACAGTTATAACATCAAATGACAAGAGTAATATTTGTGCTCAGGATCTAATAATATTCTATAGTCCAGGCCCATTCGATTGTATTGCTTTTGCAGAATAAATATTTACTCGCCACAGGGATGTGCCCTGTGTACAGACTCCAACGGTAGGATGAGAACAAGCGGGGTAATGTGTGATCCATGATTAACTTCTATATTTATTATCCATCCTTAATGTGATTTGACAATTAACTTTATTATTATATCTATGATATCCTCAACAAATATCTTCTGAAAACTTAAGACTCGAATTACATTGTCACTATCCATAACAGTAATTGGCCCGAACTATAAAGTGAATAATTTACATTAGCTGATAATTCAGTAATGAAGCAAACCCCATAACATGGGAACACCATTCGAATATTATAATTAAACTATACTGATGGTCATTCTATACTATACTTACTGTAGGAAATATGCGACATTGCAGACAGATCACTCCATATAACGTTATTTTTAAATCGTAAAACTTCTTTTGCGCGATTGGCATAAGGTTGAAGCGCTATACTGGTAGAACAATATCATTTCTCTATTAGGTAATAAAATTCCAGTAAGCCTTTAAAACTTGAAGATGCCCGTATTTACCGATTCTCGTTGTTTGAAGATCGTTTTCTTATGTTGAATTATCCCGCTGAAAAAAAAAGGTTATAGTTTTATTAATCCGAATATAGCGAGCTAATGCATTAAGTGTATCTTTCTACTTAACTTCACTACAAGCAAAAATATGAAGCTATTGTAACTATTCCACTTAATTTTATTTGCTTCGTGAGTCAGGAATGTTTATAGATTAGCATTTACCGTGATATATGCAACATAAATTACGATAGTATTTTTTGAAATTTTTCACTCTGGCCAACTAGTGTTTGAACTTGTTGATCTTGGGACGAGTTTACACTATTTCGGGAAAAATCGCAACAGATATTTTCACTCAAGCATGCGTCATTTTTTTTTTGGCTCTTCTGAACTGTGACGATTTGACATGCTAAAATTGATAATAAAAATAACAGATGTCGTGACCAACCGCTGAGTTTATTTCTAGTATTTCATATTTTTGATCGCACAAATGCATGAATCCATATGCTCGAATTTTTTTCTCCATAATTAATTCTGAGCAATTTTTTGGCTTGAAAGAACGTACAGCGACAACAGTTTACTATACAAAAAATTCAATTCAAAACAGCGTGTTAAGCGAAGAAAAAGACCAAGAATGAATAAAAAATCGTTTTCGGGTATAGCATCCACTGGTTTTTTAATGACGGAAACATGCAATCTTGTTAGCGGCATCTTTTTCATGACAAAATAGCATGTTCAAATTCTTGAATCTGAAGATTTCACCTTGGATGAACGTGGTTGTCATTTATTTGTTGCTTAATTGAAAA